AAAGTAAATAAATTCAGTATGTTACTTTCAAAGCTGTCCTGCTTATCTCTTCCTACTGAACTTCCTTTCTCTTCCATGCATTTTAAAAGTTGTTCTAATGGCTTTCTTTTCTTTCTTTCTTTCTTTTTTTTTTTTTTGAGCAACCTTGTTACTAGTTTCTCCCTCCCCCATAATTCGTAGCAATCATGTATGCTGATAAAGTATATTCTAACTTCCTTGGGGATCAAAGATATTCAGATTTTAAAACCATAAGGAACTGGTGGAGAAGCAAGCACACTCATATGTTGTTGGTGAAATAACAAAATGGCTGGGATCTTTTTGGAGAGCATTCTGCCTGTATTCTGTAAGTGTTCTTAAAATACCCACAGCCATCGACCCAACAATCTGATAATTGACAAGTACCTTAGATGTCACAAAGCAGAGGAAAGGGGCTATCTGTTCTAAGATACAGATGGAAGCATTATTTGCAATTGCGATAATCTATCTACCATCTGATGTCCAACAACCGGGTTATGGCTAAACAAGTTGTAATATATCAACCTAAGGGAATATTATACTCCTAAGACTACATTTGAGGAATATAAGCAAGTGTGAAAAGGTCTATAAAATAATCTTAAGTGAAGAAACCAGAACCAAAATATCAGCCTGTTGGCCATGGATATATGAAAGGAAATTATGTATATATAAATACCAATGGGAATGGGCAAAACAAAGGCAGCCCAAAATACCAGAAAGGTTCTTGCAAACGGCATCTAAGGCAAATCAAGTTGCACCTTCCCTCCCATCCTCCCTCTTGAGTTTTTAAAGGGCTGTTGTTTTTGTTCATTTGTTTTTCATTCATGTCTGACTCTTTGTGGCCCCATTTGGAGTTCTCTTGGCCAAGATACTGGAGCAGTTTGCCATTTCCTTCTCCAGCTCATTTTTACAGATGAGGAAACTGAGGCAAACAGGATTAAGTGACTTGCCCAGGGCCACACAGCTAGGAAGTATCTGAGACCAGATTTGAACTCTTGAAGATGAGTCTTCCTGACTCCAAGGCCTGGTTCTCTATCCATAGCACCACCTTAAAGGCCTAATGACCTGCTCTCTCCTCTGATCCTTCCTATCCTTAGGAATACTTAAGGATTCAGAGTTTGAACTTAGTCCCACAGTGGTAGACATAGCATGGAGCAGTAGAAGAAGCCTTGGGGCTCTGTATTCAAAAGACCTCTGTCCTAATCTTATTTCTGATCCTGACTACCCATGGTATTTTGAGCAAGTCACTTTATTTCCCTGGTCTTCAGTTTCCTAATCTGTAAAATAATGCACTTGCACTATGTGGCTTCTCTTCAGCTTTTTACCCTGGTTTAATGATCCCTTACTAAAGAAAGGCCTTGCTTGGCCTGAGAGCATAGACATGCTGCTGGTTTCCAACTCTGGACTGTATGCTTCCCAGGTTTGAGGAATTGGAGCTGACCTCACTGATGACAGGAGTCTAGCATGATCAAGACTGGGAATTCTTCTTCTCCCTAAATATATTAAGTACAGTTCAGCTTGTCACTACTTATGGGCCCCAGGTCAAAAGGGACTAATGCAGGATTCTGTGGCTCTGAAGTGAAGGCTGTGGCTCACAGAGGATGGTCTGATTTCACAGTCCTCTACTTTCTGAGTGAAGATGTTGTGGAGTGTAACCAGTACCTTGCCCTAAACTCAGAAGTGTTCTCTGGAAGAATATTAGCTGGTATAATTTTTGTAAAATTTGTTAGCTACAGAGATGAATGGTTTCAAAGGCAGGCAGAATTGCTTCAGACATCCCCAGGTAGTTGTCCATTGTTGAAACCAGAGTGTAAATCTGGAAAATTACAATCATTACTGGTTTTCCTGCTTCCAGTCTCCCCTTTCCAATTCACATTACATATTGTCTTCTCCCACACTAATCTTCTAGAAACACTCATTTCATCCTGTCACTTTTCTGCTCAGAAAATGTAATAAAATCCAAAGTCCTTAGCCTGACTCCAAATGCCTTCATAACCAGACACCATCTTAGCTATCTAGGCTTTTTTTCCTCATTAACTCCTAGACACAGGCTCTCTGTTCTCACCGAGGCTGGTCTCTTCCCTTTTCCTGGAATACACACTATAGTCCTTTCTCCATTCTGTTGTGTGTCTAGCTCATGTCTCTCCTATACAAAAAAGAAAACCTTTCCCAACTACTCCAGCCAATCGATCTCCCCCTTCTCTGAAATTCAATAGTATTTATTATCTAAACCTCATTTCATCATTTAGTGACATAATGTCATACATTATGACTTACTTGCTTCATGCATATCTGTCACCTTAATGACAAAATTGTAAGCTGGTTACATCTTACATTGTTTTTATATACCCCTCAATACCTAGCATAATGCTAAGCATTGATGTTCAGTAAATATTTGTAAAAATCAATGAAATTCTGAGCTTCATCCAGCCTTATAAGTGGATGTGTTAGATTTTTATTTTTATTATTTAGTTGTATATTATATATTTGTAACTCACATATATCATACTGTAAACATGTATGTGTAATTTAGATGTACATAATTTTTAAATTTTTGTTAGACAAATGGAAAAACATTTCAGAAAGGAATTATATACCTTCAAAAACAATATATTTTAAGTTACCCTTTGGAACTGAAAATAAAAAATGTTATTTTATGACTTATAATTATTTGTAATTTGATGCAAAAAATTGAAATGACCTTTAAACATGTAGAGCAGAATGCATCACCGTTTCACTACATTCAGTTTAACTTTGGATGTTCCTGTTTGCTGCTGAAAAGAATTAGTGATAGAGTGGATTTGAGAGAGACATTTTATAACAAGGTCAAGGAACAAAAAAAATTTGTATTGCTCCTCACTTCATAATAAGTTTTAGCCTCAGTTTTGGACTACACAATGCATAAGCACGATGCATAATGTTTAACTTACTTATATTTTTCTACTTATGTTCTATGGCAAGGGTCCTTAAACTGGAGTCTAATTTTTTTATAACTTATTTCAATATATTTGGTTTTTTCTGTTACCCAAAGTATTTTATTGTATGCTTTAAAAAATAATATTCTGAGATAGGGGTACATGGAGTTCACCAAACTGCCAGGGGGTGGGTACATGATACAAATAAAGGTTTTCCCTTATATATTTTTATTTATTTATATTTATATCGTATTTTATGATATTTTGATTAGGGCATGGGGAAGCTCTATATCTATATAGGTATTTATAGATATAAAGCCAGTCAATGGTGTCCAAGGACTGGGTTCTTAGGAAGTCATGGGTAGGTCATGTTTCAGAGAGTCATTCCTCTGAGTAGATGGCAAGCCTCCCCAAATGGGTCTGTCTATCATGTACTGTATGTTCACATGGCACTTAGTATTAAATCCTTCAAGAGTAGCCTGCTGGGTCAGGTTATGCCACAAAGTAGCTACTTCCCTGTAATCTGTTGAAAATAAGCCCTCAGCACAAGCTTCTGTTTTTGGTCAAATTTGTGGATAACATAAAGCTGGGAGAAGTAGCTCACATCCTGGATGAGAGAATTGGAGATCAAAAACAATGTGTTAAGCTGGAAGGTGGATTTGAAACATCTAATGTCCTGTGACTTCTCAGGTTCAAAGATCCGACTGCATAAGCACAGGATGTGGGAGACACGGCCAGAAAGCAGGTTATGTAAAAAGTCCCAGAGGTTTTCATGAACTGCAGCCTCATTGTGAGTCAGCAGTGTGGTGTGGCAGCCAAAAAAGCCACTAATGAAATCTTTAGCTGCATTCAAAAATAAAAAATACAGCTTAAAGTGTGAGGAAGGGAAGAGTCTCACTATCCTTTGCTCTGGTCACACCACAATTGGAGAGCTGCGGTTAGAAGAGAGCTCTGAGAATGATTAGAGGAATATAGACCGTGTGATATGAGATTAGTTTAGAGGATGTGAGTATATAGTATGGAGAAGGGGAGTCTTCAGAAGGGTCATGATAGCTGTCTTTGAGTTCTTGGAGAGGCATCAGCCTTGTTCTGCATTACTGTAGATGGCAGAACGAGAAACAATTATTGGAAATTACAGGGAGGCATATTTGGACTCAGTATAAGGAAAAACTTCTTAGCAATTAGTACTGTCCCCAAATGGATTGCACAGCCTTGAGACCAAATGGTTCCTGGCCATTGACATTCTTCAGTCAGGACTGGATAACCACTTGTCAGAGATGTAAGAAAGAATCCCCCCCTCTCCCCCATAGATGATTTCTGAGGTCAATTTCAGTTGTAATTTCTGTTAAGTTTATACACAAACACATCTTTTCTAGATTTGTCAAGAAAAATCAAGAGATAAGCTAAAGACAGATGAATTCATATAAATCATTAGAAAAATAAAATTGAGTATGTTTTGGTTAAAGACAAAAACTTAGTAGCTAAAGCAGGGAATAACAATTAGCAAATTCGTAAATCGGAGTTCTGGTTATGATTCTGCATAAAGAGTAACCATTTGTTAGTCTAAGTGAGAACATACATCCTAGGTACCAGCAAATGAAAATGTTTGCTTAATCTAGATCCCTGCTTTGAAAGGCAAATTATGTAAAATTCTGATATCTTTGATAAAATTTAAATATATTACCATTAGCTAATGGTCACTAGTAAATGTAAACCATCATATTTGAGAAAGAAAGATAATGAGGCTTAAAAACAGAATCCTAATGAATGAATTTGCTGTTTTCTTCCCCTTATTTAGGACATGAACTGGTATTATATATGTTTAATTAAGGACTTGCATAGTTTTGTAACCTTCATGGAGGTTGTCAGTGAAATTGTAACACCAAGTTTGGGTTGGATTTGTTTGGATTCTGTCAACCCTGATACTGACTTTTCTTGTATTTCACGTATCCGTTGATTACTTTATGGGAGGATAAATTTGCCTACTACGTTGTGAGAAACACAAGAGAAAATAACCTGAATGTAATGTTTTTGCCACATGTAATAACTGTCACAATGCCATTTTTTTAGGGTATATGTTGGAGCCAGACCCTGACAAGAGGCCAGATATTTATCAGATCTCGTACTTCTCATTTAAGCTCGCCAAGAGAGAGTGCCCCATTCAGAACGTTCAGGTATGTGAAATTGTATCTCTAGGAGAGAAGGATCTAGAGTGGGACATACTCATGTTATCACATAGTGAAGTCCCAAGAACACTGGATACAAACCTTCTGACTGGGTCCAGATCCCATCTCTGTTATTTGCTGTTGCTGCTGAATCATTTTTTTTCAGTTGTGTCTAACTCTCTATGACCTCATTGGTGGTTTTCTTGGTTAAGATATTGGAGTAGTTTACCATTTCCTTCCCCAACTTATTTTACAGATGGGACAAACAGGGTTAAGTGATTTGCCCAGAGTCACACAGCTAATTAGTGTCTGACCCACCCCCTCTGTTATTTACTAGCTATAAGTTTGTAATATAGGCAAGTCCCTTAACTTGAGCCTTGGTTTTCCCATCTATAAAATGGCACTGCCTACCTCACTGGATTATTATGAGAAAATGAGCCATAAATCAAACTTGCAAAAGCATATAGACGTGGCTGTACCTATATTTATGCAACATGCTGTCACTGACCAATGGTTGGCCTTGTAGTCAGGGCGCCCTGGGTTCAAGTGCTGCCTCTGACATATACCAGCTGTATGACACTGGGTAAGTCACTTAACCTGTCAATACCCCAGGCATCCATTAAGTTGCTGATCTAAATAGAGGGAGTTTCCTCACTGGGGTGCTCCCTATACCAAGGAAACCAACCACAAGTTCAGTCCTTTCCCTATCACTTGTTCCAGAGAATAGAACTCTTCTAGCACAGTTCACCATAGATTCTGTTTCTATTGCATTGACTTAAAGTTATTAATTTGCTACTAATTATCAATCTATGAATAGTCCTATAAATAATTAATTTATTAAGTAATCAATCTCATTAGTAGATTGAGTTGATAATTTGGGGCAAATACAGGGTGGGCAGGGAGGGCAATGTCATGGAACAGTGTCTTTTGTAATATACCAAGAACCCTGTACATCCTAAGAGTTGTTGATTCCACTTACTGGTCTCCTCCCTTAGTAATGGGTCTGCTGATTTTCCTTTGTCACCAAAATCTGCCTGGACTATAGAAACTAGGAGTGTGGTATGGAAGAAAGAACATTGGAGTTGGAGTCAGAGGTTCAAATCTTGGCTTTGCCATTAATTATCTGTGTGACCTGTGGCAAGTCACTTGACTACTCTGGCCTCAGTTTTCTAAACTTTGTAACACTGAGATTAGAATCCTCATAGATTGGAACAGAGGATCCTTTCTCCTTCTACTTCCTATGATGCTGTAATTTATAAATTTCTCCTGTGCTTGGGAATTCCAAACTCTATACCTCATAGCTTCCAGAGGCTACTTTCTTTCCTTTTTTGACCTGGGTATTTAAATTGATCCAGATCTTTTGGATGTTGCCAAGCAGTGCCATCACATATTGGACTCCAGCATTGAGAAAATAGCAAGAGTACTAGATTTTCAGTCAGATCCCTTGTGTTCAAATCCTCCTCTGCCCTTCAGCAAAGTCACACTAGAACTGTTTCCTTAGCTGTAAAATAAAGGTGTTGGTTTGATTGACCTCTGTAATCCCTGAAAATTCTTTCATTCTGTTTAAAACAAATAAGCCCTGTATCTCTTAGTGCCTGAATTATTCCCTATTTCAAATGTATGCAGCTAAAATAAGGAGTACATATAAAAAGAACTTTATTTGTCCACAGTTTGTTATTATTAGCCTGTTATCATTCCAAAATCTGCTTTCTGTGTACAGTCAGACCACTAACTGTAATGAAAAAAGATCAAAATTAGCACAAAGCTGGTAGAAAGAATAAAAATGAGGGGAAAAAAAGATATGAAAAGACAGAAAAGATGAGGAAAACCAACTTCATCCTGACCCATTTAAAAACAATTTATAGATGATGAAAAATGGCCCATGGCTAGAATACAGGACATTGTCTATAAGAATTATATGCAGAAGTTTAAGCAATGTAAATTAATTGCCATAACAAAGAGACTAAAAGATCATGAAAAGCACATTAGTCATCGAGCACCTGACTTACTTGCCAAGTGGAGAGAGATAGCATTCTAGGCCAAGACTGGTTTGGAATATAAAATCATTTGCAAAATCTTAAAGGAAAACTGATGGTAAATCATAAGAAATGTTTCCTCATAAAACAATGGAGGAAGAATGGAGAGTAAAAATAATGTAAAGAAAGCTTGGTCAGAGACTCAACTAGGCAAAGTCATCCTGAAGATATTTAAGAATGAAGGTGGAAGGAAAATAGAAAAAAATGGAAAACATTTTTATGATGAACTTTTTTCACCGTCAAGCTATGAGCCAGCACACTTAGACTCTTAACATCACAGTCCTGATGTATAGATGGATGAGGTAGAAATGACATTGAAGAGGGCAATGATGAGAAAAAAATCTAAATTATATCAAGTATAAAAAGAATCTGAATTATATCAAGCATAAATGGAAGAGGTTCATGCTATAGCTAACACAGTGTTGAAGACATTGAGAAATCAATTCACAAGGTATGTCTGAAAAAGGGGGAGACTCCAAAGGCATGGAAAGCTTATTATAATGAAAAAAGCTGACCACAATTACCATTGACCTAGACCTTTATACCTATTTTCCCAACTATATAAAATTTTTATGAGAATAGCTTACTTAAGCACATCAAGGACATATTTGATATAGGTATTAGTAGGGAACTTAAGTAGGTTTTTGAACATAGTATTCCCACAGTCAACCACATCTTTATCATCACACAGTTGACTGAAAGACATAGAGAATATTTTACTGTGCTTTATTGTTTGTTGATCATAAAAAGCATTTGTTTCAGTAGAGCAAGGCTTTTTCTCAAAGATTATTCTTATGCATACATAAATAGCGAGATAATCTTGTTCAATGACCTGCTGATCATTAAGATCAGGCAAGGTGTTGCTACTGTTCTAGAGGAGATCTAACACAAACTCCAGGTTGAAGAGAGACTCCATATGGATGATGGTAAGGTGGGTGACATTCAGCTGGTTGAGTTGAGTCTGGAACACTACAGAGCTCCCTGGAAGAAATCCATAATCACTTAAAAGAGTTTGGTCTAACCATCCATACAGGAGAAACCTAGGGCATGAAGAAGGCCTGTTCTCTAAATTATCATTTGTAGTTGAATGGACATCAAAAAGAGTCTTTCTCCCTCCTTCTCTCATCTCTTCGCTCCTTCTCTTCTTTCCCTTTCCTTCCCTATTCCTCTTCTTCCTCCCCTCTTTCTTCCTTCCCACCTTCCCTATCCTTTCTCAACAGACAGTGCAAATGGACAATGATTTGGGCCTAGAATTTAAACAGGAGTAGGGCAGCAGGCTAGATTTCCACTTCTTCCAGGAGTATCCATCTTTTTAATACCAATATCCTACTGGTGATGTTGTATGTCTGTAAGTCTTGGAACACTGTGATTTCCAAAGAATTCAAAATTAGTATCACATAAAGGGCATTGGAGAGGTTCATAGTAGGTGAGAGTTGACGTTATGTAACAAATAAGAAATTATGAAAAGGGACCAGAGTAAAGGATATCATCAGAGAAAAATATGATGAAAAAGATGGCCTGATTCCATTATTAGAATGAGTGATATTTTACTAGAATGAGGGACAGTCCATGTGCTCCACTGGTATCCTTTCAATGTCAGACGTAATGAAGGAAGGCCCCCAGCATGTTGGGTAGACCCCTGTGACAAACCTAAGGACGTGAACAAGAAGTACAAAGTATGGGCAGTCATGAATAGGTTTCAGTTTGCATCTGTTGGGGGAAGAATTTACGTTAATGAAGTCCTAGATCCATTTGAGCTAACAACCCACTCTCCTGTTCCTCAGTTAATTCTCCCATGCAAAGATAGGCTCAATAATGGTAGTTTCTGCCATGAGTCCAAAGTCATTTAGTATTCAAATTAGATTTTGTCTCTGAAGAATGTGGGGATTAGACTAGTTGGCAACTGAGTTGCCTTTCAGCTCTCAAAGTCCATGAGAGACAGCACAATCCCATGACCTACTGTATAAGATTTGTTGGATTTGGTATCAAAAGACCTGAGTTCGGCTCCAGATCACAATGCTTACTAGTTGTGTGACCATGGACAAATCACTTAATGTTTCTGAACTCTTCAATGTGTCCATCTATATAATGGGGACGATGAGAGAATACATCCCACACAGGGGCTATTGTACCAAAAGTCTCTCAGGTATAGTTTTAGGGTGGTTGAGTTCTTCCTAGAAGAGGTGTGTATGTGCCTTTTGGTGAAGGGGAGTGGACTTTGTGGATCACAAACCATTACCACGTTGGTACTTTGACTGACAGCAGCTAAGTCTGACTGAGCCACAGTCAGGTTAATTAGCATCATTTGTATCATGTGCTCTTACACAGGCTACTGTCACCTCCTATGCTGCCACAGGTTGTATCCTGAGTTAACGGGAGGGATGAACATCCTCACCCAATCAGATTGAGATCAGAAGAAGAGCACTGGTTCATGTATTTTCTATCATCCACTAGTCAGAATACTTATCATTTTGTTCTGCTGTCTATGTTGCCCAAGGTGCATGGCATCTTTCTGCTCTTAACTATTCCTGATGGCTTGGAGGTTATTTTGTTCTTTTTTTGTTTTGTTTCAATCCACAGAACTCTCCCATCCCTGCTAAGCTTCCAGAACCAGTGAAAGCCAGTGAGGCAGCTGCTAAAAAAACCCAGCCAAAGGCCAGGTAAGAACTACCTGGTTAAACATACTTCATGGCCCAGTGGGAGTGGACAGGTTGAGAATCTGCCCCAGAACCAAGGAGGCACTTGCAATCTGCAGGAAACTCTTTGAGGTGATCATATTTTTAGAGGAGGGAGGGTCCTGACCTATGATTTTACCAGGGTAAGGACACTCCCAGTGTGTAAACTCCCTTTTCATTGCTGATGAGTATCTGATACTTAGAGAGTTATCTAGGGTAGTAAAATGACGTGTCTGTGGTCACACATCTAGTATGCATCAGAGGTATGTCTTCAACATGGGTCTTTTCTGACTCCCAAGGCCAGCCCTCTGTCCACTCTCCCACATTTGCTCTCTTGAGGTGACCATAAAGTAAAAATTATTTTTCTTATATAGCTACCAGAACATCTCCATCCAAAGTGTTATCCCTGGGAAGCAGTCCCACTAGGATGCATCCGCTTAATCCAGTGAAGCTGTTGGTGGATCAGATATTTCTGAACATGACTGTGCTTTAACTATTGCTTTCAAGAGCTTATTAGCAGCAGAGTGTAGTAGATATGGAGTCTGAAAACTTGGATTTGTATCATGGCTTTCTCACTTCCTAGTTGTTTGACTGTGGGCAAAAACTTCATCTCTCTCTCTCTCTCTCTCTCTCTCTCTCTCTCTCTCTCTCTCTCTCTCTCTCATCTATGAAACAAGCAAGTAGGAGACTCTAATTTTGAGACCCTCTTGCAACTATGTATCTAACAGTATTAAGATAATTTGAATTTTTCCTGTGCTTGGGAATCCCAGACTCCATACCTCCTAGCTGCCAGAGTTTGGATCCTTTTCTCAGTTTATCTAAATGGGAAATGGGGAATAATCATACCCATACTACCCACCTAACAGGGTTGTATGGGCAAAGTATTTTGTAAACCTTGAAACCCTGTAGAAATATGAGTTACTATACTTCAAAGCTGGTTTAAGCCACCAAGAGAAATTCAGCTCTATTTCTTTTTACTTGTACCCTATAGAAGAAATGCACATAAATAGTTTCAGATTAGACCCATTTCCTTGCCTCATTGAGCTTCCATTCTATGATAGGTACACAACACAACAGAGAAGAATAGCAAAGAGGACTCTCTTCATCTCTCCTTATTAAGGCCTGATATAAAGTTTTTAGAGAGTCACGGAGTTCCCGTTGCTTGTCTGAGCTTGCTTTTTTTTCTCAGTCCCACTTAGAGCCATATGTGAGAACCTTATATTAATGGGGCCCCAGAACTAGTTGTGGGCACATAAAGATGCAGGTTGCCAGATGGTGTCTCCAAATGCCTCAGTGTGCTTCTGGCCCTTTGTCCAGTCACGTGTGTCTTCTTCTTCAGTCTTAATGTGAGTGATGAGTCTCCTCACTTATTCCCTTTACCCTCCAGTGTTCTCTCCTTACTCTGCATCTTACTTTATGCCACCCCATTTCCTTTCTCTTTTTCCTTTCCAATCTTCCTTCCCAAAGTTTCTTCAGGGGCAGTACAATGTAGAACATTGGACTTAGAAAACGAAAAGAGAGAGACTTCGTTCTAAACTCTGCTTTCAACCCTTACCAGTTGTGTGAGCATAGGTAAATCACTTTAGCATTTTTAAGCCCTCAGTTTCCCCATCTGTAAATGAGGAGAATACTTGTATTATTTACTTCACAAGATTATTGATAGGATCAAATAAAATACTATACAGGAAGCATTTTGCAAGCATTATAGCACTATCTAAATGCTGGCAATGGTTATTTTTATTCTTCACATTGCGGTGTTTTGGGGACTGGCTCTCCGTACCGCTTACAAACAGTGGGAAATAAAGAGCTCCCTGGGGCCCTGTATATTCAGAAATGGGCCAGGCTAGGGTGAGTATGGATCCTTGGTTTGGCTATATCAATCCCTTGGTAAGCTTTTTGCAAACATCTTCTGTGTGCTAGGCGCTGGGGATTCAAAGACAAAAGTCTCTGCCCTCAGGAAGCTTATCTTCTACTGAGGGAACAACATGTAACCACCTAAGTAAATATATAAGTAAATAAAACATATTGCCGAAGGAAGCACAAAGTAATTTGGCAGGAGGTGGCCGTAGCAAATAGGAAAAGCAGTAAAGACATCATGTAGGAAGGGGGCACTTAGACCTAAACATTGTAGAAAAAAGCAGATTGGAGACATTCATAAGAGTGGTTCAGCCCATGCCCAGCTACTGCTATTAAGTCAGTTCATTCTGCCTTCGCCTCTCCTGCATGCCTACCCAAAGGGCAGACTTGTAGCACAGCCCATGTATTAAGCATCCTTGACAAGATCCCATCTGCCCTCTGGGAGCAAAGCCATGTGGCTAGTACCAAGTTAAATGGGAGTCGTGAGTGTTGCCTTTTCCAAAAGGAGCAAGAATGTACAGAAATGGCTCAAAGCCCTTTCCCTGGATAATCTTTTATTTTATTTCTCCAACTCACTCGTTGCTGTCAGCTTCACCTGCTGACGGAGATGCCTGTTTCTCTCTGAAGAGAAGCCTGATTCCCACTGCTTGCCGGCCTGACAGCTAGATGTAATTAGATTGGCGTTCTTTATCTTTATGTCTGTGGCCATTTTAGGCAGGTGGCCTGAATAATCTCTTTGATTCAGAAAGTTTTGGCAGGAGTTGAGATGGTCTAATTTTGTCAGAGGTTCTGAGGCCTCTTAGTCACACCTGAGAAAATGAAAAAGCACTCAGAAAGCGTTGTCAGGGATGCTTTTGTTCCTGGCCTTGCCAAGGAAGCTATGCCTTAAAACCTCCGTTGGGTTGCATGACAGATGCATAAGACAGTGCCCAGGGACACACTGAACACAGAGATGCTTAGGAGAATATGTCCAATAACTAGATGTACCAGAGCTGCATTGCTTTCTCACATAGAGGGTCTGCTTGCTCTAACTCATGTGAGCACAGTCATCTTTATATTTTAAGGGCCAGTTTAGAAATACCAACCTGGTCAACATTTATTAGTTGAGGACTGTCAGCAGCCTCAGAGGGGAAGAGAGTCTGATGTCTGCATTAGGGTTCTTGGCAATAGCTGTTCTGACCTTTTGATCACAGTACAAATCTCACATCAATACCTTTCCTCAAGTATGCATCTTTAATTTTCACTTCTAACTTGATTTTTTTACTTTTGTAGGCTGACAGACCCTATTCCTACAACAGAGACGTCAATTGCACCTCGCCAAAGGCCGAAAGCTGGACAGACCCAACCAAACCCAGGAATTCTCCCTATCCAACCAGCCTTGACACCTCGAAAGAGGCCCACTGTCCAGCCCCCAGCTCAACCTACAGGTAAAGACATTGGTCAGCTGAAGTAGCCTAATTTACCTTGTCACCATCATGGGCCTGGAAGCTTTTGCCGGGTGATTCCAGCCTAGGCTGGGAGGGAGGATGGGGACTGGTGAACATGGGTTTAAGAATGAGGTCTGGTAGCATCATATTGATTGAGCACCTTTTTTGGAGAGGAAGAGGATGGCATTGCACCCAACTTCAGAGAGGTAGTGTTAGACTGGCCCTACTCTCACAGCTTATCTTTTATTCTCTGTACTCTCTGGGTTTACACTTACTTTGAGTAATCTTGGGCGCATTACTTACCTTCTCTTAAGACCTGTGCTTCTATGGATGCTGTTCAAAATAAATCAAGACTCGTTTATTAAATACCTATTGTGTGCTGCACACTGTGCTAAGCACCGAGGAAACAAAGATGCAGCAAAAAAACCAGTTTCTGCCCTCAGGGAGCTTACATTCAAATGGTGGGGCACAACATGTATCTATATAGACAAGATACATAGTAACTTTAAAGGAGAAGGCACTAGCAGGTGTGGGAGTCAGGTTAATTAATAGCTAGCTTTCATATCACACTTTATGATTCACAGATTGCTTTATAAATATAATCTCACTTGTTCTTTGCAGCAACTCTGGGTGGTAGGTGCTATTATTATTTCCATTTACAGAGGAGGAAACTGAGGCAGACAGGTTAAGAGATTTGCCCAGGACCACACAGATAGTAAGTGTCTGAGGCTGGATTTGAACTCAAGTCTTCCTGTCTCCAGGTGAAGTGCTCTATCCAATGTGCTGAGTCTTGAAGGAAGCCAAAGATTTTCAAAGCTGGAAGTGAGGTGGGACAGCATTCCAGAAATGGAAGGTGACCAAGGGCAAAGGCAAAGAGATGAGAGATTTGAAAGTGTGTAGTGCTGGCTGTGTGAACCTGAGCAAGTCACTTAACCCTGTTTGCCTCAGTTTCCTCATCTGTAAAATGAACTGGAGAAGGAAATGGCAAACCACTCCAATAACTTTGCCAAGAACACCCCAAACAGGATCATGAAAAGTTAGACACGACTAGAACAATTCAACAACAGCAAAAGTGCTGGAACAGCGGGAATATTGCTGACAAAAAAGACTGGGGCATCTTTTTGATACCTAAAGAGTTCTAGCCTTCTTCCTCATTATTTATTAAGTTCCTAATCTGTTCAGGGCCATGTGCTCAATGCTAGGGATGGAAAGATGAAAAATGACAAAGGCTCCTACCCTTGAGGATCCTACTGTCTATGGGGATAGATAGTGTGAGAGGGAGGACAAGTACACAAGTATGATACAACCTTCAGTGTGATGAGACAAAGGAGAGATCACATTCGGCTGGGGGAAGCCATGAGGTGTGACTAGAAGAGGTGGCACCTGGGCTGGAGGAGGTGGTGAGGAGCATGGGCAAGTGGAGAGCAGGAATTCTTAACCATCTTTGTGTCATGAATCGCTTTTCAGAATGTTTTTTAGTGAGTAATGCAAAATATATAAGATCACAAAGGCATCTAATTATATTAAAATGCAGTTATCCAAACATTATGGGTAAAAAAGTGTTCATGAGCCCCAACTGAAGAATCCCTGATGTGGAGAGATTGCAGTCCAGGGCTAGGAGACAGTCTGCCCATATGCACGGAGGTGGGAACAGACAGAATGAGATGAAAATTAATAATCTGGTTTGGTTGGAACTTGAGAGTCCCTGAAGGAGAATAGTTCTTAAAGGAGAGATAGGTTAAGGCCAGATTGTGCAGTGACTTAAATGCCTTGATAAATGGCCATCTGCTTATGTAAAACACCCGTAAATCAGATACAGGCTAACTTTGGAGAGGAAGACATTAGCTCTTGTGGGAAATGGAAAAGACTCCAAGCAGAAAGAGCCATTTGAGCTAAGTCTTAAAAGAAAACAGGGTTTCCAAGAGATGGAAATTAGGGAGCCCATTCGAGGCTTGGGGGAAATCCAATACAAGGATAAGGAATTAGGAGATGGACTGACATGTGTGAGGAACAGTTAGTAGGCCAGTATGGTGGTACTTTTGGGTATGCAGAACAGAGTAATACAGAACAAGACTGGAAAACTATGACAGGGCCAACCATTTCACCATCCATTTCCTGATTTATTGGTCTAAATCAGGTCCAGATGAAAAATTCCACCTATTACTTCTTCTGTGTTCTCTAAGGGGAATCAGCAAGGCAAGGCGAGAATTTTCAGTGGCTCTTTTTAGCAGACAGCACACCCTTGCAGATGTCTTCATAGTTAAATTCACAAATACCCAGCCTCCGTGTCAGTTTTGTGATCTGTACCTAAAGTTCATTATTAATTTCCTCCATCTGGCCAAGCAGTCTGTAACACACTTCATCCATAAAATCACTTCTTTCTATCATTTCTTTTTTCTTCAGCCAAATACTTATCTATCCTCTCTAGCTACTCTGTCCCTTTTGAGCAAAGTACACATTTCCATCACCATATTCCAGTAATGGTGTAATAATACATCTTGGTGTAAGGCCTACTTACATTATTCCTTAAATTAAAAAGATCTTAATTTGGTTTTATCATCCCTACTGTTTTTATTGGCATACAGCAAAGTCATAATTAGTATGAATCTTATGAAATCACATTATTTAAATTCATACTGCATATTTTCATTGGCCTGGAACTAACAACATTTTACATAACTATAACTTCAAATAGTGCTAATTCAAATATGTGTAACCACTTCACCGGACTCATTTACATTAAGTGGGACCTAGCTATGTTGACCTGAGTCCATAGATATTATTTCTGACCCTCTTTCCATTTATTTTTTCTTGTGTATCAATAGACATCTCAACCGCTACTTTTTTCTATGTCATGCCTTTAATCTCAAGGTATTTGGTTTAGCTGTATCTGGGCATTCTTTTCATTCCCTCTCCATTTTCAGTTTCAAATGAACTGATCTTCAGGAATATATATTTTCTTCCTTGAATGTATGTCTCAGAGACATACATTCCTATCTGTCTCTCTAACAGCCAGATTATTTGCAGCTTCGTTTTGAATATCATTTATTCCCCAAAGAATCACTCGAAATGAATGCTGGTCATCAGGCATATACCCCAGAAGGATAGCATACCACCTAATTGGCCACATCAGTGAGTCAATAAACATTTATTAATGTCAATTATGTGCCAGGCACTGTGTAAAGTGCTGGGGATACAAAGAAAGGCAAAAGACGGTCCCTGTCCTCCAACAGCTCACAATCTAACTGGGGAAGACAAAACATAAAGATAAGCTGAAAGCAGGCAGAAGGGAGGGTACCCAGCAAGGTCATGATGTCCTACAGCCAAGGTGGGGAAATGAGGAGATGTGGCAGTCCTGGGTGCTCTCCTTTAATGCAGGATCTGGAAGGAGGCTTCTGATGTCTACCCTCCACCTTCTCCAATCACAAGAAAGGAGGGGTACTGAGTACTAAGAGGTACTAAGGAGGTGATCTTGCAGGATGGTGACTTTTAACATCAGGTTGTATATGACAAGTATTTGTATCCCTAAACAGTACTCTGCCTTCCTGAGGCCACATAAGGCAGGGGTGGGGAACCTGCAGCAGGGCCACATGTAGCCTCACCGAAGGTTCTCCACTCCCACCTCTGAATGAGGAGGATTCTTTTTAGTTCTCTGCACAATATTTTGGAAGGAAATTAATAGCATAGTCAGCAGAAGACAGTTATACTAGTAAAGGCATTTCTCTAGCTCATTTTACAGATGAGGAAACTGAGGCAAATAGGATGAAGTGACTTGCCCAGGGTCACACAGCTAATAAGTGTCTGAGACCAGATATATTTTTTGGTAGGCTGCAGCATAAAGAGATATCTTCCCAACCTTTTCATCTTCTAACAAGGAAACCAACTTACATTTAATACTCACTTAGTTGTAGATTTCCTGTGGGAAAAACTGCAAATGTGGTGCAATACCTTCACGTCAGTGGGGACAGTTCTCCCAGTTGTTTTCCATACCTCCAAAGCCCCAAATTTCCATTATTTTGTGGATTTCTATAATTTGCCCCCTGCTGACAGTCATAGCAAACAGACTGCTTGTCACTCCTGCTTTTTGCACCATGGAAGCCCAAGCCCTGTTTCTTTATCCTATTTCTGAATTTCTTTTTCTTTTTTTTTTATGATTAAGCAAACACAAACAAAAAACAGGATTGAATTTCTGTTATGTAGTTTTGGCTTTTTAAGTGAATGTTAAATTTAATGCAGTAATAACAATCAATCGACTAATTAACCAGAGTTATTTTCCTTACCACTATTGTGATCATCCTGTAAATTGTTCTCTTGGAACATTATGCTTTCTCACCCTATCTTGTGTTATCTGACAATTATTCATCCAGATGAAAGTAAAAAAAATTATAACATTTTATCCATAACTTAATATAAACTGTTACCAAGACCAGTAACTATATGTGAAATAATCATGCTGAAGAAATCAAAACTGAGAAATGCTTCTTGCTTCTTCCTTTCTTCTACTGAAGATAAAAAAAAAGAAACAAAGCAACGTAAACAAAAATTCTTGGCTTCTTCACCCTTTTCTGCCCTGCTTAACTCTTTTCTCTTACTCTGTGGTCCTGCATGTGGCTTTCATTGCAACTCTCATGGTATAAATTGCCCTATGTGAAAGTGGTTACATAGTATCAAGACACTGCTAGTGACCCAGTATAAACAGTAGTTGTGATCAATAATGATCTCTTTGCTTGATGGTCCTGCTGAAGATTTACAGATTTCTAGTCACTTCCTTCTTCTTTTTATCTTCTTTCTGCCCCAGTCAAAAACCATATGTTTTCTTTTTTGTTATGTTACTACTTCTGGAATTTGTGGTCAAAAGTATTTTAGACTCTAGCCATGAGCCATATTATATCCTGTATGTGCCCAGTTGATTTTTGTGGGCTATGGTCAGGATAACTGAACCTGGAAATGTACCAGGAATTTGCATGCACTGGTAATGAAGAGCTCTTTTTAAGCATCTGTTACCATTCCACTCTTCCTCTCACCTCCAACCTGGATCCCAGAGAATGTCCTGTGAGTGGTGATGGTATCTGGAATCTGACCTGTGAAGGACCACTCTTTTAAGGAGCAACAGGTGTGGGAGAGTGGGGGTCATTCTCACATGGTAGCCTGCTATTTTTAAAAATTGTTTTGTTTTATTTTCTGGTCCAAATTCTCTCCATTCTAGTCCTCCCTTCACCACTACCACCCATTTAAAAAGAAAGAAAAACAAAACCTATTACACATACACATGTATAATCATGCAAAACATTAACCATATCCAAAAAAAGCAATATGCCTCAATCTGTACTCTGAGTCTTGTCCCCTTTCTGTCTTCACATGGGAGCGTTTTCAGCATTAGCCTTTTGGAATTGGGGTTGCTCATTATGTTGATCAGATTTCCTGAGTCTCTCAAAGTTGTTTGTCTTTACAATATTGTTATTGTAAAAATTGTTTTCCTGGTTCTGCTCACTTCATTTTGCATTATTTCATACAAGTCTTTCCAGGTTTTTCCAAACAATCTCCTTCATCATTTCTCACAGCACAGTAGTATTCTACTTGCATTCATATACCACACAACTTTTTAGGCCATTCCGTAATTGATGAGTATCCTCTTAGTTTCCAATTCTTTACTACAACAAAATAAGCTGCTATAAAAGCTTGTACATAGGAGTCCTTTTCGTCTTTCTTTGATCTCTTTGAGGTATAGACATAGCAGCAGTATTGCTGGTTCAAAAAGTATGCATAGTTTAATAACTTTTTGGACATAATTCCAAATTGTTTTTCAGAAAGAATGAACATGGGGCAGCTAGGTGGCGAAGTGGATAGAGCACCAGCCCTGAAGTTAGGAGGACCTCAGTTCAAATCCAGCCTCAGACCAAACACTTGACACTTACTAGCTGTGTGACCCTGGGCAAGTCACTTAACCCCAATTGCCTTTGGAAAAAAAAAACGAATGAACTACTTCACAGCTCTACCAACAGCACATTGATGTGCCTGTTTACCCCCAGTTTCTCCAGCATTTGTCATTTGCCTCAAATAGCATGGAGTTCCATTCTTTATGCTATGTAGGTCATCAGGACCTACTGAAAAGTGACAAGGCATGGACTGTGGCTTCCTAGGATCATCCCCTGTTCCTGTAGCCATCTGTTCAAGTTGTCCCAAGTTCTGGGCACATACTGTAGTCCCTGATGAACAGATCTGTGTTGCTTTTGTTTCTGGTTGTTATCGAAAGCTGTGTCCACATAGTGCGTGCTCAGACCTCTCTATTTTTGGAAGGATAGCCATTGTGGTGCTTAGTATACCCTATACCTAGACCATTATCCATATATCCAATATAGCACTGGTGTCAAACTCAAATAGAATTGGGGTCTACTAAATTGTACATAAGGATCTCTTTGGGTATATACTGACTTAGAAAACCACTGTCAACATGCAGTCCTAAGCCAGTTAGTATATAAAGTTTATTTATTGTCTTTTTTTTATATTGGAGTCAGGGGAGACCTGGGTTCAAATTCCATATCTGACCCTTACTAGTTATTTCACTGTGGGCAAGTCACTGAGATTCTTTGAACCTCAGTCTCTTCATCTGCAGTTTGGAGGCAATACTTCATAAGATTGTTCTGAGGTTCAAATGAGATAATGTGTAAAAAGTATTTGCAAACCCTTAAAATGCTCCATAAGTTTCATCTTTTATTGTTATGGTAGAGCTTAGAGTACCTTAAATTCCTCTATAAATCTCAACTGTTGTAGTTGTTGTTATTAATATTATTCCGAATCGAGGCAAGGTCCTAGGCCTGTACCCATCTTGTCACGACATGACTAGAACTTGTCATCACTTGTTCTGATATCTTATAAACAAGATGGTCATTTTGTCCAGAGGAGGATTTATACCCTAATTTTGGATTTTTTTTTCTAGTTTCAGGACCAAGTGTTCCAGCTGGCCTCCCCACCAATGTCCCTCAACCAAAAACCCAGCCTCCTCCGAGTCAGCCACTCCCGCAGGCTCCAGCCAAGCAGCCACAGGCTCCACCCACTCCACAGCAGACCCCTTCCACTCAGGCCCAGGTTCTGCCTGCTCAAGCCCAGGCCACACCCCAGCACCAGCAGCATCTATTCCTCAAGCAGCAGCAGCAGCAACAGCAGCAGGCCACGTTTTACCAGCAGCAGCAGCCGCAGCCGCAGCCGCAGCCACAGCAGCTGGCACCAGCCCAGCAGGTAAGAAGAGCCGCTGCTACCTGGGCCACTTGGCAGTGGGTGTCTGTTTTGTCATCTCACACATATGTTAGAGCCACCAGTTTCAGGTATATTCTTAAGTACACAAAGACATGTACTTTGGTGAGACCGGCCAAATACCTGGCCCACTCTCCAGCACAGCAACTGAGTGAAGACCCTTAGCACCCCAGAGGCAGCAGGTTTGGTACAGAAGCCAGGAGTCCAGGTATCCCTTGGATATGATGGTTTAGGCTTGATTCTGGAAGTTGATAGAACCTTAACATAAGAAGAAAAGGTCAGATGTCGAACATGGACAGCTGCGCTATACTCGCCTCATCGCTAGCCTCTGAATGTTCCCTTTACAATGAACTCTATCTTCTTGATCATGTCACATTAAAAGTTAAACTTTATAAAGAATATACATAAACCTGTACCTTGATTTCAGGCTGTCCAGACAGCTTTACTGAATTGCCTTCTACCTAGTATTTTTATGTTAGGCACTATAAGAAGTACAGAAATACACAACTCTCCTTCCTCTCAAGGGTTTTGCAATTGCATTGGGTGGATGAGACATATCTTCAATCAATCCCCAAGCATTTGTTAAGGATCTGTTATGTACAGATCTAAGTGCTGGATATAAGTACAAAAAATGAAATAATCCCTACTTGCAAGGAGCTTACATTTTAATAGAGGAGTGTGTGTGTGTGTATACATAGAAATATACTGCTGTATTTAAGCATATGCTTTTATATATGTATGAGGAATATGTGTATAAACATATACACATCATTACATAGTGAATAAATGCAAATATGTACCAAGTAGTTAGGAAAGGGAGGGCACTAGTCGTCTAGAGGGATAAGTAAAACTTTCTTATAGAAGACAATGCCTGAGCTTTTGTCTTAAAGGAAATGAGGCAGAGCGAAGGAGACAGTGATTGGGCATGAGGGATGGTTAATCCAATGGCAAGAAGATAGGAGATTGGACTATCATGCGAAGGACAGTGAGACAGCCAGTTTGGATGGATCACAAAGTGCAGGAAAGGGAGTTCAATGTCCAATGTGGCTGGAAAAATAAATTGGGGCCAGGCTGTGTAGGGCTTTTAAAGTGAACAGAGGTGTTTTATCCTGAGGAAATAGCCACTGGAGATGATTGAGTACAGGAGTGACTTGGTCAGATCTATGCTTAAGGAAAATTATTTGGCAACTGTGTGTAGGATGAAGTACGGCAGCCAGGTGGCACAATGGCTAGAACGCCAAGCCTGAAGTAAGGAAGACTCATCTTCCTGAGTTCATCCGGCCCCAGACACTTTATCTGTGTGATTCTGGGCAAGTCACTTAACCCTGTTTGCCTCAGTTGCCTCATCTGTAAAATGAGCTGGAGAAGGAAATGGCAAACCACTCTGGTATCTTTACCAAGAAAATCCCAAATGGGGTCATGAAAAATTGGACACAACTGAAACATCTGAACAACAACAGAATACAAGGAAGTGGAGTAGTGAGAGACAGACACATATGAAACAATTACCAAGCAACATTCATCATCCGTCAAAGTTTATTAAGCAGCTACGATGTTGAGGGCCCTGTGTTAGGTACTAGGGAAATTACTAAGATTATAAGGCAAGACTGCCCTCAAGGAGCTTATCACATAGCAAGGGATATAAGGTGCATACCACGCTCCAAAATAAAACATCGTAGACAGAGTGTCATGGGAACTCACTGGAAACACTCATTTCTGACTTGTGAAATCTGGGAAGTCTGTTTATAGAGGTGATGGCATTTGTAGAAGTGTGATATTCCAGGTATAGGGAAATAACATCAGCAGAGGTAGGAATAGACATAGAATGAATGATGGGAAGTCCACTTTGGTAGAGCATAGTTACATGACGAGCATCTAATGCAAACCCTGCATTTTACAGACAAGAGTATTCTCTTTGAATCTCAACTTTCTAATTTGTGGCACTCGTGATCTTTATCTAGTGGTATTAAGTCCTCTAAACTCCAAGGACTGACTGATCTACAATACTCGTTCTCAAAATGTGGTCCAGGGTCCTCCGAGGGTCCCTGAGACCCTTTCAGGCAGTCTTTGAGGTCAACTATTGAGATCCAAACTATTTTCACAATAATACTGACATTTTAATTTATAATATGGTCAATATCAATAGAGAGAATCCACATAAACAAAAGCTCTTTGGGGGAGGGAGTCTTCAAGAGTGTAAAAGCGTCCTGAGACCAAAAAGTTTGAAAACTTCTGAATCACAAGATCCCTTCTAGTTCTGACATTCTGTTAGAGAAACAGAACCTGAGATGGGTGGCAGCAGATTATGGAACACCTTGAAAACCATGGCAACAAGTAGGTACTTCAGTCTGTAGGCAATAGGGTGGCAATAAGGGTTTTTAAGTGGTGGAAGGATGTAAAGAATCCTGTCCATGAGGAAGATTAATCTTGTAGAAACATGAAAGATGGTTTAGACACAGGAGAATCATATGATATGGAGAAAATAATTGGAAGAGTATCACAGTAACCCAAGCAAGAGAAAATGGTAGTTTGTACCAGAGTTAATAACAACATTTTGGTAAATTGTGTGAAACATACTAGGGAAAATTTATTGTAGGTAGGGGTTACCAGCGTAGACTTCATGGAGGAAGTGGGGCTTGAGCTATTTCTTGAAAGATGGGATCATCTTTCACAATGCCTCCATCACTCCACTTAGGTCAGAAGCAACTGATTTTGGCAGATTTCTGGGGTGTAATGTGTATTTAAGGCTGACCCATTATTTCCAGTTAAGTTTCCCATCAACCAGTAAACATTAATTAAGCTCCTACTATGAGCCAGCTACTGTGCTGAGTGTTAGGGGTACAAAAAAAATCCAAAGACAAGTCACTGCTCTCAAGTAGCTTATGTGCAAACAAATATATACAAAGCAAACTATCTATAGGATAAAGAAGAAGTAACAGAGGAAAGACACTAGGATTACTATCTTGTTGGTGTCACCCCAGGCCTCTTCCCAGCCCTAGGCCTGAATCTCCATTTTCACACAGTACTTCAGAATTAATTCTTTCTAGCTAAGCCATCCCTTAGAAAAGGATTTATCCATAGGAGTTCCAGTTTTAAAATTTACAATGACATAGCTCTTTGCCCATCTGCTAAAGTTCTTCAATGATTCATGATGGCTTGGGAGGTTACCTTGGGTTCTGCCTGGGCTATGCCAGAGGAGTATAAGCTCTAACAGGCCCCACCAAGTTTGGACTGAGGGATGGACTGTGTGGCTGCCACCTGTGGCCCTGCTTAGCCCAGTTCTGAGAGCTTTGTCCTAATGTTATCTACAGGATGATGAAGTTTTTGACTGTAAGAGTTTTTGAAGACTACCCACTAAGTCAAAGAAAAAGAGTGTAGTCTGTATTGGTGAAACCAAGGGTGATTAGAGTATTGAGTTATGTCGTTGCCAAATGCACTGAAATATGCACATTGACTTATCAACCTCTTCTCTTCCCGAGAAGAGATTCTGGGGCAATGAAATCAAAATCAGAATGTTTATAATGAGTATAGGTCAGTGTAAAATGATTTGGATGGTCCTAGAGGATGTCATCAAGATAGGTTAGCTTGGTAAATAATACTTCTCCAGTATAAGCAGAGCAGATCTTTGTGTCAGCTGGTCAGGACCTCCTCTCCCCTGGATAGTGCAGAAGAGTCACTGACTCATTCTGACTCATCAGACCTCCTGTTTCTAGACTTTGTCAGGATGTCCACCCTTTTATTTATCTTTGCTATATGCCCACTGAGGAAGTGTGACATGATGAAAGGAAGTCCTAGGGTGAGAAGTAAATCTTCAGTCCTGGCTACTGTGCTCAGTGCTATAGGGGAAACAACAATGTACATATGACATAGGATTTCCCTTCGGGGAGACAAGGCATTAATACTTGAAAGATTAAGTAACATTGTAAAGCACATCTCCAGGTGACCTATGAGATAGATTAATGAAATCAAAAGTGGTAGAGATCACAGTAGGCTTAGGGCTCCTTACAGTTCCTTTGGATCTGTAAGGGAGGCAGCCTGGCTTTGGAATTAGAACATGGACTCAGGCTCTAGCTTAGACATTTTCTAGCTGTGTAGCCAGGAAAAGTCATATAACCTTTCTGCATCTCACTTCCCCCTCCATTGTAAATTGGGGCTAATAATACTTGTACCATCTACTTTATGAGCCTGTAGTTACACCTAGTAATAATCCTCATGATGCTCTAGCAATGAGCCTTTTTTGTTCATCTTAGTTTACTTTTTATTTCCATAACTGGTGACAAATCCTGGACTTAAAGATTATTTTTTGCTTCCCATTTTGAGTAGGTGGTTTCCTCGTGATGCAGAAAGAGAAGCTTTAATCTCATCAACAAAACTTTCTAAATCTCCCCCTAAGATGCATTACTGTTGGGAAGGCTTCCTTTAAAAACAGATTACCCTCTCCCATCGTGTGAGAAGCCTGTTGGTCCCACCAGAGGCTGGCCCTTCCTGACCATGTCTCAAGGCCCATTTTATTGCATAACCCACTGTCTACCAACTGTAGTCATCTGACTCCATGTTTCATTTCTACCACTACTTTACTTTGACTTAGGAAACCCAGCTTTGAATCCTGGCTTCTTCTCTTATTAGCCGAGTACCTTTGATGGAACACATAACATCTCTTAACCCAGGTTCCTCAATTGTGAAGTTGATATAATAACACTTGCATTCACTTGTTCTGAGGAAAGCACTTGTAATTGTTAAAGTCATAAAAATGTCATCTTCCTTTATCCCTTCGCTTTCCCCTCATCTCTATACCCTGACTCTCCACCCCTCCCCATCCCCCAGATATGGGCTCTTCCCATCCCCCCAGATGCAGGCTCTTCAGCTGGTTGCCTGGTTCTTGGGCCCTGAGTTTGATTTGGTTTTATGTTTTAGTTTCATTAACCTATTCTAAGTCTCATCTCATTTGTCGAGATGATAATAATAACAGCTAGCATTTATATAATGCTTTAAGTTTTGCATAGTACTTTACAAATATTATCTCATTTTATCCCCACATACCTCTGGAGGTTAGGTGCTATTATTGTTCTCATTTTACAGATGAGGAAACTGAGGCAGACAAAAGTTAAGTCACTTGCTCAGGGCCACATAGCTAGCTAGCAAGTATCTGAGGCTACATTTGAACTCAGATCTTCCTGAATCCAGATCCAACTTTCTATCCAATGCAATACTTAGCTGCCTAGATGATCCTTGACTTCATTCGATATAATGAGACTTGAAATGTTTATGGAATGGGCCAACATGTAGGAGGTTACAAAGAGATCTCTCTGAGATGGTTTGATAGTAAAGAAGAATCACTTTCAAAGACTGAGATTAGGCTGCTACACAGTGCTGAGGGTGGTGATGTGCATAGTTTCCCTTAGGATGGGGATGGAGATCCATAGGAAGAGTAATACCCATTCTCTGATGCCTCCCACAGTGTGATGGAAAGAGCCTCCCAGTGTGAATTCAGTCATAGGAATCCTAATCCTGGCTGTGCCCTTATTTAGCTCTGTGATCTTAGGCAAGTCACTGAACTTCAGTGATTCAGTTCCTTGACTTGTCAGATGACGATTGGGCCTTTTTGTGCAGTTGAAATGAGGGTAAAATGAAATGAGCGGTGAAAGTCTTTTGAATAGCACTCAATGCTTTCCAGGTGTAAATTGCCATTGTTGTTGTTAGTTATTCCAGTATTTGAAGAAGCTACCGTTTTGTCTCTCTGGGCACCTCCTGCAGGCCTTAGTAGACAGTGTTCATTGATGTAGGTGCATAATTCATCACTTGTTGACCAGCTTTCAGGTGGTGAGGCTCTTTCAGCTTGGCACCACCAGGCCTCAGGTGATAGACGTGCAGTTCATAATAGGGCCATCCTCAGATTCTTTCCATCTTAGTAAGACCTGTCAGAGCTTGTGCTCTGTTGCCATAGGCCCCAGGAACCCGGGATTGTTTCTGTGCCCCAGAGAAGCACCAGAGTAACACATTTATAAAGGGTCTGTGTTATTTTTAATAATAATTTAATATTTAATAATATGTCATTGGGGCTACCAGTGCAAGCCATGGCCTTGAGTCTGACCCCATCATACATTAGAAAAAATACTGGGTTTAGAATCAGAAATTTGAATCCTGAGTTTGAAGCCTGGTTCAATTTACTATTCCCGGTGGGCAATTCCCTTTGATTCAATGAACATTTTTTAATTGCCCACCATACACAGGAGTTAAGTGGGCCATGGAGAGGCCAGCACTTAAATCCTGCTGTAAGGATACAACATGAACATATGGGGAAAAAATACAGTGTGGAAGAAATTTGAGGATGGGGAGAACACTTAACAGCTGAGGAGATTGGGGAAGGCTTTCTGGAGAAGGTGGCACCATTTTGGCTGGTGCATGGGATATGTGAAGGGGAGTAATGTGAAATAAGGCTAGAAAGATAGGCTTGAGCCAGGTTATGGAGAGCCAGTGAATTTGTATTTGATCTGAGTGGCAATACAGACCCAAGGGAGGTTTTTTAGTTGTCTGATACTGTGTCCTTTTCTGGCAAATGACGGAGATGAATTTGATGATTGAGAAAGTTCTCTTCCTATTCTGTCTCTGATGAGCTGCAAGTAGGTATTTTCCCAGGACATCAGCCCCTCTAACCTAGGATTAGGTGCAACTTAAGGCTTGTCTCCTTGGGGGGCACAGCCCTAGGGTCAAGCTTTTGCTCACCATCTTATCTTGCTGGTCCCCCAGTTCCAGGTGATGCACCAGGGAGCCCAGCAACCAGCAGTTGCTCAGTTGCCCCAAGGAGCCCCTCAGCAGCAGCTGATGCAGAACTTCTACCAACAGCAGCAGCAACAGCAGCAGCAGCAGCAGCAGCAGCAGCTGCTGAAGGCTCAGCAGGCTGTGCTGCAACAGAAGACAGCTGTGGCAGCCGGACAGCCGAAGCAACAGGCTCCCTCCCAAGCCCAGCCGCAGGCGCAGCCGGCTGCAGCCCCACAGCCAGCCCCTGCCCAGGAGCCCATGGTAAGAATCGACCTGGGCTGAGAAGCAAAAGCAGAGGAGGAAGGAGCATTCAGTGAGGGCTAGGGGAAGGGCAAGAGGAAGGCAGAACCGTCTGGTGAGTGGGGGATAGTCCAGCCTGGGAGTTGGGAGACCTGGGCTGTGAACTCTCATACCCCCCAGTGATTCTGGTTGTCCTTAAGGCTGAGGCAGGTGCCTGCCTGTAGAGAGATAACAGTGTTGCCCTTTCTTATGGTCCCATCTGAGGAGCAGAATGTTGTGCAGGCTTTTGAGGTAAGGTCTTCGGGGGGTAAAGAGCTTCTTACAGGGAAGGAATGATTCTTATATATCACTCTGTAATAGCTTACATTTCCATAGCATTCCCCAGTTTAATGAGAGTTTTTTTCCACAACAAACCTATAAGATAGGTAGAATGAGATAGATAATCATCCCATTTTACAGGGGAGAAACTGAGTCTCAAAGTTAAGCGACTTGCCCCAAGTCATACAGCTAGTTTTAGTGGAAGAGGGCCTCTGACCCCCAATTCAGTCTCCTCTGCACCACATAGACTTTCAGTTGCAGTGGCAAGGTGAACCTGTTGCCTCTACTAGCATCTCCATTTGGAAATCAGGACTCCAGTAAAGGACTGGTATTCCTCTTCAGGAAAAATAGCCTGCTTTTCTAAAGGAAATCCCCTTTTTCTCTTAAGATATATGAGCCTTGACACCATGTAGGAGGGGTTTTTTCTCCCTGCCTCAGAAGTTACCAGTCAAGACTTTGTCAGCTTAATAGATGTCCACTTAACAAGCATCCTCCTTACTAGGGCCTCTACTTGGGCCCCAGCTCTCTAGGATCCAGAGGAGAACTGAGCATCCAATTGTGTATTTTGGTAGGTAATGGCATTAGCCACATTCGTTCTTGGGCTCAGATGTGGGGAGTACCCTTCCACCAGGAGTCAGACCGTGTCCAGCAACATCCTCTGAGGCATACAGGCTTGTAAGCCTTTCCCAATTGAGCACTTCAATTTCTGTAGGCTCAGGCCTTTGGATCTTTCTGCTAGTTAGGAACTCCTACCCAAAGTATCTAAATATCAGAGTGCTGAAGAAAAGAGAGGGCATGGTGCAGCCAAAAGGACATTGGATTTGTAGGGAGAGGACCTAGGTTTGAATAGGGGATCTGATAACTTACTACTTGCATGACCTTGGACAATGCCGTGGACATCTCTGGGTCTTACTTTCTGTAACTTGAGGCCTCTAGCAGCTACCTAACCTGAGCATTTGTGGTGGATTCTCATTTACCAACCAGCCATCTCAAGAAAGGTCTCTTGTGCCCTCCTTACCATGGCATATCCTAACCAACTCCCCAAAAATGGCAACTCAGCATACTTGAAAATTCTGAATGTAGGAGGGGAATCACTTTGACAAAAAGAATAAGCCATCTAAGTGGTGCCATGAATAGAGTGCTGGACCTGGAATCAGGAAGACTTGAATTCAAATCCTACCTTGAACTCAAATCCTAGCTGTGTCACCCTGGGCAAGCCTTCACTTCCCTCACCACGGTTCTTCATCTGCTAAATGATGAGAATGAGAGTGTCTACCCCCTGAGCACTACTGTGAGTGTCAGATGAGCTAGATTACATTGGTGAATCTTAAATTCCTGCATAAATGCTAGCTATCATCATCATAATCTTGGGTTTAGAATAGGTTATTAAAATTGAAATGGGATCATAACAACCACTTTTTCCTTCTCTGCATCCTAAATCCATTGGGTCCCAGAATCCACCACTGCATGTATGAGGTGTGAGGGATCAGGCTAGTACGGTTCACTCCTCCTCTGCTATGACTTGCCCAAAGGTTTAAAGGAATCGAGTCCAATCTGTAGAGTATCTCACACAATGAGACACCCATCCTCACAATCTCTGGCCATCAGAACAGCTGATGGGCTCTGTGGCCTAGTTCTTGGTATGGCCAACCGCCTGGCTCAGTCAAGTAGTAATCAGTCTGTGGCCTTACTCCACATGGTGCTTTCCTGGCAATAAAAGAAAACCTGAATTTCTCTAATTTATTGGCTCACACAGCCCTGGCTAGAATCTATGTAGAGCAAGTTTGTAGTGTATAGCACAATGACTAAACTGAGTGCACAGCAGTGCTCCATTCCCCACCCCAGTCCCCAGAAATAAGGGCTTTTTCTTCACCAGGCACACTAGGCACGCTCCTCTTTCTTCCTGTCCCTGGAAGCATAACTCTCCCATGACTAGTCTCCAGTCACCATTCAAACAAGCGCTGAGAGGCTATCTAATCTCTTTGGTTTATCATCATTACCACAGTATTAGTGTCTCCTGCCACAGTGTTGTATATACCCAGTTCTGGCTTTATGGAGTAGGTTCTCCTACTGTCCTGGCTATGATCTCATAGCACTTGCCCATTGGGCACCACTGGGTCATCTTGACCAGCCCCTGATTGTTTGACATTCTAGTGGACTTCTCTGGGGGAACTCTTCAACCCTGAAACACATACCTACCCATGTGCGCACACACGCACACACACACACACACACACATTGATGTCCAGTAAGTCTTACTTATATCTCTGCTCCAAGAACTCTCTTCTCCCATGTATATCAAGAGAAAATACTTGCCAAAACAATAGTAATATTCTATGGTTCTAATATAAGCTAGAGTCACCATGATGAAGCTGTAAATTATAGAGAGCCTCAGACTAGCTCTTTCCCCATCAGCTGCTTTTAGCTTGTTTCTGGCTTGTGCCATTTCTTTTGTACAGTTTTTCTTTTTTCAAATGAAATAATATTTGTAATTTAACATAGTGCCTGGCATATAGTAGGTACTTAATAAATGCTCATTCCTTTCATACCCCCTATTCCCACCCACCAATCCCTATTTCTCATCTATCACCTTTGTTCAAATGTCCTCCCATTCACCAAATGAAAATGTCTATCAGCATCAAGGCTTAAGTTCTTAGTACCATCCTAATACCAAACATCTTAGACCTTATGTTATTTTAACAGTAATAAGATGTTTCTATAGCAATTTAAACTTTATAAGGGGCTTTCTTCACATCAATCCAATGGTGAATAGCTATTATTATCTCCATTATACAGATGAAGAAACTGAAGTTCTAAGAAAAAGAAGGATCTAGCTCATGGAGAGCTGGGATTTCAGACCCAGGTCTTCTGACTTCATGTTCCATACTCCATGACACTGGGGTGCCTCTTCTAACTATCTGGTTCTGAATACGAGGCTTCATCCAGGATAATCCACGTCTTTCTCTTTGCCTTGGAGATCAGGTCCCTTTGGCCACACTATTGCTTTTCTCTGTCAGCTTTATTTGATCACAGGTTATCCTCTTCATGTCTGTCTTACAGCTGTTTTGGGAATGAATTACAAACTTCTTCCACATTCCAATTTGCCTGTGGATGAGCATTACTCTGCAGACTGATTTACTTTTGACTATAGAGGGTGGAAAAGGCTGGGGGTGACAGGGAGGGTTGGGGGTAGGTAGAGATTTTAAAAAAAAAGATTGTCTACGGGCAAGTCTCAGAACGAAGCTCCATCTTAGTTTAATCCAGTCCTGGACAATCCTGAAGTGGTTTTCTTTGTGACCTCTGGAAAGTCACGCCCATTACCCCTTGTCTACTCTTAGATCTGCTTATGAATGCACAAAAGGAGCAAATGCATTTAAGAATGCTGCAGAAGTCATTAGTTAGTATTAGGAATTAATGAGACCCTAGAGTAGAGACTTGGGACACCCAGCCTAAATTTTTGACTTTGACATTCGGAAGCCTCAGTCAAATCACAGGAAGTTGAATGGAAAGAGCCTCAGTGACCTAAATTCTATGCCTGGCTCTGGCACTAACTAACTATATGTATGACCTGTGACCTACCATATGATGTCCCCATACTTCAGTTTCCTCATCTGTAAAATGAAAGTACTTGTACTACCTACTTCATAGGGTTGTTTTGGAGAAAGCACTTTATTAGTCTTAAAACCATCATTATTGTTCATATTCTCAGTTCTTTCTTTACTTGTTTGTTTGTTTGTTTGTTTTTAGGCAATTGGGGTTAAGTGACTTGCCCAGGGTCACACAGCTAGTAGGTGTCAAGTGTTTGGTCTGAGGCCAGATTTGAACTCAGGTCCTCCTGATTTCAGGGCCGGTGCTCTATCCACTGCACCACTTAGCTGCCCCTCATATTCTCAGTTCTGCCACTAACTAATGATCTGACTTTGGGCAAGTCACTTCATCTTTAGGTTTTCTCATCTGTGTGAGATGATTTGGAGCAGGGTGGGTCAGAGTTTTGGTGTCTAGTCTCAGCTCTGCTGCTAAATAGCTCTGTGACCTTGACAAAGTCACACAATCTCTCTGAGCCTCAGTTTCCTCCTCTCCAAAATGAGAGGGGTGAACTAGATAATCTCCAAGATCCCTTCATGTTTTAATATTCTTCTGTACATTGACAGAGTCATGATTTCATTGGTGTGGCCACTCCCTTCCATATGCAGATCACCATCTTCCTACACCTTAATAGATGGACCTGCAAGTTTTCATGTCAAATAAAGATCATCAACAGGGGATAGGGGGTTGGCACATCCTGGAGGTAAGCCTCTTCACACTTAGGTTGGGGGTCCTCAGAGAACAGGTACATAATCTAGTGTGGTAGGACTCACCAGGGTTTACACTCTGCTAGCACAGTTCTTGGTGAACTGATAACATGATGAGGAATCCCAGGAATATTTTAATTCTGGACTCTGGGTAAAATAGTACAAAAATGCTTCAAGAAGTCTCTTATCTGGATGTAGCCTGCCTCCTGGCTCAATTCCCCATATCAAACATGTTGAAATAGGGTTGGAAGGCTGATAACTGATAATGGGCTGTTCTGGATGACCAGAGAGGTCACCTGAAGTGCTTAGATGCGAAGATTATTTTTTGTTAGTATTGATTTTATTCAACTGTTTGTCTCCACTATGTAAAACAGGAAAAATAGATAAGGGTAAGCTGGATAATATTCACAAACTACTTCGAACTCCTCAGAATAGCTTCATGAGGGACCTTAGATATAATTTAGTCTCAGTTATCATTTTGTAGAGGAGGAAAAATGAGATGCACAGAACTGAAATAACCTTGGCAAGACAGCAGATTGCAGATTCAGGACTGGAACCCAGTTGGAATTAGCTGACAGGCCCACAATACCCCAGCTTTTCTTCCATTTAATTGATATCAGAATTATATATTGGCTTATGAGTTCTTACTTCAAATCATCAACTCCATGGGACAAAGAAGCCTCTAGTTGAAAGAATTCTACTTTGGTAATCAACAAGCATGTATTGTTTACCATGTGCGAGGCACTGTGCTAAGTTTTAGGGATGCACAGAAGGACAAGAACAGTTCTTGACCTCAAGGAACTCACATTTTTATTTATTAATATACGTACACACACATACATACATATATACATAAAGACAATTTTTAGCATTCATTTTTTTTAAATTTTGAGTTCTAAATGTTCTCCCTCCTTCCCTGACACCTCCCCTTTTCTAAGACAGTAAGCAATTTAATATAGGTTATTTATGTGCAATCATGTAAAACATTTCCATATTCGTTATTGTGAAAGAAGAAACATACCAAAAGAAAAAAAAACACAAAAAACGTAAAATGAAAAAGAGTATGCTGTAGTCTGCATTCAGACTCTTATCAGTTCTTTCTCTGGATGTGGATAGCATTTTTCAGTACCAGTGTCTCCCATGACACGGAATCAATCCCAAAGTTCTTCTGAGAGACCTTGAGAGTGACCTTGTATCGCTTCTTCTGATCACCATGTGAGTGCTTGCCTTGAACGAGTTCTCCATAAAGTAGTTTTTAGGCAAATGTACATTTGGCATTCAAACAACGTGGCCAGCCCATCATCAGAGCTCCAATCTCTGCAGCAGAGTTTGAGTGCTTTGCAGTTTAGCTCAAAAAAGGATCTCAGTGTCCAGTACCTTATCTTGCCAGGTGACCTTCAGAATCTTCCTAAGACAATTCAAATGGAAGCGATTCAATTTCCTGGCATGGCACTGGTATACTGTCCAAGTTTCACAGGCATACAACAATGAGGTCAGTACAACGGCTCTGTAGGCCTTCAGTTTGGTAGGCAGCCTAATACCTCATTTCTCCTACACTGATAGTTTTGATGTGATACCTCAGAGCTGTTTTATTTACATTTCTGTAGTCAGCAGTGAGTTAGAGCATTTTTCATATGACTATAAACAGCTTTGATTTCTTCATCTGAAAACTGTGTATTCATATTATTTGACCATTTATCAATTGGAGAATAACTTGTATTTTTGTAAATATAACTTAATTCTCTATATATTTGAGAAATGAGGCCTTTATCAGAGATACTTGCTGTAAGAATTGTTTCCCAGCTTTCTGTTTTCCTTGACCTTGGCTGCATTGATTTTGTTTGTGTAGAACTTTTTAAATTTAATATGATCAAAATTACCCATTTTACATCTCGTAGTGCACTCTGTCTCTTGTTTGGTTATAAATTCTTCCCTTCTCCTTAGATCTGACAGGTAAACTATTCCTTGCTCAAGTAGCTCACATTCTAATGAGGAAGACAATGTGTAAGTAACTAGGTACATACAAGATTGCTATATATTAGACGGACAGTGATGTGAGAAGGGAAGGCATCATACCTGGAGGATCAAAAAAGATTTGTCATAAAGCAGCTGACACAACCATATACACACATAGACAAATATATGTAAATATGCACATACATGCACACACTTGTGCATGCTTGCAAATATCCTGGTAATTTCTCCAGGACTATTCCAATGTAAGAATAAAGAATCTTTGTAGGGGCAGCTAGGTGGCGCAGTGGATAGAGCACCGGCCCTGAAGTCAGGAGAACCTGAGTTCAAATCCAGCCTCAGACCAAATGCGTGACACTTACTAGCTGTGTGACCCTAGGTAAGTCACTTAACCTCAACTGCCTAAAATTTAAAAAAAAAGAATCTTTAATCACAGGGTCATAGATTTAGAACTGGAGGGGACCATAGAGTTCATGTAGTCTAACTTCCTCATTTTACACATAGAGATACTGAGGCCAGAGGATTAAATAACTTGCCCAAGGTCTCACAACTAATAAGCAAGAAATCCAGTATTGTAACCCAGGCCTTCTGATTGCAGAAACAGTGAGTGCTCTATTCGCTGTCCCCAGATAGCCTGGCTTGGTTCACTGAATGTTCTAGCCTTCCCATTTCTTTCAGAGTTTACCTTCTAGAATTGTCAGCTGAGACAGCAAAACCAAAGGTAGGGTATACTGAGATGAGGGCAGCAAGGTGGCACAGTCGATAGAATTTTGGGCCTGGAAACAGGAAGACCTGAGTTCAAATATGGGTTCAGACACTTGCTAGTTGTGTGACCCCATTGTAATTTCCTCATCTGTAAAATGAGCTGGAGTAGGAAATGGCACACCACTCCAGTATCTTTGCCAAGAAAACCCCAAATGGGGTCATGAAGAGTCAGACATGACTGAAACAAGTGAACAACAACAACGTATCAGAACACTTTCTTGGGAGGCACTGAGGGACATAACAAATTTTAGATAAGAGTCACCAGTACAGGATTACATAGTAAGTGCCTTAGGACCAATGTTGATCAAAATAGTAGGTGCTTAATAAATTAATAAGTACATGAATAAATGAATGAATGAATGGGGTGAATGATTATCTTGGCTTTAGGACTATTCAGCCATCTGAATGTTGTCTTTCCTGGTCTCCAGTGACAATTTGACCATTTTTTATGGGGTGGGGAGGGGTAGAGGAAGATGAGCTATGAAATGTGATTTCATCCATATAGGGAACTCCCAAGTGTGGAAAATCCTTCCACTGATGCAGAGCAGCAACTCCTCTGTAACTTATACTCTTAGAGAGTTGCCTGAGACCCTGAGACTTTAAGTGATTGATTCATGGTCACACAGACAGTGTGTGTCAGAAACAGGACTTGAACTCAGTTCTTCCTGACTCAAGACCAGCCTTCTTTCTATTATGCCGTGATGCCTTTTATTTTGACTTAGAAAATAAAAATGGCCAACGTTGTGCGAGTCCCTGTGTTATCAGCCTAGCTATGAGCAATTTCTTTATCTTTTTTCTCCTTTGCATCCTGCTTATTACCCTAGTCCCTTATTCCAATTCCAGCTGAAAGACTGCAGCTAATTAATATAGCACCCTGACCTCCAGTGAAGGAAAGGTTAGAATACTGTGTTTCTTTTCAGAGCCTTCCCTCTCATTTCAGAGAAATCTCATCGAACTTCCCACAGTCTTGTGTGGGAGCCCCATCTTGGAAGCAAAATGTACCTTAAACAAATCGCTTTACCTTACTTTGCCTCAGTTTCTTCCTCTGTAAAGATGATTTTTAAGGTCCTTTCCAGATCTAACATTCTATATTCTTGTTTCCTGGCTATAGTATTCTAATATTTACACACATGTGTACATCTGTTTATGTATATACACACGTATAGTATATTTTTTGACATGCACTTCTTGTCTCCATTAGAATGGAAGCTTCTTGTGAGTAGGGATCATTTCATTCTTTGTACTTATGTGCCACAGGCAGTGCCTGGCACATAATTAGCCCTTAATAAATATTTGTTGATTGACTATTTCATAGTACGTATTTAATTAATGCTATTGGAATGAAACCAAACTTTACTTAACCTTTCTGGGTCTCAGTTTCCCCATTCCTAAAATGGGGTTGAGCTGAACAGTCTCCAAGGGCCCTCCTAACTCAAAATTAAACTCAGCAACTCCACAAACATTTATTACACACATATTCTGTGCAAGGTGATAGGGCTACAAAGAGAAAAACAAGATTCCCTACTTGTGGGGTTATTTGCATGTCTGTGGCTCGAAAGTTTTATTCCATACTTAACCATAATTTCTTATGTTTGAGCCACATTCTGTTGCTCTTCAGTCATGTCCAACTTTTCATGACCTCTTTGGGATTTTCTTGGCAAGGATGGTCCTTCTCCAGCTCATTTTACAGATGAGAAACTGAGGCAAACAGGGTTAAATGACTTGTCCAGGTTCACATAGCTAATAAGAGTCTGAGGTCACATTTGAACTCAAGTCTTCTTGACTCCTGGCTCAGTGCTCTACCTACTGAGCCACCTAGCTGCTGCCTCGCCTGGCACGTAGTAGGTGTTTAAAAAATGCTAGTAGACTGACAAAATGATTGTTCATGTTTACCCTGTAAAGGTTTCCTGAGAAGAGTCACATTCATATGCCATCAACTGTCAGTCTCAGCAGCACATTTGGTATTCTCAGAGCCTACTTAGCCAATCTGGGGCGGAAAGGGGGGAAGGGAGACTTATTGCCTTAAGCTGGCCATTCAAGTCCTTGTGTCAGTTTTCAGTTTTCTTTCTCCTTTTCCTTCCTTCCTTCTCTTCTTCATCTTCACTTTTCCTAGCAGAAACAAGCACCCATAAGACAACAAGCAAAAGCTCAGACCACCCCGCCCCCTGCCATCCAGGGGCAGAAGCTTGGATCTCTCACACCTCCATCATCCCCCAAAGCCCAGCGGGCCGGGCACCGGAGAATCCTCAGTGATGTAACCCACAGCGCCGTTTTTGGAGTTCCTGCCAGCCAGTCGACTCAGCTGCTCCAGGCAGCTGCGGCTGAAGCAAGCCTCAATAAGTCCAAGTACGTGCTTCCTGTCTTCTTTCCATCTTCCTTTCAGCTGTGGGGAGCAGAGATGGGGAATGGAACTGGCAGCCTATTAAAATACACCTTGCACGTTGTATTTCTTCACAAACATCTTGAAGGTATTAAAAAAAAACCTGCCTGAATGTGTATTCTCCAAGCCAATATTGAACCAATTATGAAGTACTCAGTTTATTGAATTTAAGAAATATTAATTCATCATTCATTTTTTCAACAAACATTTATTAAACCCATACTGTATATAGGGTACTACACTGAGAAGAGGCAGTTTTTGGAGGAAACTATGATACCTTGCTGTCATAGACTTTACAATTTATCGGGGGAGATAAGAGATAAACACAAGTACCTCACACAAATTATAGGATAAGAACATTAGAGAGCAGTAGAACAAAGTGCTACATAAGGTCTGAAAAGGAAGATGATTAGTAACCTTAGACTTCATGTCCAAGGTGGTATTTGAGTTCGGCTTTAAAAAATAGAGAGAAATTCAAGAGATGAATCAGAGAAGGAGAGGATGGAAAGCAGCCACAACAAAGAGCATATGGAGGGTTCCTGGGACACAGGGTGATCTAAGTTTGACTGGAGCGTAAAGTACATTGAAAGGAGAATATGCGAACTGAGTGGGTATAGCCAGTAAGTGCTATGAATTCAGAGGGGGGAGAAATCAGAAGGTGATAGGAAGTAATCTGTTGTGCTTGCACAATGAACAAGACCTTCTGGGGTGGGGAAGGGGGGAAACGTGGGGGCTCAAAGTAAAGCACAGTCCCTGTCCTCCTGGGGCTTACAGTTTCTACCCTCAAGGGGCCTACAGTCTAGTACAGACCATCAAAGGCAGAGTATGAAAGTGCAATAAGATAAGGTACAAAGTACTTCATTCAGAGATAAGAGGAGATATTTCTATATGGAGAACCATGGCTGCACATGCACAAAGTTCAGATTTTTTCAGTCACATCTTCATCTAAATCTGAATTAATTTTAGAGTTTTCAGCAGATCATTTAGAAGAAGATCCAGTGGAGCAGAGCTAGAGAGCTTGATGTGCGTGTGATTTCCTCTCCTTTCCTCCTTCTTCCCCTCCATGTATATGTGCTGTGATAAAGTCGTTAAAGGCACTCCTCCTCATAAGAGGCCTTCTTGGCCTTTTAGGCTGAGGCTTGCTTGTCTTGTCGATGGAATCTCTTGACCTGGGGGACAACATCAAGGTATGCTTGTTTGACCCATGTCTCTCCAAGTCAATAAGAGATTAGAGCCAGCCCTATTGCCACTCCAGTTCGAATAGCTCTTTTATGATGAGCTACTGACCAACTATAAAGACTAAGTTGGCGAGCTAGAATAAGAAGATCAGGGTCTAAATGCACTTTGTCTAGAAGCAGCGGATAAAATGCCCGTGACTCCTATAGAAATGTTGTTTAATTGTTTAAGTCGTGTCCAACTCTTTGTGACCCCATTTGGGTTTTCTTGGCAAGGATCCTGGAGTGGTTTGCCATTTCCTTCTCCAGCTCATCTTACAGATGAGAAACTGAGGCAAACAGGGTTAAGTGACTTGCCCAAGATCACACAGCTAGTGTGTGTCTGAGGCCAGCTTTGAACTCATGAAGATGAATTTTTCTGATTACAAGCCCAGTGCTCAATCCACTGCACCATCTAGCTTCCCCTAGAAATAAGGGCAGGGGAAAGTACCATCTTAAAGTTCCCTAAGGCTCACAGAATCATAGGATCTCAGAAATGGAAGGACCTCAGAAGTCATCTTTTCTAACACATACCAACCCAACCAAATATCCCCTCAACTGTATCAATGCCTAATGGTCATTCAGTTGCTGCTTGAAAATTTGGGGACCCCCAATCTTCCAAAGGCAGACCATTTTACTTTTCGCAGCTGTTAACTGTTGGGGAATGTTTTCTTATATATCAGGTTTAAATATGATTCTCTACAAGTTCCACTTCGTTGTTCCTAGGTGTGGTATCTGGGGCCGAGCAGAACTGATGCCTGTTCTGATCTCTTTTTTAAATGACAGCCCCTCAACTACTTGAAGACAGCTATCCTTTTTCCTGCCTCAGTCATCTCTTCAAGTTAAATATCTTCAGTTCCCTATTTTATGGAATGGTCTCCAGGCTCGTAGCCTGAGTTATTGTACAGGGCCCGATGCAGTGGTCTTCTGCTTTCCAGGAGAGCTTAGGAGAGCATGGACAGCCAACCCATTTCAGACCTTCAGGAGGCCAATGATAATTAACTCCCTGCTTATATGTCTCCGTGATCACTTCCAGGAATGGTCTGTGTATCATTCTAGGTAGTTTACATTTTATTAAGGTCTAACACTGAGGCAGCTAAGTGGCATAATGGATAGAGTGCTGGTCCTGGAGTCAGGAAGACCTGAGTTCAGTTCTGGCCTTGGATACTTACTAGATGTGTGACCCTGGGCAAGTCACTTAACCCTGGTTGCCTCAGTTTCCTTATCTGCAAAATAAGGATAATAATAGCATGTACCTTTCAGAGTTGTTGTGATGATCAAATGAGATAATAATTGTAAGGTGCACAGCGTCTGGCACACAGTAGGTGCTATATAAATGTTAGTTATTATTATTAACGTTGACATGGCGGGATGAAATGTGGGAGCTGGAAAGAACCTTGGATAAAAACTATAGTTGACTTGGAAAGGGCTGTTTTAGGTGACCAAATGGATGGATTTATTACAGAGAATTTTGCAATAGGGGGTAGGGATTGCCACTTATTTCGGTGGAATGAGAAATAACAGCTGAGGTGTTTTTGGAAAATATGTGTTATGCTTTCAACAAGACTGGGAATATTAAGTTGTTTGAAGGTGGATCTTGACCTGAAGAACAGCAAATAATACGAATCGGGATATATAATCAGAAAAGAAATGAGAAGACATCTGTATAGCTAAAAAAAGTTGTCAGAGGAATAGTCATGCCACCTCTGGTGGTGGGTGGGTGGGGTTCCAGCAGAGGGAACAAAATAATGAACTGCTTTGGTCAATGTACCACTATGGCTAGGATGAGATGCTGGCCTGGAATAACAGGAATTTTCTTATGAAATCAAGAGATTATGGATGAAGGGTGTGTCCCTGATGTATCCCCATCTTCATCACATGTCTTAGAGACTTGCACATACACATCAAACTTCCTAGTGAAAGCCAGCGTCACCTATGCAAAGTCATAGTTGACTGATTAGATAGCTTTAGAAATCCCTCTGTGGCTCATGGCAGAAAAATCAAGCTCCATCATGTATTAAGATTGTAGCAGAGACACCCACATGGAAGCACATGGAAGATCCCTGAGAGACAGGCCCCCTTCCTTCCGGGGTGGAAGCTGCCTTTGTGAGCAGAGTTGTATCTGGGTCTATATGCCATATTTTTCCTTTTGTCTGATATGGTTGATATTGCCCAGCCATGGCTTGGTCATTATAATGCCCTCAATCCACAGGAGTGCTTTTGGAGGCTGATTCTTCTGCACCTTCAATCTTTGGTTTCCAGCATGGAACATCAGTATGTTTATTCTGCCATCTGAGGTCACAGGGTAATTGAAATTAACTGGGCAGAAAAAACAACACCTACCCTACCCCTAAGTCTGCCATTGGTTCATTTTTAGATTAACTGTGGATGTTTGAAATTCCTAAGTTTCAGTGGCACAATGATCAGGTGCTGTGTGCCTTCCAGGGGATGACACTCAACCTCAGAGGGCACCCAGATGGCAACTCCACTCACCCAGATCACATAGTTCTATTCAGCTGATGAGGCTTTCTGGGAATAATAGGCACTGAGAACAGAGCAGATTCCAGGGTCATCCTGAGGAAAGATGTCTCCATTTGTCAAGTTAATGCATCTGCTTTCACCACAAAGAGCTAGTTGGTGAGGGTGGCAGTGTGCCAGCAGATGAGCAGAGGGAACTTTTATTCGGTTTGTGGAAAATGTCTTCTCTGCCTGAGGAAGAAATTAGGCTAGATTTCCATTGGGATAGTGAGCAGCACTTTCAGAGATCCCAAGCCCATTGCTGCCACAAAATCCCATTTTTAAAAACACAAGGCTGATGTTGTGCTTTGGCTATGGATGCTAAGAATCAAAGTTGAAGGGGCCCAAGGGGTACTAGAAAGAGACATGGTTGAGGCTGGGGGGCAGAGGGATATTAATCACTTTTAGTACATTACTAGCAATGATTTACAAAGAAATGTAAATGTAATCAGAGAGCTAGATGACTAGGAAAGAAGATCAACCAGTTTTGCATAAAGAGCGAGAAGAGATAGATGGACAATCATTTCTACCTGTGAAATGCTAAAAGACAGAGAAGAAGTCCTTGAGGGCATCGGGTAGCTTCTTTATTATAGTTTTCAGGAGAGGCATGAACAAGAACTGGAAAGAATGAGGTGAGGAAGGGTCCAATCTGCACAAATGGAGAATAAACACAGAGGTATAATAATGTATTTCTCAAAATATTAGTCATTCTGCAACTCGGGGTCATTAACAGGTCAATAGGGAAGGGTGAGTTGACAGGAATGGCCACTGGTGAAGTACTGGCAATGCTCACTGAAGCCCAAGAACCACTGTAGATCCTTCAGGGTTATCAGAGACTCAGATAAGAATGGCACCTGTCTGTCAGAAGTACCCTTCAGTCTTTAATGGTCTGTGAAGTGTCTAAGGATGTCTACCACGTCGTCCCCTTAACAAGGACACTTTTCTACCTTGATGGCATTACTGCAGGGGTAGGTGTGTTTGTGCGTGTGCGGGCCTATGTGCACTGGTGTCTTGAGAGTGGACAAAAATGTGTGGTGGCTATCACTACTCCACAGACACTCCCCAAAGCACTGATGAAGCAGGGAAAGGGGTAAGAATGTTTCTGAGGACCATGGATCCAAACTGTCCTGGCTCTTTGTGGCAGACAGTTTTCCATTTGTCTCCCTTTCCAAAGAAGATCCAGTAGGAGGGCCAACCAGCCCAGCTGGTCCAGATGGTACAGAGTTGATGGCACATAGTGATGATGTTGAGAGACCAGGGATTAGTCCTCCATTAGAATGCTCTGTATTTCTGAATGAAGAGCACTGGATCTCAGGTAGAGAAGATAGAATCCTTTCTGAGGATGTAGCCTGGAATTCATGGTGACTGACTTCTGGGTTCATCAGGGAATATAAGCAATCTGCCAGGAGCTGGGTCTTCAATACACAATTTATTCATTTATTAAAATAATAATAGCTGGCATTTATATAGGGCTTTATGATTTGCAAAGTACTTTATATATGTAATAGTAATGATGGTTGCTAGAATTTACATAGTGCTTTAAGGTTTACACAGTGCTTTACATTGATTATTTTATTTTATCCCTACAACAGTCCTGGGAGGTGGGTGCTATTATTACCCTGTGACATATAAAAAGTTTGAGAGACATAATTTCTGGGTAATTAATCATTTTATTAATTATGCTAGTGGATAGTTAATAAAAGGGGTTAGTGGCACTCTTGAATGCCAAAGACCCCTCATGGAACTCACTGAAAGCTTATATGCCCTTGGAAGAGCGGGTATTTCTGAGGGTGACAATCAACTCTGATTGGTTAACAATTGAGAAGAATGAATATTATAATGAGACCACTCCCAGACCACCCCCTGCCTTGGGCAATCTAGACTAAGAATCCAACCCCCACCCAAGACTGTGTAGAACACAATGGGCTTCCCCACTTGGGTCCCTCTGAACTAGACTGATGAGAAAGTTAATCCAATCTCATTATCAGCAATGTACTTCTGATGCTGGCTTGACACATTAGGGAATGAGGAGATAGGAAGGGAAAAAACCATGAATCTCTCCACAGTAAATGGTTATTGAATAATCATTTCTCTCAATCCTCATTTTACAGATGAAGAAACTAAAGCTAAGCATTAAGTGACTTACCCAAGGTCACACAGCTAATGTATGGCACTAGCTTGAGGCAGGATTGAAAATTAGGTCTTACTGACTCTTAAGTTCATACCTCTGTCCCTTGAGCTACCTAACTGCTTTTCTATCTCATTTGCTTATTTGATCAATAAGCATTCATTAAGGTATTTATTATGTGCTAGGCACAAAGGCATAAAAATTAAACTGTCCCTGCTCCTTAAAGAATCTATGTTTTAATGGAGTTAATCAATACAATATTGGGAGTGGCATAGGAACAAGGCATTTGAAGGCTTCTCTACACTCTTAGTGTTTCTAGGGGCCTCTAGTTTAGCATGAAGTGAGAATGACTTCATGTAGTCCCTGCCCTCAAGGAGTTCAGTCTAATAGAGGAGACTATGTGGAAATAACTATGTATAAATAAGTTATGTATATATAGAATAAATTAGAATTAATCAATCATTGGAAGGCATTAAGTGTTAAGGGGGATCAGGAAAGGTTTCTCATGAGACATAGGGTTTTATCTGGGACTTGAAGGAAGCCAGGGGTCAAAGATGAGGAGAGAGTAGTATGGGCACAGACAACAGTCAGTGAATTTAGAGCCTTTCCTTTGGAGCCTTCTCCCACCAGGGGGACAACTCTGGCCTTTGTAGGCATTTAACCCTTTCTGAACCCAGTTAAGGTCCATAAAGTTTCTAGAAACCCCAGAATTTGAGAGTGACTTCCTAGAGTTTCCTAGAGCTGAGAAGCTCTAAACCAACTGGAAGAACTAGGTACCTGACTTTCCATGCTCTAAAGAGTAAAGACTGAATGGAAGGTGGTTCTACTACCAAAAATTCCTTTACCAGAGAATCCAGTCATTTCCTCTTCTACCCTTTGGCAGGGCAGCTGGGCAGGTAATGACAAAGCTGGACACAAGACAAATGTACCATCAACATGAGCTGGAATCAGGACCACCACATCTGTGTGGGTTCCTCAGAGTTGGCCTGGGATTTCCCGTGAAGCTCAAATACATAGAATAGGTGGGTCAGGCCAACGGCAGAATGTATGTAGTCTTCCATCTTACGTCAGTCCTTGATGAGGGCCTCAGGTTTCTGGACTGCTGTGATACTGATGAGTTCATCACAGATGGGCTTTTGCACCTGCTTACAAACCTGATCCAAAAGTGCTATTTCAGTCCAGGCTGAACCCTGGCTCAGCACCCAGAAAGTATGTGACAGTCTCCCTTCCCCTACCAGAGCTGCCTCATAGACTAGTTGATGGTAGCTACCCAAAGGAGGGACACGTCAAAAGGCCTTTTGACTGCCTGGTTCAAGATGAACAGAAATCCAAATTTCAACTCGGTTGAGAAACTTGTTGTGGTACAAAATTATGACCTCAGTACAACCTGAAAATTTACCTTGGTTGGTGGAGGGCAGCTGAAGGTGGGGGAGAACACTCCAATTACTTTGGAAACCAACCATTCTTTTGTTTTTAGCATGGCCACCACCAACACCTGCTATAGGAGCACTGGGGGCCCCCCAGTTCTGTGCTCACAGGTAGAGAACAAAGCAAATGGTCAAATCTAAAGCAGATGGGAAGTCTCTGGAGTCCCAAGGAGATATTGGGCAGCAGAGGTAGGGGTAACCAAGAGACTACTCCCAGTAGGACAGCTGTGGGAAGAATCAGCCTTGGAAAATATTAATGTTGGGACAAAACTTTAAATATTATTTCCTGGGGCATCTAGGTGGCTCAGTGGATAGAGCACTGGCCCAGAAGTCAGGAGGACCTGAATTCAAATCCGGCCTCAGACCAAACGCTTGACACTTGACACTTACTATCTGTGCAACCCTGGGAAAGTCACTTAACACCAATTGTCTAAAAAAATATGTTATTTAGTCTAAACTCCTTCATTTTTCATTTCCCCCAGAGAGGGAAAGGGACTTACTAAGGTGACCTAGCTACCACATAGCTATTGATAGAACCAGGAGCCAACCCTAGTCTGCTGAATACAAGTCCCAATGGCTTTTCCCTACACTGCTCCATCTCTCAACTCTAAGACTCTGGACTGAAAATTATAGTGAGGAGAGGCAAAGCCCAAACGCCTGGGAGGCCAGGATTCAAGCAGGCAATTGAGTGAAGAGGCCAGAAAAGCCAACTCCAATTCATGCCACATGAATAGATCATAGAAATAGTAGACAAGGACCAGTTGGTTTTACTTGGTGTATATTCTGTTTCTGGAACATGGCCTCTCTGCGTGGTTATCCATAGTTCTTATTGATGTATATACACAAGGGACAGGGAATCCTAACAAAACATAGTGTGAACTAGCCCAAGATCTTGTGGGCTACCAAGATCCTGGCTGGGGTTTGGGAGGGAGCTGGGTTGGAAGGGAAGATCAGAGATTCAAAATTTGTGCAGAGGTTTATTTTAAGCTATTTGAGAGTAGAGGCTGTTTGGTTTTTGTCTTAGTATCCCCAGCAAGATCTAAATGGAAGGGAAACATTTTACAAAATGAAAAACCTTGAGAAACTAAACCAGATTTTTTTGGTGAAAAATTTTTATGTTTTGAATAGTGGTAGTAGGGATGGGAGAGGATAGGGTAGGAACTGATTTCAAGAGAGGATCATAGGATCTATCACAGGAAGGGGCACAATCCCTCCATTTTACAGATGAAATAGTAGAAAGTCTGAATTACTTGCCCAAAATCACACAGTAAAACTGGCCTACTTACTGTTAACACAGTGAACACACCAGCTCCTGTTTCTGTACTTTTGCACTGGCTGTGTCCCATTCCATGCTTTGGAATGCTCTGCGTTCTTCACCTTCATCTCTTACTTTCCCTAGCTTCCTTCAAGACTCAGCTCAAATCCCACCTTCTGAAGAAAGCCTTTCCTGGTCCTTCCAATTACTAGTGCCTTCCCTCTCAGATGACCTTCTATATACACCATATATACCTCATACCTATTTAGTTATTTGCATGTTGTCTTCCCCATTAAAATGTGAGCTCCTGGAGGGTAGGGCTTGTTTTTGCCTTTCTTTATTATCTAGCATTTAGCGCAGCGCTCAAGGACTGACTGATTGACACAGATAATTAACAGACAGAGCCAAGATTCAAACCTAAAGCAGCCCAAGGAATGTAGTTTCATTCTGAAGTTAGGAGGAAAGATGGTGAGACTGGGTGATTTCTAAGGTACCTTTCACTCTCTCCCCTTTCCAATCCAGGCATCGCACTGCTGCCAAGTCAATATTCCTAAAGCACAGGTCTGATCACATCCCTCCCTTGGTCAGGAAGTTCCATCGGTTTCTTCTTGCCTCTGTTTAACATGCAAAGCCCTTCACAGTCTGGCTTCTACTGATCTTTACAGATTGATTATGCCTTATTCCCCTTTATGCACACCCTGCTGTAGTAGCCAAGTTAATCTACTTTGCTGTTCCTTACATATAACATTCCATCTCTGATCTCTCTGCCTTTTTCCAGACTCCCCTCCCCATTTTCCTCTTCCCAAAACTCCCTGCCCCTCCCCCAAAAGAAAAAACCTGCCTGGAACATTCTGCCTTCTTACCATCTCTTCCTGGAAGTCCTAGCACCCTTCGGGGCTCAGCTGAAGTGGTTACCTCCTCCAAGAGTCCTTTCTTGATTCCCACATTGCCTAGTTACCATTTATTCATTTTGTGTTTAGCCTATTACTTATCCGTGAAGCTGAACCTCCCAATAGAATGTAAGCTCTTCGAGGGTGGGGACTCTCATTTTCCTATTTGTATCACCAGTGTCTAGTACAGTACCTGAGCCGTAGCATGTGTTTAAAAATGTTTATTGATGAATCTATCAATCTGAATCTTAAAACGCTATAATCTTCTTGTTCAACTTTTACTCACAACTTTTGTTTCATGGGGTGGGGACTTTTAGGTCCGCATCCACCACTCCATCGGGTTCTCCCCGGACCTCTCAGCAAAACGTTTACAACCCTTCGGAAGGCTCCACTTGGAATCCCTTTGATGATGACAATTTCTCCAAACTCACAGCAGAGGAGCTACTGAACAAGGACTTTGCAAAACTTGGTGATGGTGAGTGGCAAATGCCAATTCTCCATGCTGGCAAACATACCACAATGAAAAGGAGCCAGGTAATACCTGCTCCCAGAGCTTTTTTGCCTAAGTAGATGCACATCTGTGGGCCTTTATTTCCCTTGCCAAGAAATTTTTGGATGTAAAAACTTTTAAAGTTTGGGGACAGAAAGTATTTTTACCTAGTACACTAAATTCACATTGTCCTCAAGAAATTCTAATAACCTATGCTATTCTGGCAAGGGGGCAGAGAGAGAAGTTAGGAAGAGAACTTCAAGAAGCATCATAGTATGGTAAAAACAACACTGATTCTGGATTCGGAGGACCTGGGTTCAAATTCCACCTCTACTTACTACTTTTGTGATTTTGGGGCAATTCATTTAAACCTCAATTTACTCAACTGTAAAATGGGGGGTGATAATAATAGCAGCCACCTCCCAGGATTATTGGTAGGACCAAATGAAAGAGCATCCATACAGCACTTAGCACAATTCCTTGTGCACAGTAAGCACTTAATACATGCTTGTCTCCTTCCTTTCCAGTAAGTAGAGGAGCTACAAAATGAACCCAGGTCTCTTGACTCAGCACCATTGATGGGTTTCCACAGCACCTTCATAATAGCAACAATAATCACAAAAACAATAATAAATCTCATTTCTAAAGAGCCTTAAAGTTTATAAAGCTGTTCTTTACCCCGTAATAGTCCTGTGAAGTAGGCTGTTTGCTCTCTCAGTCAGGCTGAGGGACTTCTGACTATTATCAGTGCACGCACCTCTCACAGCCTGTTTGCCTTCCCACACCCTGACCTACCTGTTCTGTAAGTCACAGGATCTAGGATCACTTGGATGGATGCACCTGAGTACAGATGGGAAATACCCTTGATATTGTGTCAGTCTTTTTGGTTCTTTTCCATGTCCTCCAAAGTGAATCCATCCAGGGCATTTGGAGGCCTTTCTTTAAGGTCCATGTGTACCAGAGTAAAACTCAGGCTACCCATCTCTAATCTCTCACCTTCAATATATCTCCAGCTCATCTCCTTTTCCATTTTTTTCCATTATATTTGTTAGATGATATAACTACACCATTTTGGTGACTGATTACCTTCTTCTTCTTCTCTATTTACCTATTATCTCCTTCATTATAATGTAAGCTCCCTGGAGGGCAGGGATTTTTTTTTAAACTTTCTTTGTAGCCCTAAGACAGGGAGTGAATAGAGTGCCAAGTCTGATGTCAAAAAGATTCATCTTCCTGAGTTTAAAGCTAGTCTCAGATACTTTGGGCAAGTCACTTAATACTGTTTGCCTCAGTTTCTTCATCTGTAAAATGAGCTGGAAAAGAAAATGGCAAACTACTCCAGTATCTTTGCCAAGAAAACACGAAATTGAGGTCATAAAGAATCAGACAGGACTGAAAAAGGACTGAACAACAATAATAAGCCCTAGGGCTTGGTGCTGTGCCTGGCAGATAGTAAGAACTTGATATTTGTTGAACGACTGGCGCTAATCCATCCTCAACTCAATTGACAGTGATTTTCCTAGTAAATTCGGTGGCTTCCTGGTACCTTCAGGGTCAGACATAAACTCAGCTCTGTTTGGCATTTAAAACTTTCATAACCTGGCCTCTTCTTACCTTTTCAGTCTTTCTACCTTCCACATATTCTGCCTTTCACACATTCCTCTTTGCATCTGCCCCTCCCAGGATGAGCTCTAATCTCATCACCGTTCTGCCTACTCAAGCTTTGATTGACACCACTTCCCTCAGCCTCCTCATGCCTCTGATTGGAAGTATGGAGTATGGAGTACCAAACTCCTCCCAACGCCTTCCTTTATAGAGGGCAGAAGATGAACTTTTGGGCTCGTTCCACTGTTTCTGCTTTCTGTCTGATTTCAACTCCACAGAACAAGTTACCTTCTGGTGTCCCATTTCTATCTCCTCCCTATCCTCCCACTCCCCTTACCTTTCTTGCTTCCTTTTGTGTATTCTTCCCCCCCACACACCCCAATTAGATTATAAATTCCTTGAGGGTGGGGACTATCTTTTTTTGTATTCCTAGTGCTTAGCCTGGTGCCTGGTAGTAGTAGGCACTCAATTAATGTTTATTTGGATTGCATTGGATACTCCAGTTTTGCTTTACTGGCCTACTTGTCGTTCTTTGAACATGACACTCTTGCTCCCATCTCCATACTTTTGCATTGGCTGTCCCCCATGCCTGCAATGCTCTTCCTCCTCACTTCCACCTCTTAGTTTTCCTTGCTTCATTAAATGCTCAGTTCAAATCCCATCTTCTTTAGTAGACCTTTCTTGGTTGCCTTCAATTGATAGTTCCTTTCTCTTTGAGCTTACCTTTTTCTATATACTCTGTGTACGTCTTATATAAACATAGTTATTTACATGTCATCTGCTCTTTGGAATGAGAGGTCCTGGAAAACAAAGATGTATGTGTACTGCACCATTGTTGAGATGTTGGGTTGTATTGTTTTTTTTCCATTGGTGGGGAGAAATATCCAGAATAAATAAAAAGAAACTGGAGCAGTGCATGGTAATCTTCCATCCTAAGTAACTGCTATTCCTGAAGCTGCTTTTAAATTGTTCGACTCTTCTATGTAAAATAAATAATTTGGAATTAGATTAGAAAGACCCAATACTGAAGAGCTCACTTCATGTCCTCTTATGTTGATTGTCTTCAGTGCAGGAAAGATTGTTTACTTACTGTATACACATGCAGCACTGTAATCTCTCTACTCCATTGAAGTTATTATATTTTACAAGGTAATATTGTTAGAATTTCTCATTGTTAGAATTTCATACCTGAAAAGTGGAAAAGGTAGCTTGCTGTTATATCTATGCATCTTTGGGGGTTTGAAGGAGGGATTTTATTCTTTTGATGGTGTAAAGAGGAACTGTTTTTTAAAACCTAAGTTGGAAACTTTGCAACTATGTATAAAACTTTTGGGGTTTGTTTTTGGTTTTTAGCAACAAAGCATCATGGGCTGAGAATGCACTGAAAGAAAAAAAAAAGAATGAAAGGTCCTTGAGGACAGGGATCCTGTTTTTGCTTTTCTTTGTATTCTCAGCACCATGCCTTAAATACAATAAGTGCTTAATAAATGCTTGTTGACTTGACTAGACATGCCATAACCTATTTAGACCCACCCACTGTGCCATCATCTCTCCTTTACTCCTAGTGTGACCTGCAATTTAGATTCTTCAGGAGATTGTGCTATTTTTCTATCTGTAGCTATATAGACCATCAGGAAAAGACTGATGTTAAAAAAAAAATTCAAATGTCAATGAGGAGCTTATAATCGTTGAAAACGCTATATAATTTCTCATTGCAAGCCAGCCTGTCTTTTCCTCTTCTTTGATTTTATTACTTAATTCTTTGTCCATGTACATTGCTTAACACAGATTCCATCAGTACATATATTCAATGGATTTATAGCCCGACTGAATGTCATCGTACAGACAATGGACATTCTTCATCCATTTACTTTTGTTCTATGTACATTACTGGCCTGATGTCTTTTGATAGTCTAAAATGTCATCATCTTTTGGAAATCCTTTATTCCTTTTAAATAAGTACAGGAACCAGTCTCCCATGGCAGGGGCTGACATGTTTGACAAGCACACAATCTTCTCCCTTTAACCCCTGACAATACTGATAATTAGAGAAACTTTGAATGAAGTTCTCTATGATTGAAGATATCGAGGAATTTTATATGGTTTTTAACATATTGTGGGAGACACATTGGTGGAGAACCTTTATGTCTTGCTACCAAGTCACATTTCACCTCTGAAGCTTACATACTTAATATCTACGTGATCTGGATCTGGGTTCAAATCCCTTTTTTGGCGCTTAGTGTCTCTGTGGACTTGGACAAGTTACTTAACCTCTTTTGGCCTCAGTTTCTTTATCTGTAAAATGAAGAAATTAGAGGTCACCTCCAGCTTTAGTTCTATGATCTCTTTATCCTAAGAAATGCTTTTTATAATAAATAACCATGCAGGAACTTGTCTTCACAGTTTTAATTCAATGGTGGGACTGAATATCTGCTCTACATAGAAAATCATTTGTAAAAGACTTTTTATTTCCATCTCAAATTTTCATCAAGAATGCCCTCAAATAGTTAGGTCATACTCATGAGAGTACAGACAAGAGAAGATAGGTATATGGATGGGTAGTTTATGATGTCTTCTCAGTTGCCATTTTTTTATATTAAAGGGTGAGCAATAATAACATCTATAATTGTTTCTTTTAGAAGGGTAGAAATGACAGAGAGACAGATTTAGGATTGATTTAAAGAAAAACATCCTAACAACTGAAGCTATGCAGTAGATTTACCTGCTGCCTCTGGAGGTGACAGGTTCCCTCTCACTGGAGAGCTTCCGGGAAAAGCTGGATAGCCACTTCTTGGGAATGTTGTAGAGGATTCTTGTCTAGATATGAGTTGCACTAGAGGGCCTCTGATGTCCTTTCTAGCTTTTTAATTATGTAATTCTGAGGAGTCTATATCAGTAACCATTTGTTTGCCATCAGTTCATTGTGTGTGTGTGTGTGTGTGTGCATACACACATGTGCATGTATGTGTGTTTGTGCATGTGCACATGTATGATATTGTTTGCTGATGTTTGCCATGTAAAACACCTTTTGTCTCTTTTCTTGAGTAAAGTATGTACTGCTGTAAGGCTTCCAAGTAGCCTACAAATCTTTGGCTTCTTTCATTTCATAATTCTCAACTCAGTTTCCCAATATATTTTTCATCTTCTTACCCTATGCCCACCTTTTCACTAAAGTCACTGAGTACTGAGGTGTAGGTTGTCTTGTTTCGGAGGATCTCGTGAAGTTCGCAGTACACTTTCCTCTAACAGTCTGCTACAACAAGTGGTCATATAAAGGGCCATAGTTATCTTTGTGGTGGTCTTTTTGCTCATGCTTATCATAAGAACATTGATGCAAGATGATCAAGTGTCCCATGAAATTATGTTTCTTGTTGCCTTTGGGCATCTAGTGAAACCAACTCCTCTATTTGTCCCTCCAAGGAGACCCTATGGGTCATCATTGTATCACATGTCTTACAGTTTCACTTATAGAACACAATGTTCATATGGTCCACTTTTTCTAAAGGTATACCAGCTCACTAGTAGATGGACAAAAACTATGCACATAAGAGTACCAACAGTTTAGTTGAGATTGACAGATATTCTAAAAATTGTGTATCTATCCTCCACTTCCTTTTCTCACTGCTCTACCATATCACCTCAGATATAAAAGGGGGTCCCATAGGACTGAAGTCCCTTTTGTATATTTTCTTGTGGGTTGCCATGGCCAAGGAAGTCATTGCCTAGTGAATTGCCTAGGTTGCTATGGACAGTGAGCCTCTTCTTCCTTCACCAAGTTGGTGCTTAAATACCAAAGAGTCTATGATTGGGTCTATACTTAGTGCATTTCTAGTTTGGTAGAATGTTTCAGACTCTGTTCCTTGGGAATAACCTTCAAGAGCCTAATGTCATCTCCTTGCCCAAATGAGGCATAAGAGTTGGACTTTGTCAATCTTCTATGTCCTCCTATCCATTCTCATTTATTGTTTCTAGTACACGGTGGGGACAGCTAGGTGGTGCAGTAGATAAAGCACTAGGCTTGGAATCAGAAAGACTCATCTTCTTAAGTTCAAATCCAGTCTCAGACAGTTACCGTGAGACCCTAGGCAAGTCATTTAACCCTGCTTGCCTCAGTTTCTCATCTGTACAATGTGCTGAAGAAGGAAATAGCAAACCACTCAGGTATCTTTGCCAATAAAACCCCAAATATGGTCACAAAGAATCAGACATAACTAAAATTACTAAACAACAACAGCAGTATAAAACGGGCTGCGAATTCAAGAGTTCTTCATGTAAAATAGAAAATACGCTCTGGATGAGAACCTGGTGCTTTTTCCAGTGTACAAATAACAACAGTAACTTGTGTGTATGTGTCTCTTAAAGTGATTGCTATGTATCCATGTATGTCTTAACAGTGCTGTGAGTTAGATAGAACAAATATTGTACTCATTTATGGACGAGGAAACAGGCTTAGCAATTGAAACTGAAATTCAAGTTACCTGACTTTTGCTACATGGACTTTGATAGAAACATAAATAGGGTATATGTATTATTTTGCCTGTTCAGAGACTTTTTTGCCCCTTGCTTCTGACTTCTGAGCTGTAGTCCTCAAACTTGAGGTTGCCAGATGAGTGAGGTGTTATTGCAACATCAGAGAATCAAACAGAAACATGATTCTGGCCCCGCAGATCTAGAAGGTTGGATGTGTATACATACTCAGAGCCACATTCCCATTAAGAGTTGTATGTTTTACTACTCTAGGCAAACCTGAAAAACTTGGTGGTTCAGCAGAGAGTTTGATCCCAGGCTTTCACCCAGGGCCAGTCACTACTCAAGCAGATGCTTTTGGCTCCTCCTCCTTTTCTACTGGAACTGGTAAGGATGATTAATGCTTAAAGAAAAAGTAATCCCATCTTTGATATCATATACGTTGCTTGCCAGCAAGCCCTCTGCCTTTATGGTGACATGTTTCTGAACACAAGCTATATATGGTGGAAAAGAGGTGGTCAGGAATCACTAGAGAACTTGTAAGTAAGTAGTAAAGAGGTAGATTCGTTGAGTGAATGTGTTGCATACGTGGATTGATGGGTGAATGTTTCAAAGGACTAGATGGCTGGGTATGGTGGCACAAGCCTGTAATTCCAGTGACCAGGGAGGCTGAGGCTGGTGGCTCTCTCGGTCTATGGAATTCTTAGCTGATTGAGTGTCTGAACGAATTAATATGGTGAGCCCTCAGGAGTTTGGGAACCATCAAGTTTCCTAAAAAGAAGCAAACCAAACCAAACAAAGCAAATCGAAGCTCCCATGTGGATCAGTAATGGGAATCGGTAAGTCAGTAGTCCCTGAACTTCTAGCCTCAGCAAGATGGGGAGACCCAGCCTTTTTTGTTTTCCCTAAGGATATACTAGAAACATAAATAGGGCATATGGGTGAATGTGTTGCTATTTAAAGGAACAAGGTGACGCAACAATACAAACAGGTGTTCTCTTCCAATGCATATACTTTCTCTGTCCTGGGCTGAGACGTAAACAGATATTTTTGGTCTTTGTTGGCACAAAATGTCTAACATGTTGACAAAAGGAATTTTTCCTCCCTAAGGAAGGTTCACCGTATTGAGTTGATCACTTGCTTTCTCTTAATGTCTCTGGAATGAATTTAAGAACCCTGAGTGTTAGACTCTACTCCTTCATGTCTAGAATCTATGCATTGAATCTAGCTTCCTGCGCTTGTTCTCAGACTTTGCTTCTTAGAGACTGTGTCCTCATCTGGTCAGTCACCAGCTGATATCCTCCCTACCCACTTTCTGCTTGAAATGGAGGTGAAGTGTGGGGAAGAGTGAGTGAGTAGGGGTATCTTCTAGCTATGATCCCCCCCACACACACTTCTTTCCCTTTTATGGAATATCCTCCCTTCCTTTCTCCCAAACTCCTGCCAGTCAATCCTAGTGCTTCAGCTGACAAGCATAGTAGCTTTTTGCCATAAAAAAATGTTGGGGACGCTTCTGTTCTAGAGCAGGCTTAGAACAGGATTAGGGTGTTTGAGCTGGCTGATAACTTCGAAAATGGGCAGATAGATATTTTCACTAAATAAATGTCTTCTTCAAAATTCAAAGAGAATTAAAGGCAATTTAAAGACTAGAAGCTTAAGCTTCTTAACACTAATGGAATTTAGAATAAATACCTTTTTTTCTTAGTATACTAAGGTACTTGTATATTGACTCTTTACTTCACTCCAGCCTTAGGTGCGCTTGCAACTCACTTTATTTAAAAATGAAAGAGTAAAATTGGTCTCCTAGCACTATTACATTTCCTGCTTCCACAGTCTATGCCTTTACTTCTGTATATTCTTTCCTCACTGCCACCTCTTTAAATCCCCAGGCTTCTTTTAAGACTTGGTTTAGGGGCAGCTGGGTGGCACAGTGGATAGAGCTCCAGCCTTGGAGTCAGGAGGACCTGAGTTCAAATCTGGCTTTACACACTTGACACTAGCTGTGTGACCCTGGACAAGTGACTTAACCCTGATTAACTCACAAAAAACAAAAGACTCAGTTTAGATGCCATCTCCTACATGAAGCCTTTCTTGATTCTCCTCCCCCTTGCCAGTTAGTATTCTCTCCCTCTTTAAATTTATCTTTGTAACTTGGTAGAGCTCTTGTATTTACATTTCTGTATATACGTTGTTGTTCTCCAGTAGAACATAAGTTCTTTGAGAACAATTTTGGTTTTGTATCTCTGATGCTTAATATGCTGCCTTGCTCATTAAGTAGGCACTTAAGTGTTGACTTGAGCTGAATCAGATTGAATTAAATTGAAGAGCAAACTGGTTCAAAGAGTACTAATTAAAATAAAAACTAAGAGGGGAGAACTGTTCTAAGAGAAAATGAGTAGAGGCATCTCATGGTATCATCAACAAATATTTTTTGATGCCTGACTACTAGGTACAGGGGTACTTGGGGTGGGATGTGGGGAGATATAAAGGGACAAAAGACAGTTCTGCCTTTGAGATGACATGCTTTCATGGGATCCCATTCATTGATTTTTTTTTCTGCCAGGAAAAAAAGGTAGCAAAATATGTTTCACAAACCTAAAATATGAGAAGTCAAACCTAACCAAGGCTAAGCAACAAGATTTTTCTAGTTATTGACAAAAGGCCACAGTCATATTTTTTCCCTCCAAATTTCTCATTCATTTAATTCTGCTGAGTAGAAATGATTATCCATGTGTTCATTTAGATATGATTTTTGAAGTCTTATTTTATTTTTATATTTTTGAAATTTTTTATTTCTCTGCACTTGCTTCAAGGGCTGTGCATGAAATTCTGAAGAAACCCCAGAATCTCTAGAGCTGTACATTGGCCAAAAACTCTTGGCTTTATCAGAGGCCAACATGTTATTTGAGGGGCGTAGAAAGTATTGGTCCTATGGCTCTCCTTTTCTTACCCAAGAAACATCTCAGAATACAGATTTCAAAGACTGACTTCAGAAGAGCAGGAGAAAGGTCAACTCAGTTCTTTTTTTCTCTTCATTTAGTGCATCTTCAGGCCCTCATTTCTTGTATTTGACCATTACAGAAACACCAAAAATCCAAGATTTCAAAACAATCTGCTATGGAGTCATTAAATGGTTGAACCCAGAATCTATCCCAGGTGGTTTTTTTTCTTTTTAAATTTAATTCCAACCTTTTAATATCTAAATATCTATTAAGATACACACACACACACACACACAGAATCCTATATCAGAGTTAGAAGGGACCTCATAGGGCCTTCTAGTCCATCCCATACCTGAACTAGAATCCCCTCTTCAACCGGACCCCTAAGTAGAGAAGCCTATGCTATCTGTAAAATAGGGAAAATAATAGCACCTTCCCCCCAGGGATCAAATGAGATAATATTTTAAAGTCTTTAACACAGTACCTAGCACATGGTAAATGCTGTAGAAATGTTAGCCATCATTATTATTCTTATAGACTTCCAGTAAAGTGAAACCTACTACCTACTGAGGCAGGGCATCTATCTCCAGGCAGATAGATGGCGAATTCAACAAATATTTTTTAAGAAATTATCATGTGAAAGGCTCTGTTGCTAGATGTAGGAGATACCATGATAACTAATACATAACAGCTGCTTTCCAGAAAATATAGGCATCACCAATTAATATAGCTTAGTTATGCAACAAAGATGCAACAGAAAATTACATAACTAAGCTTCAGACATCTTGAAAGGCTTTCATTTTTACACTGGTTTACCTGTGATCTTTCTTTGGGGCATTCCTTATTTTTCTGCCTTTTTTTCTTTGTCACATCATAATTCTGGATTGTCACACCTTCATCCTTTGACCAAGGAAGATGCTCGATTGCCTTCACATATGAGAAATGAGGCTGTTAAAATGGCATGGGCACAGACCTTTACTGAGCTCTAGATTATCTGCCAAAGAAGGGAAGAAACCCAATCTTTGGGGAAGGTGTTCTTTCAAACACCCTTTTCTGGTGCAAATTGCAAAGGAGATGTAGTTGTGGATTCTCAGGTTTTAGGCAGGCTGGGGATGGTGACTAAAATTAATCCTGCCTCTTAGACAACTCAGCTCCCTAATTTCATTTCAAAATTAATAAAAGGTTTATCCTTTTCCAGTAAAGACACAGAGAGATGCTAATGGCAGGGGAGACACTGTGGTATAGGAGGGAAAAGTCCTGGGTTTAGAATCAGAAGATCTGGGTTCAGCTGTTATGCTTTGCCACATAGCTCCCTATGTGACCTTGAATAAGTCATCTGACTTCTTAAGGCTCCAGTTGTGGTCTATAAAATGAGGAAGTTGGCTTAGAAGACCTCTAGAGTCTCTTCCAGCTCTGAATCTATGTTGCTATGAAAACAAAAAATGCAGTGTTCAAGCAGCCTGAGAGTCTAGGTTCTACTTCTCATACTGTGACAAATAACCTGGGTGACCTTAGGTGAGTAACTACTTCTGGATCATTTCACATCTGTAGACATGGAAGAGGGTCTTGGCAGTCCATGGACTGCTCAGAATAATGTTTGTCAATTCATAGAATAAAATATATAGGATTACCAAGGAAATCATTTATATAGATATACAAAGATAAAAATATTTTTAAAAAAACAAGTGTATGGATCCCAAATGTATGGAACCCGTGTGACTGGATGGTTAAGGTGCCTTAAGGCACCACCATGACTAGATCATGGATTAAGGCAGAAGTGTCAAACACGTGTGGCTTGTGACACTTCCCAAGTGCAGGGGCCCAAACCAGATTAAAATATAATTGGGAAATAGTTAACAAAATAAAAACATAATAAAACATAGATGATATTACATTTCAAAACTAAATCAATATGCGACCCATCAGGATCCTCATACAGAGATTAATGGCTCATGTTTCTATTTGAGTCTGATACCACTGGTATAAGGTATGTAATCCCTTTAAGACTTCATTTATATACAAGCAGAGGGCCTCACAGGCTGTCTAAACAGATAGAGTCCCAGGGAGTTAAGTGCTAAATACCACACAGGTAATTAGCACCAAAGGCAAGATTTGAACAGAGGACGTCTGACTTCAGTGCCAATGTCCTTTGTACTATATCACATTGTTTTTCTCTACCCCCCAAAATTCTATGAATTTATATGTTTGTCTCACAAATCGAACACACATACACACCACCTCTGGACACTGGTCTCACTCTATCTCCTTATTCCAAGCATTTTCATTGACTGTCCCCCATGCCTTGAATTCTCTCCCCTTTATCTCTATCTCCTGGTCTCCTTCAAGTCTCAACTAAGATCCCACTATCAGAATCCTTTATAATTCTCTCTTATGCTAGTACCTTCCCTCTCTTGGTTATTTCCAAATTATTTTGTACGCATCTTACTTGTTTAGAGTTGCTTCCTTTGTATCCCCAGCACTTAGTACAGTGTCTGGAACATAGCAGGTGCTTCATAAACGCTTGTTGGTTGTCTGTCATATTTTAATATGATTGTAAACAATATGCCCGGGATATCTCACTGGTTTGAGAGAAATTATTGTCCCTAGCTCAGTTCAGTCAACAAGTATGATGTGATCAGTCATGATCAGACATGACTTCAAGGAATTAAGTCTTTCTGGGGAGACACTCCTCACTGGGAAGCAGATAATCATAGGAAACATGATATGATTAGATAAAGAGGTGTGATCACATCAATAAAGGAAGTGCCCAGGCCTGAAATCAGGCATCCGTGAAATGTAGAAATAAGGATACAGTTAAGTACCAAAACACATGATCCAGACAGTAAATCTGTGGGAGTTCCAAGAAGGGGGAGATATCTGTGTGGGTTAATAGTCCTCCTGGAAGAGGTGGAACTCAAGGACTCATGTAAATATTCTGCCAATATCACTGGGTGACCGAGATGTCTTGCATACAGAAATATTCTACAATCCAGTTGTAAATACTGAAGGGCTACTGCAGTAGGACGGATTTAAATCTGAACAGACTTTCTGTTTTATCCTTCCTTCCTCTCTGTTTTTCCCTCCCTCCATCCTTCCCTTCCCTTCCCTCTGCCACTACTGCTCTAGCTTAGACCACATGAAGCCTTGTTGGCTGCTGGATAAATTAATTCCCTGGGCAGGAAAATCTTATATAGCTTCTTGATGTTTTCTGCTTTTCTCTTTCTTTTTCTCTCTTTATCTTTGCTCACTACCCAACCCTCCAGCTGAAAAAACGAAAGATGTGCTTGGTCTGGATGCTAGCCCTCCTCTTCTGAACGTGTCTGATCCTTTCATCCCTCTCCCAGTACCTGATGCTCCAGGTAAAGGAAACTCTGAGGGGATGTTGGGGTAATGTACGGATAGATACCCATTTCCATGTTGTTTTCCAAAAGCTTCATTTTCAAGGTACTCAGTGAGGGAATTTGGATTTGTGAAAGGATTTAGGAGGAAAAGGGGAAAGGATGAAAGCCAATGTGGGACTGTACTGTTCCCAAGACATTACTTCAAGGAAATGTCGCAAATGAATTTGTAGCATCTGCAGAGGAATAAGGACGCAACAAATTAATAACACACCTCACATATGCACATTCATTCACTGTGTCTTCATTACCGGACCCCCACCCCCACTAATTTTGTAAACAATACCAGCCTATAAGATGGAAAAGGAAAAAAACACTGACTTCTGGAAATCAAGAGACTTTGGTTCTAGACTCATCCCAGTCTCTCAACTAGCTGTTGTGATCCTTGGACAAATCACTTAACCCCTTTGGGCTTCACAAAAATCACAGAATTTCAGCATTAAAAGAAACTCTAGTGACTATCTTGTCCAACCCATATGTGCCATTTCTTCTGCAACATACCTGACAAGTGGTCATCCAATCTTAGTTTGAAGACCTCCTAGGAGGGAGACCCCACTACTTCCCGAGGCAGCCCATTCCGTTTAGAAACACTTCTAATGGCTCCTCAAAAGCAGAGACTGTCTCGTTTTTATCTTCATATCCCCAGTGTGCCTAGCACAGTGACTGGCACATATCAAGCCTCAGTTTGCCTCTTGGCACCTTTCAGCCCTTGCTCCTAATGATCTGTTCTGGGGTCAAGAATATTTCTTCATTTTCTCCATCTGGGAAACAAGAGGGCTGTGTTGCAAAAACTTAATGTCCACAACCAAGCACTGGTCTCTATTGACAGGAAAAGAGGAGGAAATTCAGCTGACACTGTGGCTCTGACCTGCCTGTTCTACTCATTTTAATTTGTGCAGTACCCCATTTTTGGATGTTAACAGGTTGGACTATAGGACAAATCTTCCTCTCAACTCTAACATTCTATGCAACATAAGCTGTGACCTGGACCAACTCATATGCCCATGAACACTTCACAAGAGTGACCTAAGACGATGAGTCCTGAGTTCCAGCACTAGGTACCACATCAACATCAAACCCCAAAGCTTCACCTTGACTCTCCCCTTCTCCCATGCTCACCACAAGCCCCACTCACCATCCATTCAGGGTAGTTTCCCTCCCCATCCTTTGAAGCAGTGGTACAATTGGTCCCCCACCTCGCCTGTGACTATGTGGCAAGAGTCCTTTAGGGGCTTCTCCCAATCACGGGAAAAGCCATCATCTGTGCCCCTCTGCCTTCATGCCCAGAAGTGTCCCATTTTCCCTGAGATTAGCCAATAGTACCTCCTGCTCCTAACATTCTGTATTTTAAGACCTCTTCCAGTTTTGATTTTCTCTGATTATGTGATCGTGAGGAAGTGGCACATAAGTCTAGAAATGGTTTGTGCATCCTGACTTAGGGAGACATATCTCTCTTTGGCAAGGGGAGGGGGGTAGGGTATGGAAGGAAGAGAACTAAATACCAAAAATTTTATCCCTCTTTGCCCCTTCCACAGCGAAAGAGAAGTCACCCTTTCCTTTCCCCACTGATTAGTTTTTCTAAGTGAATGATATGGGGAAGTGGCTGAGTGTAGTAGATGGCTGGGCCTTTCAATCAGGACACTGGGTTCAAAGCCCACCTCTGACACTAACTTTGCGTTAAGTTATTTATTAACTCCTCAGTGCCCTCCCAGGCAACTCAAAGATGGTAAATTTCAGATCTGTATTGGTGGAGGAAGTTTTTTCCTCTTGAGAGTTGCCTACATCAACAAAACCATAGTTCTGTTTTGCTTCCCAACCGCAAGATAATTTTTTTCCATTTTTTTTTCCTCTTCCTTGGTCTGCCTCCCCCAGTAACCTAAAACCCATAGATTATGGGTTAGCTACATTTTCTTTTTCCTAAAAGATGTTGACTTTGTGGCACAGGGCCAAAAATAGTTGCGAAACCCAGATCTTCTACTTAATAAAATGGGTTGAACCGGTCTCCCTGAAAGAAGTTTTCCTCCTACAAATAATATGTAACGTCACAGCAAAAAATGAACTATGACAAAATATTCTGAGGCCTATATCATGTAAATATCATTAAGAGGACCTTCACTACTATTGACTGAATGAGGTTTGTCTTTAGTGTATTTTTCCCCCATATCTCTCCCACTTTAATGATGACATTCTCCCCCTACCCTATTTCTGAAATGTATCCCATTGGGCGAAGGGTTTGGGAGATTAGATGGTTAGGAGGCAGAGTGCCTTGGCAACACAACCTTCTATGACTGGCTTTCTTTATCAGGACCTAACTACTTATAGGCTTACTTCTTCCCCATTGGCCTCTCTATCTTGCCTCTGTCCGGATTCCAGGAAAAAAATTTTTTTGGTCAGAACAACATTTCCAACATTGGCCTTTTTTATCCAAAACATAAGTTTGGAGTTATATGAGAAATAAAACTGGAAAGAAGTTACAAACAGGGAGGGGGAAAGGAAGAAAACTGCCCAAAATTTGGTTCAGAATAATGAAAAATGATACACATTTAGAAAAACACCTTCTTGTCTTTGCCATTCTGCTGAGAGTGGCTGGAGATTTTTTTTAATCTCCTCTTCCTTTTCTAATAATAAAATAATGTCAAGCACATGGCAGGGTTAATTTTGATTTGACCTCATTTGGACATTTGGTCATCACACTGATTGTTTTTTCCCCTGTTTTGTTTTACCAGGATGCATTTTGGCTTCTGTGTCAGCATAGATCAGCCCTGAGATGAGAAATGGCTTTGTCACCCTGACATTTTATTGGAATTTGCCCTTTTTAACTATAAGTTCTAGAAATTTTAGATTGGTTTTTCAGCCTTGTGTCAAAGATACTCATTTAGGATGTGTAGTGGAAAGGCCCTGGTCTTGGAATCAGCAGATAGAAGTTTAAATATAATATCTGGTACTTACTAGCTGTGTGACCCTGGACAATAACTAAAGGATCTATACTGTGGTTCCACCACTGACACATACTGGTTGTGAAAATGTGGTTGAGTCACCCTAGACTATAAGTTGAAGATGAGCTACTGATCTGCCCCTCTCCTGACAATAATGAAATCATAGGTCTAGACCAATAAGAAAGGGTTAATAATACTTATATGCCCAAACTGTAAAGAAATCACTTTGTAAATCTTAAAGTGCCCCAGAAATGTGAGTCATCATCATCGTCATTATCAATGTTATTATTATTGTTTTCCTTTCTAAGGTTTTACTTTTGTACCTTTCCAAAGCATGGCAGTGACCGTTGGTTTTCAAAGTGGAACACAAGGTCTGTCAAATCTTAGGAAGCTAGAGTTGTGTCTGGAGCTGGCAATCCAAAGACCACTGTAGTTAACTTAGCAGAGACATATCACTGGGTTGGCCCAATGGTGATGAATTTTTCACCCACAGCCTCTCTCAAGACCATCTGTTAAGTCATAGAGGGGTTGCAGGTGATTCTGTGGAGGGGGAGAGCCATTATATGAACTACATCATACATCTTTCAGTTATTGAAGTATTATTGTTATTTGTGAGGGCTGCACATTATTTGGCTCAATCCTTGACTTGGGAACTAAGGGGCAGTATCTCCATTTGGAGAGATTTTGGCTGATACCCGGCATTTCCATTTTAAAGTAGGCTGTCAACAGTGTCTCAAAAGAAAGTTTTATTGGAATGAAAGAAAAAGCAACTATTTCTGCATATTCTGCAACAAGTAGATTGCAGACCTGGTGTGTGGGGACCCTTTTGTTTCAGGGCCTTCCCTACACTGCTGTCAGAATTGACCTCCTCAGGGGAGGGGGGTGGGAGGGGCAGCTAGGTGGCACAATAGATAGAGCTCCAGCCTTGGAGTCAGGAGAACCTGACTTCAAATCCAGCCTCAGACACTTGACACTTACTAGCTGTGTGACCCTGGGCAAGTCACTTAAGCCCCATTGCCTCAACAAAAAGCAAAAAAAGAAAAAAAAGGATTGTCCTCCTGGGACTTGCTATACCAATTCCCAATCATATGGCACCTGAAGATTTGCAGAACTTTCTTCAAAGCAACCCTGTGAGATTGATAATGCAAATATTTGTCCCATTTTATATACAAGGAAATTAAGGCCTAGGAGTTTAAGTGACAGGAATAAGACTTAAAACTTGGAAGAACCTTAAAGATTTGCTATTTTGTTCCCCTGGTTTTACAAGGTAGAAGGGAGGGAGGGCAGGGCAAGAAAGGGGAAGTGATTTGTCCAAGGTTATAAGAAACAGGGCCAGGATTCAAGTCCTCTGACTCTCAAGTCTTCTTTCTACTACCCCAGGCCAGAGTCACATAGCTTAGAAGCATCTGAACTTCCATTCACACTTGGGGCTCCTATTCCAGCACTCTCTCCATTATATTGCATAGCTTGGACCTCTCGACTAATGTCTTCTTTTGGCTAACACAGTTGAACTCAGTGGTTTTCTCCCTCTCCCTTCCCCTGCTCATTCCATTCTCTCCCTCGCTCCCTTCCCCCTTCTATCTCTCTTCTGTCTGTCTCTGTCTCCTTCCCTTATTCTCTCTCGTACTCACCCATTATCTTGCCTGCCTTCCTTCTCTGTCCCTCCCCCATTCATTCTCTCTCCCTCTTTCTTTCACTCTCCTCTCTCTCTCTCTCTCTCTCTTTCTCTCTCTCTCTCTCTCTCTCTCTCTCTCTCTTCTCTCTCTCTCTCTCTCTCTCTCTCTCTCCTCCACCTTCTCTCTCTCCTCCTCTCTCTGTCTTCTCCCTCTTCCTTCCTCTCTCCCTCTATATCTCTCCCCTCCCTTCCATCTCTCTCCTGTTCTTTCTGCCATTACATAAAACTTCAGTTGCTGACCTTGTCTCCTTCACAGAGCTCATAACTTAAACAATGAGGTACAAGTAGGCTAGGGATTTCCTCTGTCAAGCCATATCCCTTTGGCATAAACTCATATGGGAACATGGCCATTCCCCTAATGTGACACAGACTGTCCACCAAGGCTTCTCTTCCTACTCCCTCTACAATACGAAAGCCAAAAAGACTGGCTCTTTTTTCAGTTAAGATAGATAGAGTGTTGGATCTGGAATCAGTAAAATATGAGCTGGAAGCCTGCCTCAAATACTACCAGCTTTGTGACTCTAGGCAAGTCAGTTGACCTCTCTTGGCCTCAGTTTCTTTATCTGTAAAATGCATCTACTAATATTTTTACAGGGTTGTTGTGAGGATCAAAGGAGATAATGTAAGGAAACCTCTTTTTAAACTTCAAAGCACTATATAAATATTAGCTATTATTATTACTGAAAGCACCCCAGCCTTGATGCACTTAGCAGATTTCTCCAAGCTATGCTGCTTACTCTCAGTGTGATCTTTGGCAAGCCATGTCCCTTCCCCAGTGTTCAGTTTCCTACTATATCTACAGTTTGGACTGAGTGATTTCTAAAGTCCTTTTTATCTATACATTTTTTATTTCTCCAAACAGCCAGGCCAAATTAAATGCTTCTTTGGATGATATTCTCAGATCTTGTAGTCTCAGGAGACCTGGTTTCAAATCCTGGCTTTATAACTTATTGGCCATGTGACTGTTAGCAAGAAGAAGAAGAAGAAGAAGAAGAAGAAGATGATGATGATGATGATGATGATGATGATGATGGTGATAATCATGCTAACTCCTCCAAAGGCAGCCTAGTAGCCCCCTGATCTTAGGCGCTCACCATATTGGTGCCGGACTTGGTGCAAATACCTGTTATGTTTTAACCTACTTCAGGTCAGAACTCCGGAGCTCAAGCAATCCACCAGTGTCAGCCTCCCCCAGTAGCAGGCATACTGGTATGCCCCTCCATGCCCAGCCTACTTTAAAGCACACTTTTAAGATTAATTTACCACAGCCTTGTGAGTAGCTAGCGTAAATATTGTTATCTCTGTTTTTACAGATGAGAAAACAATAGCTCATTGAAGTATCATGGCTTGTCCAAAGTTATACATCTAATAAATTTCAGAGGTGGGATTTGAACACAGGTCTCCTCACCTCAGATACTCTTGCCATTATTCCATATTGCCCTCCTGACATTTTGGGAAGAAAAATGCTTTGTAAACTTTGCAAAAACTCAAATAAACATAAATTATTCTTGTTTTTGCTTCTAATGATGATATTTCTACCTTCACTCATTGACTAAGATGTTATATTCCTATGAAAGATAAGTCACATTTTAAGGTTTTGCAGAGTGCTTTCCTTAAGACAGCAACCCTGTGAGGTAGCAAATACAAATATTGCCCCCCCCCCATTTTATTGACTTAAAAACGTTAAATGACTTGTCTGTGGTTTCCCAGCTAGCATGTGCTTGGTGCAGAATTTGAATCAAGGTCTTCTGACTCCTAACTCCAGTGTTCTGTCCAAGGCTATATTACCTATTTCTGTTCTTATCACTTTAGCACAAATTAATAAATGACTGATATAGAGCACTTTGCAAGTATAAAACACTATGTAGGTGTCCATGATATTATATCTAAATAAGATTCCACAAAATGCTGAGTTTGAATGTTATGAATATGGCAGGATGCTGTGTAAATATTGCCTTTGGACTCAGGTTGAAAATGCAACATATCCAGTGGACATTTGGAGGGTTTTAGAATCATAGAATTGGTGGAACGTTAGAGGTTGTCTATTCCAACCAATCTCTGACCTGATACAGGAATTCCCTCTGTAGCAACCCTGATAATGGGTAGTGATCCTTCCTCTGCTTTGCCGCTTTCACTAATGACAAATAGCCTGCCTCACTGTTGGACCTTTCTGATTGTTTAGGTAGTTCTTTCTAGAATGAGCCAAGGTCTGCCTCCCTTTAAATGATACTCTTTGGCCCAAATTCTGTCTTCTGAAACAACAGGAACAAGTGTAATCCTTCTTCCACACGACAGTCCTATAGCTACCTAAAAGATAGAGCTTTTCTATAGCTAACATTTATCTAGCGCTAACTCTGTGCCAGGCACTGTGCTAAAGTGCTATGATGATGATGATGATGATGATGATGATGACAGCTAACATTTATATAATGCTTACTATGTGCCGATACTATAATATGTTAGTAGCATAATAATGTTAGTAGCAATAATAAAAACATTTATATGCCTACTATATTCTAGGTACTGTGCTAAGTACTTTACAATTATTATCTCATATGAACCTCATAACAACCCTGGAAGGTAGGTGATATTATTGTCTCCATTTCACAAATGAGGAAACTGTGGCAAACAGAGGTTAAGTGACTTGCCCAGGGTCACATGAATAGTAAGCCTCCGAAGCTGGATTTGAAGTCAGATCTTCCTGACTACAGGCCCAGCACTCTAGCCCCCTGCCTTGGCCAAGTCTTCTGTTCTCCACACTAAATGGTCCTTTCCACTGTGATTCAATCTCCACTCAAGATCTTGGTTACCTCTCACTTCTTAATGTTTCTTTCCCTTGAACTTTCTTGCCTGCTAAAATACAGCTTCACATCTCTTTAGAATACTGACATAACATAATCCTAGTTCTTGATACCAGAGAAACATGGGGCTTTTACTTTCTCTTTTCCAAGTTGTATTTTTTTTTTGACTCACTGATTTCTGCTCATGGTTACTCTATTTTTAGTGATGTTCGTATGTACTAGGATTTCCTTCCAAGTTTGAGTGAAGAAACTTTGATGTACCTTTAAGATGAGAAATGACAAATTTTACTTTTGTTGTCTCATTGATTTTTTTTTCTGCTTTCTCCTCCCTTTCTCTCTAACCCAGAAAAGCTTATCGAGGGGCTCAAATCTCCCAGTACTTCACTTCTCCTTCCTGACCTCTTACCTCTGGCAGATCCCTTTGGTAGCACTTCAGATGCTGTGAATGGTAACAATAAAAAAAAATTCCTTCCCTTTCTGTCACTGTCTTGATGTGGGGTACGTGCCTTTGTGTTTCAAGAGTTTTACGTAAAGAACTAGGAAGCTGCTTAGCAAACCTAGTATTTTATTGAGCTATGGCAAGATCTAGTAAAGCATGGAAGACTGCTGAAGCATATGGAAAGAGGACTGGGCTCAAGGCCCAGCTCCGTCATTTACCAGCTGTGTGATCTTAGCAAGTCTCTGAGCCTCAGTTTCTCCATCTATGAAAAGAGGTTAATGTACTACCAACCTCAAACACACTGTTACAAGCAAAAACATTGTGCAAATTATTTTACATGTATTTGTGGATTTCATTATTCTTTCTGACTTCTTGACTATATCCCCTATAAATGAAGAAGATTTCATATATGTGTATGTAACAGGTGAATGGGGTAGATCTTGTGTGATCATCGTATAGTGCCTTACACTTCTCATACAGGTCAAGGGGACACTTAACTTGCTGTCTCATTTTCTCCAACCTGTCCTCCCCCTGGCAGGTTTCTGTTTCCAGACAAGAGACTTCTACCCCATTCAAATACTCTCAGAGTCCTAGGAATAACCTTGTTATGGGGAATATACTCTCTATACTTATCATTTTAGTTCTTGAGCCCCTATAAGCTGTACCATTTATTCTCAATGTTGAGGTAAGGCAAAAGAAAAAAATCAGATACTCAATATTAATGTAAATTCAGGAATAATAAGTATATTACAATCCACTCATTAACTAGGGTCACACTCACCTAACAGCTGGGGAAAATGGTTACAGACTTATAGAAATGTAGCAGACAAGCACATAAGAAGGAACATCCATGTGTTTGAGTTAATTAATACTCTGGACAGCAGGCTTTGATAGCATTTTTCCATTCATGAACATCTGTACTGCATGAAGCCCCATCTTTGCTAACTGTTCCCCTTCTGATTCTTACCACTCTGCAGCTCAGCAAATCTACTTTTCTCCTATTCCTGAACCAGGGGAGCATTTACAAGTTCTTTCAGCTTATAATCACCCTTAAAAGGAAGCTGAGAAAGTATTATACTCTTAATTTAGCTAGCAGTTCCCTTTAAACCAGAAAAATACCCAACTCCTTAAACTGGCTCTCTTTGGACAATACAGACAAGGCCAGATAGCTGCACTGACCAACAGTGCACAGGAGATTAGCTGTCAAACCTCTCTTTTCCTCTCACACTGACATGCACTTTTGAAAGGCCTCACCTCTCTCAAGCTCTAAGAGGCACTGAAGAGCAATAACTGAGGCTAATACTCTTGTCCAATGAGCTCTAGTCTTTCCTTAGCCAATCAGGAATCTTGTAGCTGAAGCCTTCTATCAGTCTGCTGCTTTAGCTGCCACTTCTCAGAGCTCCAAGAGAACTGACTTTTCTTACTCTTTTCCCCACCCCACCCCTTTCTTCACTTGTCAGTTTCTTAGTATTCACCCTCTACTTACTCTTCACTACTTTCAGTAGGTTTAATAAGGGCAAACTGTTATTCAGTGCCTTTCACTTTTGAGATAAAAACTCACCAGTCTCCCCTTTCCTTATTTAGTGATCTCATAATATTTAAACAGTTATATGATTTTTCACTGTGCGAGTTGTTAACCTCTTAAGTCTTAAAAGTTTCATGCAATTGAGTTTAGGGACTGGAGCTTCAACAATTCCATAGTCTCTAAAACTGTGCCTCTAGCAACAGTATTTTTATACTCAGAGTTTTTAATAAATAAAATTTTCCCTTCCCCTTTGAATCATTAAACATACAAAAAAGACATCACTCTACATCCTTCACAAGGTTATTTAAGTCCTCATATTTATGCCACAGTTCATTCTCAGTCCATTTCGCAACCAATCTGCTCATAGCCTGGATGAAAACTGTGTTTCTTTGCACATAAATTATAATAATTTTTATTAAACCAACATTATTTTCTTATTCCTTTCAGACATCAAACTGCTTAGCTATAAAAAGACAATACCTTACATCCTTAACTAATTAATAGAATTCTTTTGTCTTTATGCAGAAGTAATGTTTCTGCCTCTTTCAGCACCAAACTCTTCCATATGAAAACTTTAAAGGGGGATGGTACCTTAGAACTACTACATACCCACCAATTAGAAGATAATTATGGGCAGTGTGCACAGCACCATGCTAGGTGCCATGAGGGAGACAAAGTTATGAAAGACACATGAGATTCTACTCAAGGAACTTATAATCTGATTGGAGAGATAGCAGTGAAGAGTTCAAAAAAGAGTGAAGATTGCTATCAATTCCTACATCTCTTTTCAGGCTAAACATCCCCAAATACCTTAAGCTTTTCTTCCTATGACATAGTTCTCAAGCTTACTGACTGAAACTTCTATGCACAGGGCCCTTTGCTATTCAGGGATTAACTCTCCTAGCCTCTCATAAGATCATAGCATTTATATCTGAGAAGGATCTTAGAGATCATCTAATCAAATTTCTCATTTTACATATGGGGAAACAGATATTCAAAGAGAAAAATGACTTGTTTAAGATTACAAGGCTAATAAATAGCAGAACTGGGATCTGAACCCCGATCCTCTGACCACGACTCCAGTGCTTTTCAGTCTCCCTCTGGCTCCCTATAATTCATCTCCGCCTTCCTCTGATTTTTTTTTTAACACTGCTGCCAAAGGAAAAGTTGATGTTGCTGTTGAAAGTCTCATACCAGGACTGGAACCCCCAATGCCCCAGCGCCTCCCATCTCAGACTGACTCTGTCACATCCAACCGAACAGGTTAGTAAAGTTTCTCCTCAAACCAGAGCATTTGATTATGGAGATAAGACTCGTCAGCCTGTGGATTTTGTTCTGACTGTAGAACCAATCCTCTTCCAATGAGTAGAGCCAGTCTGGCTGCCATCCACATTAAATCAAGATTGAGGAAGTGATTTTTATACAAACTGGTTACTTTTACTTTCCACAAGATTAGTTGCTACTAATGTACTCTCAGCTTCAGCTTAGGGAAGTTCAGTAACTTGTTCTCTGTGTGAAGGATAGACTGCTTTTATGTCGTTTGTAGTGACTAGTAGGTTCCATACCACTGTTTCCCTCAGCTTTCTTGTGAAACTTGTAAGACAGCCCTCTTCTCTTCTAGTTAACTAAGTAGTAAGACAACCACATATTCTTTCCTCTTCAGGCATAGACTATCTAACATTGTTAATTAGGTTCACAAGAACGTGAGTAGGTGAAGCAGCATTGTACAAAGCAGTTAACTCCACGCAAACCACCTTACAAATGAATGAGTGACTGGCCTAGCAATATCACTTGGGAGTTTTACAGTTTTGTAGCAGTTTGGTTATGATGTGGCAATGCTTTTGGTGTGGAACACCATTAGTTGATACAACCTTATGGGGAAGAGAGTAAACCTTTATTGCTCTGAATATATTAGACCAATTTTATTTGCTCATTAAGTAGACTCAACTGGAAGTGGACACCTGAGTTATGTACCTTACACAAAGCTTTGATCACGTATATGAGATTTTTAAGAAGTGAATTTGAAGGTAATTTAGGATCTGTTTAGATGCTCAAAACAGCTCTGCCATTGTAGTGACATGGAGTTGGGAAATCTTGCAGGAAAAGCATTGAATTTGTCACTTTCATATAGACTAAAGTAAAATGCCTGATTAAAACAGAAATTTGTTAGCATTTGGAGAGAGGGTTAGAGACAGAGACTGATTGAAATTCATCTAGGTATAAGTTTTGGATTGGACACTTTAATGTTAAGCCCTTTCACAGTCTTTAAAATAGGAGATACAGAAGCTCTGATGAGCAGCATTAGTGATGTTGAGATGACAAATAAGGACTGGTTCGGACTCTGCCCTGGCTTTCATCATGTAAAATATTTCCATTCAAGTTCTATAGGAAGTTGATGGCCTTGGGAGAAAAGTCTTCCATATCTACTTGCTAATGAATGATAAAACATTTATTAAACAACTACTTAAAACTGCACTAAGACTTTTAGGACACCATGTAACATGCTTTGTAAGACAAAGTTGTTTGTCATTGTTGTGAAGACCTTGGATTTGTTGTTGCTGCTGCTGTTGTGAGTTGTGTGAATGAGGTGTCAAGCCGATAATCTACAGGTTGACAGTCTAATCACATTCTCCTGTTATGTGTGCCATTTCATGCTCTCGGCCTCCTTTTCTTCTGGACTCAGATTCTCTCCCTGGGGAAGATTCCCTGCTTGATTCCTCTCTGCTTTCTAACCCCGCTACTGACCTTCTAGATGAGTTCACTCCCATGGCAATTTCTGCTCCAGCTCATAAAGGTAAACACTTCACATGGCATGTGCTCCCGTTTTGTCCAGGGAGGGGAGGGAAAGAATGACCAGAGAACATTGTTCTTGAGAAATTATCTGTGCTACTGTTTTCTTTTTAGCCTGTGTTATCATTTCCATTTTATATAGAGAACCTCAGTGATTCAAACTAACTAGGGATGGGAGGGGGTCAGTACAACCATCTGAATTTTAAAAAAAACCCATTTCTAAATGATTGTTGATTAAAATGGGGTTTGAATGTCCGTTTTGCCATTTAACTACAGATGTGACTGGGTTAGTCACTCTGTAGACCTCAGTTTCTTCATCTGTAAAATGAGGGGATTAGGCTGGTGGGCTCTAAATCTAAAGCTTTAAATCTTACAAGCCCATTATATACATGTAGCTGGTTTTAAAATGTTTTTAAGAAAATTATTGTCTTAAATAGGTTAATTTGAGAGCCATAGGAACATGCTTCTGAAAAGAAACCTTAGTGATCTTCATGTCCAATTCCTTCACTTTTTTTAGATGAGGAAATAAGATCCCAAGCAAACCAGGACAGACCTGGCTTATATATGCTTTATATAATAAAGTGTTTTAGTAAGTACCAAGGTAATAATTTCTCCTCCTCCAAACAAAATGTATGATTGTATCCTTTAGAATGAGCTGCTTTTCCTTCACTGAGCTGGCATCAAATATGTTTTTTAAAACATCAAATAGGTTGTGATCCTCATTGGCTCTAGTACTGTTGTGATTGGAACTTAACAAAAGGGTAAACTGAGGCAGGTTTCTGCGCAAGATAACATTTATTAGCAGGGGCATGCTACCTGTCAATAACAGGTCATTGGGTTGCCTCCATTCATGTCAAATGCCCTAAGCAAGAGGACAGTTTCCCTTTTATAGTTTTGAGGAATACAGAACAAAGAACACAGCAGAGTAGATCACATCATGGGATTAAGGATTACGTGACTGGTTACAGAGCTGAGGCCGAGGGAACAACATGAATGATTAGAAGTTTGGTAATGGGGGCTAGCAATGACCCCCCCCCCTTCTCTCATGGGACTAAGAAATGCTCTTTGAGTCCAGGTGCAAGATAGCAGCCCAGACTTTTGGACAGCAAACCAGACATCCTTGAAGAACAGCTTGGCTGAGTAAAGATATCAGGCCTAAACTCTCTTACTTTCTCATACATTCCCCAAGGTTCACAAAATTCCTTGGGCAGCAAAGCTAGATTTTTAAACTTAACCCATTACAGGCCAGTTGAACTCTGAACCAAGTTCAGAGACAAAGAACTATGACTTAAGCAGTGACAGGACAAAATAAATTAATTGTAAATAGGATCAATAAGAAAATGATACAGGATCAATCTTAATCATCTTAGTACCTTCTCAGCACTTTGCCAAAGCTGAGTTTTTGCTCTTCTATCTTCTCAAATATGTAATAGAATTCAGGAGGCATGATAGTGATCATATCTGAAACAAACCTGTCTTTTTAGCTAGCATTTATGTGTTTGCAAAGCCCTTTACAAATATTATCTCATTTCATCCTCACAGTCATCCTGGGAAATAAACCTTATTATTATCCTCATTTTACACATGAGGAAACTGAGGCGAACAAAGGTTAAGTGACTTGCCCAGGGCTGTACAGCTAGTAAGTATCTAAGCTCAGATTTGAATTCAGGTGTTCCTGACTTCAGATCCATCACTCTATTCACTGCCTCACCTAGCTACCTGTCACCTCTAAGCTCCATATTAGAACTCAAAACAGATTGATGTAGTTTAGAGTTTGCTGAGTAACTGCCCTCTTGGGAAGAAGATAAACTGATGGTAAGGAAGAGAAGTCCTACTAAGGCCACGGATGAGCACAGCCTAGTGCTTTAATTTCATCATTAGAAAAAAGCAAGCTCAAATGGAAACTGTTGGCCCTTTTTACCAGCAGACTGCACCAAGGCCTTTTAAAAGTGGCTTTTGTTTTTAAGGCAATTAGGGTTAAGTGACTTGCCCAGGGTCATACAGCTAGTAAGTGTCAAGTGTTCGGTCTGAGGCCAGATTTGAACTCAGATCCTCCTGACTTCAGGTCTGGTGCTCTATCCACTGCGCCACCTAGCTGCCCCTCCTTTTTTAAATTTTTCCTGTGTGTACTCACTTCTCTGGTAAGCTCGGTGTCAGTCTGCATGTACTAATGGGCTAATTCAGTGAGCCCTCAATCCAGCTGTACGTCATAGTGTGAACAATGCTCATTCTTCATTGATTTAGTTTTTTCTGTGTGTATTACTAGGCCAATTCTTTTGAAAGACCATGAACCCCCACAAGGAGGCCCTGTAGTGTTCCATGACTTGATACAGTGGGCAAAATGTCATCCTTAAGCAGGATAACAGCTAGAGAACTTCATCACCCTTAGGTGATTTGACTATGAGTTCCAAGCCTTTCAGCTTCTTATGTAACATCACTTATACATTTTTATTTTTAACATTACAAGAATGCCAGCACTTGAAATGAACTGGGAACACAGAATATAAAATGTTACAGCTGAAAAATACCTTAGAACCTAGAATGTCAGAGCTTCAAGGTTTCCTTAAAATCATAGTGCTGAAAGGAACCTTTGGAATTACATAGTACAGCTCATCCGTTTTTACCAAGATTCAAACCCAAGTCCTTTAAATTTGAATCAATGCTGTTGCCCTTAAGGACACAGAACACAGAATATTAGAACTAAAAGAACTAAAACATAGACTGTCAGATCTGAAGGAGCCTTTAGAACAGAGAACATAGAATGTTAGAGCTGAAATGGACCTTAGAGAACATCTGGGTTAGGAGTTCTTAACCTTGTTTGTGTCTTAGATCCCATTGACATTCTGGTGAAGCCTATGGACCCCTTCTTAATTACAGTGCAAGCCAATTATGGTAAAAAATTAAGATTCATTTTTTTCCCATCCAAATTTACAGCTCCCTGAAATCTACCCATAGATTCCAGGTTAAGAACCCCTGATCTAGGTCATGGTTGCGTTTTAAAATAAGGAAGCTATCCTTTTATTGAGTTTCTTTGTTGCATTAAAATATATTCAACAAATCTTCTCTGTTATGAAGTTGAGAGATCAATATGGAAAACATGAAGGAGAATCTGTCTTTTAAAGTTGTGATTAATGTTAGTGGACTGAATACTTACAACAAAATTGTCAAAATGGCCCTGATTCCCATTCCTAGGTTTTAGGGTATATCTTCTTTGGGAGACCTGTAGAGCTCTCACCACTAATGACTGTTTGCTCTAAAACTCAGGGCTATTTACAAGTGCTGGGGGTTCAGCACATGTTCGTTGTTTTGTTTTTTACCATGCCTCTTCCTTACACTAAGGAAACTCCACCCTCCAATTCAACAAGTTTTTATTAGCCACTTGCCACTTTCAAGGCTCTCTCCTAGGCTTTGGGGGGAGATAGCCAGCTAAGACCACAAACTATTCTTTGCCCTCAAGTTTACATTCTTATGGAGGGATAATCATTCAAACAGTTGCTTTTCATGTAAGATGTACCTTTGGATCTGAGTCTATAACTCTGCTGACCTTGACCTCACAGGAAAGCCTTGTTTCCATTCATCTTTAATCATCAGATCTCTAGATTTGGCACTCCTTTTCTCTTACACTCCCATTTCATCATCTTTGTGATGAAACCCCAGCATGGAGGGAAAAGGAGTCACTAAGACTCTAACAATTACTTCCTGATCAGTTTGGCTTTAGGACATGTGATCATGAAGATGTCCCCATAAGGCAGTGGGATTTCTGAATTAAAGAGAGCTCAGACTCCTAAAGCCCCCCCCCCTTCCTAAGAGGGTTAATGAAAGAAGCTTTTGGAGAAAGGCATCATCTTACAGTGACAGGACCTGAGGTTTGGTTTTTTGCCTTTGACAGTGTTTAAAAGATTTCGCTTTTATTGAACAAGTTGTCTGTTTAAGCAATTAAGCCTGACAGTGTTTCAGATGAGCCCATCAGCAGCAATGAGCAATTACAGAGCAGCATCCCTTGCAAAATGGGGGCCCAGCTGGGATGTGCTGGTGTGGCAGCTCTAATTAGAACTGAGAGGAATAAATTTACATGACTTCTACCTGCCTTCCCACTGTACATGAATATATTCCCTTTTGGATGAGAACTGGAATGTAAATTTATTCACTCTCCCCCTCTCCTTTTCCTCCCTACATCCCCTCCCCCTCAATCCACTCAAGGAGTCTGAGGCATTTGGATAATTTCTCCTAGAATGAGAAAGCCTACCCAGTTGAGTCATTTCAGAAATATTTTGTGCAAGTTGCTAGGTAGTATTTGAATCTTAAGCCATAATTAGTTTCCTGGGTCTAAGTCTCATTAGTTAGCCCTCTATTTGTCCATAAAGATGGCACAGAGTTTATTTCCATGGGTTTGGTTTTGTTTTTTGGTAGATGCGAGTATAAGATAATGAAATTTACCTTCATCCTCTTGGATAGTGACCACAAGAGCAAAATAGTATATACATCATTAGATCTGGTCACTGTACTGGTTGTTTTTGATTGACTTTTTGTCTTAGCTCCCAAGAAGGGTTTGGAGGAGAAGAGTTTCTATATCCAGAAACTACTGTGCTGTATAAACAAAAGATATCACTAAAACTTAACTTAAAAAAAAAAGGTACTACAGTAATAATTACATTAAATAGGTAGAGAAAACTTATCAACCAGCCTGTCTTCCCTTTCCAATTTCTTAACCATGATCAACAAAGAAATAATAACCAGTTTTTTCCTTATAAGACAGAACATCTAGACTTAAGCTTTAGACTGAGATAAATGTGCTTTATGTCTTTCTTTTCTCTATCCTTAAATAGTACAAGGAGGCTTTCTTCATATATCACAGCAGTGGCCTGTTTTCTCAATATGTTTTGCCTGACACTTTTCCCTCCTTATGGACTTCACCTCTTATTTCAACTCAGGAAATGGCAGTACTTTCACCTTCTTCTAAAAACAGCCCTAACCATACTAATGGGAGCTATGTGTCTTCTAACATTGTTTTCTGAGTTAACATCTGTCTCTGCTCTTTCTGCTTCTTTATTTCCATCCCTACGTCATGCTGCAGAAGATAGTAATCTCATCTCAGGTTTTGATGTTCCTGAGGGCCCCGAAAAGGTTGCAGAAGATGAGTTTGACCCCATTCCTGTGTTGATATCCAAAAACTCACAAGGTAAGAGAGGAGGCAAAGAGCAGAGGCTGAGAACAAATTATGTAGAAATGTCCCCAGCCTGCTAGGAATGAACATTTAAGGGCTCTTTGAATTATGAGTTCTTTATGGGTTGGGCAGAGAAACTGGAGTTGAAGGAATGCATCCCCATAATCACATTTTACAAATTTTTTTGGAGGAAGATTTAAAAAAAAATGTTCTTTTTAAAGAGGGTCACCCCTTGTGTAATGTCATACTCATATATTCAGGACTTATATTTGAAGTCCTTTCTACCTTGAATAGCGTCAGAAAAAATTTGATCTCTCTGCTGTGCCAAGTTGTCAAAAGACCATTTATTTAGTTATTTTAATGTCTCTCCCTGGGCATAAAAGTTGTATTGGGTCAAGTCCTTCCTCAAGCAAAAATGATTTCATTTAACTTGGTTGGTGGGATGAATATCAGGGTACAGCCTCTTGTTCTCTGCCAAAAATGGAAATCACCTTTGCTGGTAGCTTTCATTTGCCCTGCCTTTAACAGAATAGTGCATGGGCTGCCTTGTGGCTGTTTGGGGGGTTGACAGAGAGAGAATGGTGGTTGGTAGGAAATAGTTAATTATGATTCTTGCAAATTCTAACCAATAACAAACAGCTTGCATAGATTTTTTTTTTACTGCTTCTAGTTTTTTTTTCTTTCTCTTGGTTGCTTGCTCTGCACATCTAAACCTTAACCCTTTGTGTTCTGTACTGAATTCCTATCTCTCCACTTCCAGGTGGGCACTCTAGAAACAGCAGTGGGAGCTCTGAGTCCAGTCTTCCCAACCTAGCAAGGTCTCTGCTGCTGGTGGATCAGCTCATAGACCTGTAGCGTTGACCCAGTAGCAGATGCAGTTCTGTAACCTTCATACCGTAATCTACGTTTTCATTCCAGAGGAGTTAACCTTCAAAATGATTTTTTTTTTAGTTTGCAAAAAAAGGGACCCGCCAATCCTTTACCCTCACCTTTCACCTTCTCCTCTAGAAACATTAAGGAAAGGAAATGGCCTTCCAGAAATACTTCTTGGCAAGTTCCTCCAAGTTCCCATTTTGTCAATGGTTTCTCATGAACCCACTTTCAATAGCATTAGCTTCAATTGTGAACTAGTTGCCACAAAGCCTCACTTTTGCTGGAATCAATCCCTACCTAGCTTGACCAAAAGCTCAAGTGTAACAGAACTAGTTAATTGTCACCTGGTGTCCTCTCTTTTGTGCTCACTAGGAATGGCCTCCCAAGCCAGTACTCCCAAACCCCTTTTCCTTAGGCCTGATGAATATGTTTATCTGTTTCTTTTCTCTTCTTAATGCATCACCTTGTGGAGATGGACCATTGAAATGTTCTCAGCTGGAGGCAATAGACTGGGGATGGATCTAAGGCTTAAGGGAGGGTAGAATGCCTTGTTGGTAGTGTATGCTTGGCAAGAGAAATTGGGTTTTGCCCTAGCCAACCAAGTTAGACTTGGCCAAGGGATTTCACATGCCACCCCACCACCATCCCACCCTCATCCCCAAACCTGTTCAGCATTCCTTTAACCTCTTGGATATGAAGAGAACAAGATACATGACTACAAACACTGGTGATCTTTGGGTAAATTGCATTCCAAGTATTGCTATTCCTATTGCTGTAACTATCCCAAACCCAGATCTCAGAATTAGACCAAAATATAGACAAAGTGCTGGTAATTATATCTTTAATTAGAAGCCACTTTTTTGGTTTGTTTTTTGTGGAAGGGGTGGGGTGGGGGTGGGAAAAGGCATAGGAGAAATGGATGTATTTTTCTTGTGACTTTTATTTTGAATCGAATACTGTAAATTATGTATAAATGAAGCTGTTGACCAGTTCTGTTTCCACTTGGCGTTTCCAATCCAATGTCAGGTGTCTGTACAGGGTTCATGCTCCCTTTCCCTTGTAATTACTTGGCAGCCTCGCCTCGTAAGTTCCGGAATCCTCCTCAGCTGACAAGTGTGTTGCTATGAGCTTCCTGCAGCTCTTTTGTCTTTGTAGAGTAAGTGCGTGTTTCTGTTCAGGTCGTCAGAAGTGAGTGTGCTGACGAGCTAGGCACAGTATGGCCGAGGCTAAAATGCCTTCCTTTCTCCTTGCTGTTTAAGTTGGAGGCTGCCAGCCACTGTTCTGCTTGCTCCCCTTGGCTTACCAGCCCAAAATCAAGGAACAGCACAGAGTTCTTCACTGACTTTAAAAACACTGTTCATGAAATAAAGGACTCTGGACCAACACACTCACAAGTTTAGTGGTCGCCCTCTGTTTGCATATGGAGCTCGTGCTAGTCGCTGAATTGTGGTTTGTTTTGCTTTGTTTTTCCTCATGTGAAAAAGCTACTGATGAGACAATTCATGAGGAGAGGTGGGCTGGGCGAGCCTTCCACCTGCTCTCTCCCCACCTCCACTTCAGGCTCTATCACTCACCCTCCAAAGGGATCCAGCTCGTAGCTGACAAGATATCTGTAAATAAAATTCCACATCCACACTCGTGGCTCTAGATCTAGTACTTTTATTTCTCCTTCTTCACATTTGCACTTTAAGAAGAAAGGGAAAAAGGGGTGGGGACCCATTTGTCAATACCCCTAGAAGCCTGCAAGACACTACACTTTGGAGGGGAAGCTTTGAACTCACCCACGTGAGCATGTGAGCAGCCTTAGAGGAACAATGGAGCTGGGGTCCGAGTCTCTTCCCATTCTTCTTTTCTCTTTCAATTGCACCACTGTGGGCTAAAGCCAGTTGGCCAAATAACAAGCCTGTTTTAGGGTAGGAGATCCTTTTTTGTTGTTGGGTTTTGGTTTTGGTTTTGGTTTTTTTTCAGTTTCAAGAATTAAATCTGCCTGCTGGGGATGAAACACCAACACAGTGTCAGTGAAGTCTTTTTGTCAATTGGCTAAGTTTCATCAACAATAAAAATGGAACTTGGTTTGCTTTTTTATGGTTGGGAAGGGGGAGACGTTTACAAACAACAATGCTTTGAATGAATGCTTCAGATCAGAATTTTATTCTCTCTGCTGAACATAAAGCAGAATGTATCAGCCAATGGATATAATAGTTTAGTTTAAAATAAGATTGCCCCATTCATATGGCCTAGGATATTCTAACTACTCAATTCAGATAAAGCCATGAAGAATATCATTATGAGAAAATGAAAGGATTAGATTTAAATGGTCACCCTTCCACATGGCTCTTAAATTAGATTAATATGTATTGACTTCATAATGGTCTGGCTCAGGAAGTTTTAATAAAAATAGCTAATAAAATTGGACACAAAAGAAGCTTGAGACTCAAAGATTTTAACCTCCAGGGCTTCAGAGCTTGGAACAGCTGGAAGGAGATGGCTGCACTAAATGTTTTTAAGTCATGTTCTTCAGGGGTATGGGAGGAAAATCAAGTATCTGTCAGTTGAGAATACATGGGAATGACCCAATAAATTAGGCCCTTTCCAGGTTTGACTCAATGTTAAACTTGTTTTTGTTTTTAACTAGAAACAAGTAAAACAGAGTGGTAATTCTATTCATTGGTTAATAGAATAATATGGAATTTCAAAGCTGGAAGGCAGAAAGCATCATGATCTGGAAAGAACATTTGCCTGGGAATCTGGAGACTGACCCTAGGCTCATATATAACCCAAAACAAATCACTTAACCTCTTTGGGACTCAGTTTCTTTATCTGTTAGGAGTTCAAACTAGATGATTTCCAAGGTCCCTTAATGTTCCATGGCATTCTACAAGATGTGTTATTGTTAGGGATCATCTAGTTTTACTTCCTCATTTGTTAGGGGAGGAAAAAAGTCTCAGATAGGGGTAGTGTATCTGTTTTACTTCAGAAGAACTGTGAAGGATGGCATTTCATCCTGATGTTCTTCCTTGCCTGACAGAGCAATTCCTGTGTTCAGTTGCCTCATTTGTGTTTGTGGAGTGTTTGAACAGGATTGTACTAACAGGGTTGGCTATCACTACTCCAGCTCCCTGAAACTTCATTCGATAGGGCCAACCCTTCTTTTATTTGAATAAAAGGCCATGGGGATTCCATCATAGCATCATAAGCACAGCAGCAGCCTGAATCTATCAGTTCTTTAGTTAGTTTAGCCTCCTCCCTAAAAAAAAAAAAAAAGAACAAGTACTCTACAGGGTGTCCCAAAATTCTAAGTGCAGTTTTAAACTTTTATAGCTTAAAACTGCCCTATGCCTTTTGGGACACCCTGTAGAAAGATATATAGCTATATATCTAGATGTAGACATAGAGGTCACACCTATATGTATATACACATATGTATACATGATTTTTATATACATATACATAATTTACTTTTATCCTAATACTTTAAAGATGATAATTATAACCAGAAATTTATTTGTTTTCCCTGGCCTTCAAATCACTCTGGTCACCTAATTCAAATCCCCAAAGCCCTACTTTCCAGTACTTGGCAAATTGTAAGCACTTAATAGATGCTTCTTGTCCAACTGACTGACAAGGAAGTTACCTGACCTTAGGCATCATTGAGAGAGGAGAGGTAATAGTCCTACTTGTACCCTGCCCAGCTTAGGCCTTCTCTGGAGTATTGTGTCAAGTTCTGAGCAGCACATTTTAGGATAAGGGAACTCATAAACTGAAGACTGTCCAGAGGAGGGCAGCCAGCATGGCGAAGGGCTATATGAGAACTGACTAAAGAAACTAAGGATATTTAGCCTATAGAATGATGGAAACTTTAAAGGGAGTCCTGGCTTTTCAAGTATTTGAAAGGTTGTCACAGGGAAGAGCTACTATTTGACCTCATAGCACAGAACTTGGAGGAGTAGATGAGATTTACAGAGGTTGACTGAACTCCTGATGTCCCCAAACACTTTCTAATAATTAGAGCTATTCCAAAAAAGTCTCATTGGGAAAGTGGGATTAAATGTATTCCACATGAACTCCAAAGAAAAAAGTAGGAGCAACAGTTAGAAATTAAAAAAAGACAAATTTAGCTTTGGGTTAGGAATAAATTCCTAACAATTAATACTATTGGGGGAATTGCTTCAAGAGGCAGGGAGTTCTCTATCACTGGAGGTCTTTAACCAGAAGTTACTAGAAAAAGGTACTTACTAGCCACATTGTAAATGTTGTTAAGCCCTCTGAGGGCTCTTCCAGCTCTGAAATTTGGTGATTCAGTGACCATATTAAAACAGAAGATTTTGCTGAATTGGATGCTTTCTGAGGAATGACTTTAAAGTACTGTGTTGGATTTTTCTAACAAACATACCAGAATTTATATATCCAAATAACTGTTATCTTCTTCTCTAAGTGGTTCCCCTGGAAGTCGTGAGTACTTGTCCCAGTGATTTCTGCCTACTCTTACCTAAACATCTTCACTCTGACTTCCCCAGGTGAGGAGAGAGGACAGGCCTCAGGGGCAATTGATAAACCAGACCACACAGGAACACCTGTCATGTTGCTCCTTAGAGCTGGCACTTAATTGAAAATAACATCCCTAGCTTGATAACTGGAATTGCCATCAAATGACTCCACCTCCGAAAATGTCCCTTCCCTCTTCAAAGGACAAGGATGTGTCCCCACAAGCTCCAGGCTTTTGAACTTACTGCAGACTTTGAAAGCAATCCCAAAAGAGATCTTGTGTATTTACCCAGAGTAACTTGGTCCCAGCTATGAAATTACATGTCAGGTTTGTTTTTAGCCTCTTAACTAACATGTAGGAGCAAATTGTAATGAATCTTTAAAACTGTAAGTACCCATGATTCTAATCCGTGACTCTCTCATCAGGACTTTCTCACAATTTCCCTGTATATAGAGGGAGAGTGAGGAGCGTGAGGTTGTAGTGGATAAAGGGTTGACCTTAGAGACAGGAAGATCTGAGTTCAAGTGTTGCCTAAAACATACTCTAATTAGGGGACCACAGGCAAGGCTGTGGTCTAGGCAGCTCTCTTAGGTGTGTAATTGTCTCTAAGTGTGTAAGTTACAGAGTTATAGATTCCTCTCAGTGGAAAAGGTTCTGAATTTTTAGACTTGGAATTCCCTACACTGATGAAATCACACATGTGGAACACCCCCTCCCCATACATGCCTTTTCCTCCCTCCCCCCCAAATAGATCAGCCATGTCAAAGAATGACCAAACTAGTTGGGACCATTAAGATCATTTACTCCCACCATCTTGTTTGACAGGTGAGCAAACTGAAGCCCAGAAAGCTGAGCTCACACCACTGAGTGAGGATTCCCAACTGGGATCTGCAATTCTCCAATGTATCAGGCCATCAACTCTCATATAATACTGACCAGCTGATTAGGTATTGGATTTATTGCAAAGAGGATAAGCCTTATATAGAGAAAGTAATGGCCTGCAGGATGATTTTAGGAGTGCTGGAAAAGCCCACCCCGTCTTACAGAGGGTTTTCATTAAGTCCTTCATATCTAAAAATTCCATTATAGTTGATTCATTTCTCTAGGTTAAGCATTGCCCTCTCCCTATAGTCAGTCCTCTTTTGAAATAAAAACTCCAGGAAACACTTTAGGATGAATTCATCTTCAAAAAGGAGTCAGTAGGCCAGCTGGAAAGTTTGGGTACCTGAGATAAGAGAACATGAAAGGGGAAAGTTGACACAGGAATGGGGAGGGAGGGGGATATTGCCTCTCCTTCCCAGTCATGACTTGGGCTTTGGGCTACTATGATTGTACAATTCACTGGAGAAATTTCTGTCCAATATGAAGGGGGAATAATCAGTTTCCTTAATCATGGGTGAAGAAGCTCACATGTAGTCTCCATGTGTTACACTGTTGGAAAAATGGAGATTTGTTGGGTTGTGTGGTTTGTTTTTTAAATATCCCACATTAAGAGAGCCTGCCATATGTTATTTACTGGACTTTTCAAAATGAATTGTTATTTTTCAAAAGCATCTGCTAATACAGATACTGAAAGGGATCAGATATCATCTGGTTCATTCATCAGTCTGGTTCAATTGTCTAATTTTTCACATAAAGAAACTGAGGCCCTGTTAGGGAAAGTGGTTTGCCCCCAGTCACATCCCTAATAAATGGAGGACTCAAGGCCAGTGGGATTTACTCTTTCCATATCATCTTTAACAACAGCAAGGTAGAGGGCAAAGACCACCAAATTTGAAAACAGAGAACTAGGCTCAAATCTACCCTCACCCATTTACTGCCTGTGTGACTTTGGCTAAGTCATTTTGTAAAAGGAAGTTGTTTAAGTAGATGTATCTCTTTTTTGTTGTTATTTTTTTTTGAAGACTATTAAAATTAAATTTCTTTGTGGAATTTGGTAGACTGACATTGGAAAAATTGGAACACCCCCTTTGTATTTTATAACCTATAACAGGCCACACTTCTGGGCCAAAATGCCATTGATTTTTCTTTTTATAATATATATTATAGGTAGTTCTTCCTAATTAGGCCTGTGGCTGCTAATCAATCTGGCCAAAATAAGTCTTGTTTGTTTTGTTTTTTTGCTTTTTTTTCTGGTGAGGCAATCGGGGTTAAGTGACTTGCCCAGGGTCACACAGCTAGTAAGTTTCAAGTATCTGAGGCTGGATTTGAACTCAGGTCCTCCTGACTCCAAGGTTGGAGCTCTATCTACTGTGCCACCTAGCTGCCCCCAAAATAAGTCTTAAGAAAAGAACTCATTCACCTTAAATTGAACGCACTATAGTGTACAAGGCATAGTGCTAAGCTTTAAAGAAACAAAGATGAAATAATTGCATGGTCGATGCCCTGGAGGAAGTGGGCATAAGGAGAGAGAATATAACATCTTCACAAATAATTATGCTATGCAGTCACTTATAATGGGGCAAAGGAGAGATCTAGCCATGGTGTTGTGGGGAAATTTAAAGAGAGCTAGTAGCATCAAGGAAGACTTCCTGGAAGAAGGGCTGCCTTTGTCAGGCTTTAAAGGAAGAGATGAATTTTTGCAGGCAGAGATTTGAAATGAATGTTTTCCCGGGCATGAATAACAGTCCACAAAGATGCAGGGAGGCCAGAAAGAATGGTAGAGCTCATAGAAGAGCTAGTAGTCTCATTTAGTTGAAATATATAGTGTTTGAGAAGCAGTTTTGCATAGTAGCTTGAGATCTGTCCTTCAGTCCACGAAGAACTAGGCTGAAGTTTTGTCTTTAACACATCCCTGACTGTATCCCTGGATCAATCACCTAACCGCTCAGTGCTTTTTCTAGGCAACACCACAACTATTAAAAGATCTGTTCTCTTATATTGTAGGGAAGGTGGCAACCTGCATTGGCAGAATGAGTTTCCTCATTTGTGAGTTCCCTTTATCAATGAAAGAATCACAGATGCAGTCCCTATCCCTCTATAGTAAGTGAAGGGAATGATGGGAGAAAAGGATGGAAAGCATCTTGGAGCCAAATTGTAGAAAGCTTCAAGTATCTGGTTAAAGAATTGGAAAGTAACATAGTGGCTTCTTTTTTCCATTTCCTGACTGATGACTACTTTGCAATGGCTTTCACCTCAATGGTGTTGACTGAAGGAATCTGCTAAGCTTTATCCTTACCCAAAGGTGTGAGAACTTGAATAAACAAAACCTATCTCCACCAGACAACTTCAGCCCAACGAAAACTTCCAGGATTACTGCTTTCCTTCAGTTTATTCATTAACATCCTCAGTCCAGAAACCATCTAGGGCTTAGAAAACTGTGACAGCATCTTCCAAGGTATTTGACTAACCTCACTGGAGGCATCCCAGCAAGCTTCAAAACAAAAAGGACCATAACCTGCATTTAAATCCTGCATAGTCTCTTTCAAGAAACTCCAAATACTATAAAAACTGATCTTGTCTCCTTCAAGCACCAAGAGATCTTACTCATATCAAGTAAGCCTTTATTCTTCCTGTATCCTTAGCATTCACGTGGCTATGCCTTTGTTTCCCAAGGAAAAATGATTGTCAGATGACATCCTTTTGAATATAGCTAGTTGGTGACCTCACCTGTCAGAAGGTGGTTTTTTTTTTAAATTTCTACTGTATTTTAGTAACCATGAGGGATTGGGGAGAAGGGTTGGGTGTTGGTAACCTATGCAAACAAAATCACCAAATGGTGGTAGGTGCCAGAGCAGAAAAAAGCCTTTTTATTTTTGTTTTGTGGTCTTTTTTTAAATGTGACAATGTGAATTTTTATCTGCTTTGAGAATGCAAATTGAAGTATTACATAACTCCTTGTATCATGTATATTTAATTTAATATTTATATTTAATACCGGTCTTCATTCTGTCCTTCTCCCAAGAGGACAAGGCAAGCAGATAGACACTAAGTTAAGTGAAATGTGAAGGCTAGAAGTTGCTACACAAATATTTTAGAGAAATAAAGCTATATAAATGTAGACAAAATATCCTTATGTAAAAATTCAAGAGAATAAAATCTTCATCTCATCACTACTGAGCATGTTTAGAAATGTAAATAGTATGACCTCATAGAAGGATCTGAATTCTTGAACTTTTCAGAAAAAGACACCACCATTGGTGTAAGATAGCCGAAAAAAAAAAGTGTGTGGAAAGTGAGTAGGAAAGAAAAAAGAGAATATCATGCCTAATCTGGATTCAGCCTTATAATCAGATAAGGAAACACCTCCCTCTCCATAGAAATTTGTTGTAAATGGAAGGAAAGCTGGGAAAACAAAATTCTTAATTATAGCTGCCTCTTATTTCATCTTTCACTTCCACAGGCTTGTACAAGTAAGGTTACTGTGGATGACTGGCATGTTGACAGAGGCTTTTTCACAAGTCCCTTGTCAATATCCCCATTGATCTGAGAAGCACCAGTAGTATCTATCAGTAAGGTCTAGAGGCCATCAAGTCTTATATCCCCAGTCATAGGGATTTTCTGTACTTTTAGAGCCACATGTAACTGAACAACTGGAGGCATAGTTATTTTACAACCAAAACCAAGAATCCACTGAACATATATGTCTCTGATCAACATCATTTGTCTTCCTGACCTTTTGTGGAGGATTTTGCAAATTTCAAATGGTGTGGATTTTTTTGAGATTCATTGTCATGAGGCACTCTGTTCTGTATTCTTTCCTCTAACTTGTGTAAGAACATCTTCAAAACAATGGTTCTAAGTATACAAAGACATCTGCAGAATGTACATAAACTCCTGTAGACCGATGTGTTACTATTTTGCAATTTGAAGTAAAGTAAAGATTTCTCTTGAAAAAAGCATGCTGCAAGCCATGAAGGAAATTTAAGTATTGAACCTTTTCCCCTGGAGCACTCTGAATTAAGATACTAAATCTTACATAGAAGCTGGTCCTAAGATCGATCATTCAGGGTCTTAAGGACATTGTGATAGAAGGGAAAGAACATTGGATTCGAAGACAGAGGTTTGAATCCTACTTTTACCACTTATGGTGTAACCTTGGAGATGTCACTTAACCTCACTGGGGCTCAGTTTCCTTATTTATAAGATGAAGGATGTGGATAATATGATTCCAAAGAGTCCTCCCTGTTCTGAATCCTGTGGCTTTATGAAATGGAGCACTTGAGCCATAGTTCAGAAGTGAATGATGAGCCGGTGGAAGGGTAATTGGTAGGTCAAGTCAGCAAGTATTTTTCTTAATGCCACTCATGCTGCTCAGCTGTCTGAAGCAGATGGGATTTTGTTGAATTGTGCTTGGTTTGTAATTTCTAGGGGAGTGCCACCAAATCACATGTAGTCATCCCAAGTGAAGGTTTAAAAATTGTCAGTCTACTCTGATACAAGTCTGTATCTCACAGAAAAAGGAAATTGCTTTAAAAAATGTTTTATTTCACTATTTTATAGGCTCTTCACAGGAATAGAAGTGTTTCCCCAAGTTCAAGATTTGCACAACTAGCTTTAGTGAAATTCTGGCATCAATTTCACAGCTTAAGGTTTTTTTAATAATATTTTAATTTTTTCCCAATTACATTTAAAGGCAATTTTTAACATTAATTTTTTTAAAAGTCTTGAATCCCAAATTTTCTCCCTCCCTCCCTCCCTCCCTAACACCTTCAGATTTTGCAGAAGCATAGTGTTGATATGGCCAGGACCATGTATCCAGTCCCCACGTAGACCAGTTAGCTCTGTTCTAGTCTATGGTCAAAATTATGCCCCTAAGCCCAGCTAGACATCATAACTTATGTGCTGTTGGTCATTAAGGAAACTAGTCAAGAGAATGTGGATGGATTAGGGCATATTCATAATCACATCTAGAAAAACAACCCAAAGCACATGCCCAAACAGATGTCATTAGCATTATCTACATACAGGGACAGGACATACTGAGAAACAACTGTGGCTGGAAAATTACCTATCTAAGCTGGGGAACACTGGCAAAACAGCTCACAAAAAAGAACCTGGAGATTTTAGGGGACTGTGATCTTACTATCTCAGCCAAAAAAGCAAACATAAAGCCAAGTCACACTAATTGAGGCAGTGTCCCAAGTGAGAGAGGCAGTGGTTCTCCTGTATTGTGTCCTGGTCAGACCACATCTGGAGAACTGTGTTTGCCTCCAGGTGCTGCACATTAAGGAGACCACTGCCAAGCAGGAATATGTCCAAAAGAATGTGATTAGTATGGTAGAGGGATCCAAAAACCATGCTAGGTATGTTTTGCCTTGGTGAAGAGAAGCCTTAGGTAAGTCACAACAGTTATCTTGAAGATTCAATGGGATGATGTGTGGGAAAAGGGATTAGAATTGTTTTGCCATGCCTCAGCTGGCTCATCTTGGTATAATAAAAAGAGAATCTTTCTAAAATTTAGAGCTATCCAAAAAAAAAGAATGGGCTGTTTTAGAAGGTAATGGGTTTCCCCATCATCATGGTAGGTCTTCAGACAAAAGCTGCATGACCACTTGCTAGGAATATCAGGGAACAGGAATATTCCTGTTGAAGTATGAGTTGGACTAGATGGCTTTTGTGGCCCCTACCAGTGCTGTGATTTTAGAGGTTACAGTTTGCCCCCAGTAAAATGCATTTAACAGCTTTCAGTATATATCTTTAGCTTATCATTCAGAAATCCTTACTCCTTTTCCTGTCTTATTTTGATGGCTACTACCACTATGGCTATTTTTGCTACATAGCAATCCATTAGAATGTGAAGTCAGTGATTCTGTATATGCACAAGGCATTTCAACAGGGACAGAGACTGAGAGATAGGGAATTCCCTGGTAAGGAAACTCCTTGTACCAATGCATATTGACACTTTGTTTCCAACTTAAGTCTAGAGAGTAGCCTAGAGCATAGAGAAGTTGCTAAGGAACTTGCCCAGGGTCACAACCAGTGTATGTCAGAGGTAGGACTTGAACCCAGGTCTTCCTGTGTTTCAGACTGGCTCTCTAGCTAAATGTCTAGGCACGAAGTTGTGTCCCAGTCTAGTTTCTTTCTTCCCCCCTCCCCTCCCATGCACAAACTTTATGAAAACTAAGGTTGAAGGGATTTGAGCCTCCCAAAAGAAGTCAACTCACTTAAAAGTGGGTCTTTCTGGCCACGTAGAATCCAAAGGAAAAGTAATGCTGTTTGGGAGGCAGGGCATGGTCCACTGCCCATCTTTTACAGGGATAAGATCAAATTGAACTGTTTGATTTTGTAGAGTCCTTATGGTTGCATCTGCCCTTTTGTAGGAATGAGAGGAATTTTAAGTAAGATTTTTCCATTGCCCAGGATAATCTTAGAATGAATATTATTGGACTTTTTTTTTTCAGCTCCTTCCTTTTACGCCTCTAGTTTTCTTGACTAATGAGGATTTTCTTAGGATTCCACTATCATTGGTGTGTAACTATGTTGATGGATTCTTGGTTGGTTAAAGCCTGGTGTCCCACCAGGTACCAGAGAGTTGGAGGCATGGTCTATGCTTCAGTCATATGAAGTAGGTGAGAATTGCTTGAATCTGAACACTATTTGGAGCTTCCCATCAATCTATAAAGGAAATCCCAGGATGCAAAATACAAATGCTTCTGTGGACAATGATGTTTATGCTATCTGTGTGTTTACACACACACACACACACACACACACACACACACACACTGGTTTATCTAAATCAAGAGATTTTGGTGGGGTTTTGCTTGTTCATTTTTAATCCTGAATTCAAACTACTGTTTAGTTTATTCAACTACTTAATGCCAAATAGTCGGCTTGACTCTTCAACTGGTTATTTCAGTATGCAGTACAACCAACTTAATGAAACATCTCCTTTGATGAGCCTATAAGGAAGTTTGGGGGAAATGAGAGAACAGTGCCTTGGAGTTGGCAAACAGAAGCGGGGGGTGCTTGGAGGTGGGAGGCAAGAGGGGCTTCCAAACTTCTTGTATCTCTGGGAATGAAAATGCTTGTGTAGAAAGCTTCTTGGCTCCCTTTCCTCTGAACATCCTTGTAGAAATGATGTTTTGAAGTCAGCCATGATAGACCCAAAGTAGTCATTCCTAAACAGGAAAGTAAGCCTCAGTCTGAAAGCTCCTACTAAGGTGAAATGAGTGAGTAGTAAACTGAGCTGAGCTCCCTTCAAAGGTATCTCTTTCTTGCCCGACCTTGTGCTGATCAAGGCTCTCCTATCTCCAGTCTCCCTGCACAAAGCTTTAAAAGCGAGTTAATCAAAAACCCCTTCCCATCATCTTCATATCCTTTCACTACTATTTGGAAAGTGTTCAACTCTACGAACTAGTTTAAAGCTTTCCACCTTCATTTTAAAATGTCACTAGCATAGTCAATGCAGTCAAACTGTTAGGAAGGAAAATTTTTAAAAATGTCAAACCATTTTGTTACTTGCAGACAAAATATTGAGATTAGTACTGTTTAAAGAAGCATCGCTAAAAAAAAAAGTTATAGGCTTCAGAGAAACAAATAGTATTTTTGTATAGCAACTTATAAAATGTTCACTTCTATCTACACTGTCTTTACTTTACAGTGTAATGTATCCAAGTGAATGTTTCCCAATAAACTGATTTTGGTGCCTCTCCTGCTGTGTACTGTGTACTTAATTCAGGTGTAGAACACTGGGGAATGCCCACAAATTGCATCACTGTTTCAGAGAAAAGGGGGTGGGGTGGGAATAGATGGGGAGGAGGGTCAAGGTACATCTGCATGGTGGTTGAAGGTAATGTTCCAACTCATCTCAATGAGTTATGAAGAGGCAGTACAGTACAGTAGAAAGATCACTGAATTTGAAGCCACAGGATCAGAGTTCAAATCCCAGCTCCACTGCTTACTTACTTGTGTGACATTGGAACAGCAGCTTTACCTCTCTGAACCTCAGTGTCCTCATCTGTAATACAAGGAGGTTGGATTAGAGGATCTCTAAAGGCCTTTTCCAGCCCTAGTTTTTCTGAAGTTCTAGTGATCGCACTCTTCTGATCATTTGAGCAAACGAATGCCTTTTTAGCACCCCAAATATCCTTCATCAACATTCTTCTCTCTTAGTTATCTGTGCCTTCTTGCTGCCCTCTTGCTAACATGTGTCCAATGACATACTTCTAACCTGCTAATATTGCCTTGAAGGTAAGCTCTCTTGTATTCTTATAACCATCATAAATTGTGCTTAAGCCGGAACACCTTTCAGATGCCTAGAGCCAGATGAAAAGACAGTAGTGTGTTATGGTGTGTGTTAATGCCCAGGTCACTACCTGGGTCCTTAACACACTTCTTGCCAGTTTAAAGAGAGAGCTTTTAAACTGTTTTTTGGTTTCTTTTTTAAACCAAATGTTGTCCCGTCTAGAAAACTGAAAAAAAAAATTCCAAAGACAACTCTAATTAAAGGCAGGTATTTTACATATAGTTCAATTTCATCCCTCAAGAGAGCTCTCCTATTGTAAAGACTTTTGAAGGTTCATAAGCTTTTTGCTAATTGAACCAGATTTTGTGACCTATTTCCCATCCTCAATGAAATAATTATCCAGAAGCCAGGGTCTACTTCCCCTCCGAAGGTTTCTCCCCTGGTGATGGAACAGGCAGCATGGAGCCCGCCACATGCCAGAGACTGAGCTTTTGCATAGCCTGAAGCTGTGAAGGTGTGCCTGGGTATGTTGATGGGGCTTGTTTTTGTTCATTTGAACCAGAAGCGGATAGAGAGAGTCTTTGTGCCTGGCCATGTGAAAGGGAATGTTGAGTACCTCTGGATGTCTGTGTGTGTCTAACATCTTCATCTCCTTTTCCCGTGCCTCATACTTGTCGTGTTCCAAGATGTGAAATGGTGACGGGTTGGGCTCCAGTTTGTGTGCGGTTTCCCTGCCTGCCTGACATGGTTTCCTCTCCCTCTCCTGTTTTCCATTTTATTTTCTCCCTCTTCCCATTGACCACATTTATTGTTTAATTTCACAATGTTTCTGCCATGGGGCAGGGTGGGAGGAGTATTCAGAATTGGGGGATTCTGCCCACACTGACCTATTCAGTAACTTTCTGTCTGATGCTCTTTGCAGGTCTCCAGAGAGAGCCAAACTCGTGTCCTTCAATAAGTGTTGAACGCTTTCAAGAGCCTTCTCACCAAGGTCTTCCACTGGAACAAGACTCAAACAGGGGGCCAGGGGCCAAATCTCAGAATAATTTAGAATCTGACTATTTGGCAAGAGGTAGGCCTTCCAGCAACAGCTCCTTTCATAGCAGTGAAGAAGAAGGGACCGATCTCGAGGGAGACATGCTGGATTGCAGCGGCTCTCGTCCTCTCCTTATGGACTCTGAAGAAGAGGACGAATCCTGTAAGGCTCCACAGGCAGGGTCGGTAGAAAAAGTTAATATCACTCAACCAGAAGTTTGTAAAGAAGAGACTAAGATAGCCCTTGGTGGAAAAGAGAACCAGTTCCAAGCCTTCGCACAACTTACTGGAGAGGTTTCTGGTGAGCCAGATGTTTTTGCCACAGCCCCTTTCAGGAGTGCAAGGCCCCAATATGATGGCATGGATATTTTCACCAAAGCTCCATTTATCACTAAGGGCCACGTGGCTCCTCAGGTGTCTGAGGATGCAGATGTATTCCTGAGAGCTCCTTTCACCAAGAAGAAGGGCATGGAAGAGCTTGTGGTTACTCAGGGTGCCACTATGGATTTACCCACACAGGCTGCTCTCCACAGTCAGATGGGGGATGGCCCATCAGTTATTAGCCCTCTGCTCTCAAACCTTGATAGGGGGGTGCACCCTGCAGCACTCTCTCCCCTAGCTCAGTATCCCATGGTGGGATTTCTCCACCAATCTAATCTCCCTCCCAATTCTGTCCAGTCAGCAGAAAGCTTAGACAACATCACTTCCAAGGGGACCTCTCTGGATACTGTAGGCCACCCTAATGACAGAAACAAAAGTCACCCATCCCAGAAGGAAGCTGCCTCCAGCTCTGTGGCCAGCAAATCATTCCGCCCCCAGTCGTTGTCCAAATATTCCCGTCACTATAGCCCTGAGAACGAGCCAAGCCTGGAAGCCCAGCCCATCGCTGCCTACAAGGTTGTTTCCCAAAGCAACAAGCAGTCGATCTCTGGATCCATTTCCATCACATCCTTTTCCTCCCGGACTACAGAACTGCCCACTGTTGATCCTTTTGCTTTGGCACCCTTTCCTTCCAAATCAAGCAAACAGAAACCTTAAGAGCATCTTCCATTCCTGAAGCCCCTTACCCAAACATACATGCTCCTCTAGCCATCCCCTTTCACACTACTCTCAGCTGCTCCTACTGACTTTCTGACCCTCCACTATCACAGCAGTATTTCTCTTCCAGTACCCAAACCCAACTGCAGGAATGGGGTGGGAGGGGAGAGAACAGGGGTATTGAGTTCAAACATTTTTAAGTTATGCTTAACTTTTCTTTTGTTTCTATTGACTGCTGGGCTCTTTGGAGTGTTTGCCTTTATGGTGGCTTTCCACATGGGCCCTACATTATTATTAAGAAGCTTTTCACTTCACCCCTCTTACCCCCAATCTTGAAGAGGCCAGGTTATATAAGACCTAATTCCTGTTCATTGTCAGGTCTAGTGAGGATTCTGGAATAAGTCCCTCAGGACTGATTTAATGCTCTAGAAGGGTTTTTGTTTTTTTGTTTTTGTTTTTTAAGAGGTAGTTTCTGGGGGAAAGACAATACCAGATAGCTCTTTCCTCCTAAGAGGAAATCTCATCTTGCAGCTACTGATTATTCTCATAAAACCAGCAAACTCCAGATGGAACACTCAATAATGAGTTACTGTGTGCACGCTGGGCTGCGTGCACACTGTAACTGAGTGTAGATGTGTGGATGTGGGATGTGCTTCCTATCCGTATAGATACAGAAATGCATGCTTGTGTGATGTCTCGGTGCACATTTGTAGCAATATCAATGAAGTCTCCATATCATGTTTTACAAACTGATTTAAATACTCAGATCTATATTTTCTGAGGCAACCCAGCATTTGAAGCATGTGATCTTCTTGCAATACAGGAAACATTTTCCATCAGGTAATGCTCTCCTCACACCCCCCCAGATAGCCCTTCATTAGCACTTCCCTGCAGACCTAATTCCATTTTGAGATCCAGCTCTCATTTAATTACCTTTTTTTGACAATAGGATCGAAGCCAGGGGAAGGGAGAGATGATAAAGCCTTGGTGGAAGGGATAAATTTCTTTCCATATTATTATTTTCCATTGATAAAAACCATTCATCTGGTCATGTAATATTCCATTTATATATGCATTTTCCACCATGGTTCTGTAGGAAAGGATATTTTATTAGGGTCCTGGTCAGAGTATGAAATCTTAAAAGAAAAAGTAGAAATCTTACAAGAAAAATCAAAAGCATTAGGCTTGAATATAGGATCAATAGGGCAGCCATATTACTGAGCTGAGAAAGAGTTTAGCTTCAGGATCCTGGCCCAGCTTCTGTGCTGTCTCATTAAATGAAGGATGCATCAGAAGCACCAAATACATTTGTCAGGTCAAAGAAGGGACTCAGAAATCTTCCAATTCTTTTCTTTCTTTTTGGGATGCATTAGTTAGAGAAAGAAGCCTCCAGTAAATGACTAATGTCTTCTGAATCCGTACTTTGTCTTGTATTCTTCATTATTAGTGCCTTAAAATAATAACTAGGTCTCTGGAGGAAGATCTCAGCTGAAAAGTTCAGCTACATGTAAAAGCACACTTCATGGACAGGGTTTAATGTGAACCTTTTATGTGACACCTAGTGAGATTTGGAAAATTATCCATCAGATAGGAAACTTACTAAGCCAGGTTCCTACTTTGAACATTCTTGGAAATTAACCCAAGGCTGGAGCTTAGGCTACTTTCCTCGGTGTAAATGGTTAAGCAGGTATAGTATCACTGTTGTCAGTTTTATGGTAACAATACCTGTCCTTCAAAGCTGTTTCTAGTTGGGACTTTAACTGTATCCTATCTAGTTCAGTGGTAAATTGAATCATGTTCTGTACATAATTAGGGCTACTAGCAAGAGCACAACTGTGCTAGGAATGGGAGTAGATAGATAGATGCCTCCCCCAGCTAAAAGTGATGATAACCAGGCACGTCTCTGATTATGAAGCAGTCCATGGCACAAGGTCACTCTGCTCAACTGTTGAATAATCCAGGTATACTAAATCTTTGCACATGGAGCCTTTCTTCTCATGGTCGCTGTTGAATAGCCCTCAAAGGCATGAGAAGAGAGATCAAATATACAGTGATACTGTCCAGGATGTGTATCTCCTGCCCTCGTGGACCACATGGACACATATATGTATGTATGTGTGTGTGTATGTATACATACATACACACACACACACATACACAGAATCAAGGACTCTTTAAACTAACAGGAATTTTCAAAGTCCATCTATTGGTCCAACCTCCCACAAAATGGTCCCCTGCCAGATGGTCATCTGCCCAACTTTTTTATTTTATTTTTAAAAGAGCATGGCAATACATCTCAATGTCTGTGGTACCAGTTGCTGCCAAGCAGTATAGCTGGAGAGCACCTGACTTTGAAAAAGACAAATTAACAATTTACTTAATTATTTTAAATGAAAGTATGTGAGTAGATATGACTTAAACACAGAAGAAAATCATGATAGGTAGATTACCCAGGTATAAAACTCATTAAATAGAGGTGCAACTGGGCTGGTCATCTATTATAAATATACTTCAGTATAATGTGACAGGCCTGAACACCTATAAATTACTATGTGGAACCAATGATCGTATGTTTTTGTCTAATATAGAAAAGAATTTAAATGCATGCAAATTTACCTTATCATTTTCTCTTATTCAATCCTTAGTAGAAGGTACAGTGATCACTACATGTAACATGCCAACTTAAATTTAAAACTACCATTCCCTGGGATTTCTGTTACATTTACTGCCAGTTTTCTGCCTAGTTGTGTTTTTCACAAAATTGGTTCTACTTAATTTAGAGGCAGCTGGTGGGGCAGTGGATACAGCACTGTGCCTGGATTCAGGTATACCTCTGTTTAAATGCAGCCTCAGATACTTACTAGCTTTGTGATCCCAGGCAAGTCACTTAACCTCTTTACTCAACTGTAAAATTCGGAAAACAAGCTCCCAGGGTTGTGAGGATCAAATCAGATAATCTGAAAAGTAGTTAGCACAGTGCCTGGCACATACTTGGGGCTTAATAAATGCTCATTCCTTTCCTCATTTAATCCATTCCATTTCATAAATTTCATTATTTAAGATAAATGAAATAAAATTAAAGCCAGAACCACAAAATTTCTAAGCGTAGCAGACCACAATTACCAGTTAAAATTAAAGAATATCTGGAAAAGAGGTACTGTGTGAAATTGGTGGGTTTGCTTCTCTTATGACGTTGGCCAATTTATTCCTTCTCTGGGCCAGTTTTTTTACCCATAAAATGAGGAGACTGAATTAGACAATCTCTGAAGTCCCTTTCAGCTCTAAATGGTACATTTTTTTTTTTGCTGGGCTACATGAAGTTTCCAAGGAAGGTCGTGTCATTTGAAAATAATTTCCCCCCCCAAGGCCTTCTGGATCAGTTAAATCAGTGAGTTGAGTTTATGAATAAGCAGGGGGATCCTTAGAACACTCCAAATTGGTATCAAATAAATAAGGTAAAACAGACTTCTACTTCCATAGTAAAGAGTGAAGGAGACCAAATTTAGTTCACTAAGTAATGCTTTTTCTGTTTTGATTTTTAGGCTATTTGGGGGGGAGGATGTTTTTTCTTGATACGTAGCAAGGGACGTGCAGTTTAAGTGATGACTTTTAATGAACAGGTATGTTCTTTCCATGCAGTGAGCCAGAATATATTTCTACCCCTATGTGAAGCCTTGAGCCCACAACCTATGCTGATTTACTCTTAAAGGAGCCGTGTTCAGTCACCATCACCAAGGACTACTGAATTAGTGAGCTAATTTCTTGAGCAACCTCCTCTATGCTTGCAGATCCAGGTGTGATATAGTAGAAAGGCTACTGGATATGAAGTCAGAGGACCTGGATTCAGGGCCCAGTTCTGCTACTTACCTGTATCACCTTGGGCAAAATTGTCTACACCTGTGTCTACAACTGTAAAATGAGAATTTTAGACGATTTCTGAGGTCCCTTTTAGCCATGAATCTTACTCTAAATCCTCAAGAAAACTGATTAGGTGGGAATATAGACTGAATATTTTATGCCAGATTAGAAGGAGGCATGATAACAATGTCCCCTAGACTGCCCCATTATTTTTAGGTTCCTGTTATTACTGATTTTGAAAATTTCCCATGTGTTGGCTCAGTCAAGGTCTTAAAAAGAGGTTAAATATTCACGTTCATGCATCCTGGCACTCCTGTGTGGAGCCCAAGTATAGATGCTGGCAGTGGAGACTCCTAAACCAAGTCTCTTAAGAAGGTATATGATGTTTTTTTACTGGCTAACTCAAGTCAGGCTGTATTTAACACTCATCCCAACCCCACTTTGATGGCTAGACACTCACATCTGCATGGAAAATATAAACTGGCTGTGTGACCTTGGGCAAGTCACTTAACCCCACTGCCTAGCCCAAAAATAATAAAAATAAAAAATATTTCCCCCAAGTCATATGAGGATAGATATTAAATACTGTAGGATATTTATTTCCAAATAGGGGGAAGGATAATGTGGAAAGCCCAGTAAAATGGGTGTGCCCATGTATGTGAATAAATATCAAATAGGAAGTCTGATTATAGAAAACTAAAGAAAGCTGTACACTTTCCTTTTGACTTAGTAGTGGTCCAGCTAAAACTTGTCAAATATGTACAATGGATTGTAGGTCTAAATGGTGGTATAATATGGAAAATTATGAATTGTCACTGAATTTTTGCAAAAAGCAGCCAACATGAGATCAATCAGCCAAACTCACTCCAGTAGTGTCCAAATCAGCACCAGCAAAAGTCCAGGTGTGCTGCCCTGTCCAGCAAGGCGAAAACTGTCTAAGTCTATAACTACCTTTTAATTTCTTAATCATTACTCTGTTATTAATCATCTATTTCCTAGAGTTTTTCTTTTTAAACCACCCCGAGTGCCAGGCTTACAACTGAAAGCATCTTATTTGATTAAATCTTTTATCACATAGAAGGAACTATGTTTAAAAAATATATATGAAATAGGATCTAGCTTGTTAACTGTTGGCTCAGATGATGTTTATTTCATTTTGTCTTAGGCATACATTCAGGAATTTGGTAGGGTTATAACTGGGAAAATATAAAATGGTCTCTGGACACATTATTTTTCTGGTTACAAAATAAATTTGCTCAGCATGGAGAAAAGGCATTTCCCCTTCTCCTACACATGCTACCATACACCTGTACCCCACCCCTACCCCCTCCTTTAAATCCTGGCCGTGCAGTATCTACCTAATTCAGTCACACTGTTCTTCTACTTATTTGGACTCTTTTTTGAGTCCAGCAGAGCAATTTACTTGGCTCCCACAATGCAATGCTCTTTTTGCTAGCCTCATGCTCCTCCACACACCTGTCCAAGGAGACCTGAATTGCCCAAGTGGCTGGATTGTTCTGTTGGCCTTCTTGCCAAGCACATATCTACAAATGGTTTCATTATCCAACTCCTTGGGCTTCCTCCTCACCTCCTATGACAGTCTTACCATACTAGAATTGTCCCTAAGCAGGGAAATGCTAAATAAGACACACATACACTCCCATTACCAATCAACAGAAAAGAGTTTGTGGGTTTATTGAACCCCTGCCTTGCTTACAATACAGGTGAAGTTGTTCACCTCATTTTGATGCTGTTCCCCCATCATTTCCCCCTCCATCTCTCCCCTACTACTGCCCCCCCATCCATACTCTTTTGTTGTCATTGATAAGTCTGTGTGAATGCTCCGTGTGACACTAGGTTGAGCTAGCAGAGGTAGCTTGATCTGGCACTCCCTCATCATTCAGTGCTACTTGAACGTTAGCCAGAGTTCATCCCACCTCCATGTTCATAAATGCATGATGCCGGTTTGAGTTTACAGTTAGGCATTCTTTTGTTCTTGAAGTTCAGTCAGTCTCTGCTGCTATGGTGCCCTGTTACAAAGGAACCCTATGTACAGAGAACAGTGCCCGTTCTTTAGGTAGCAAGGGTTATTTTTTTAATTCCTATTGAAAATGAACTGCAGAAACATGGTTTTGATTTATATCGGTTAAGCTGGACACAGGGGAAAAGGGTGTTTTGGCAATGCAGCTTTTTCAGTCACTCCAGCCAGTTATATTCTCTGAGCAACCACCAAAGACTCCCACTTGAGGAGCATGAATGGGAGCATGCATATGTTTGTTTCTTTCTCCATGGTATTAACTCATGGCCTACTTCCACGTGCTCCCAAAGAAACCCAAAAGTTGACTGTAGGTTTTTGATGTGAGAAAATTATTTTCATGCTTCTGACCACTTTCCCGGATTAGAAATGAAAGTGGTGAGACATCACTGTGGTTAATTAAAGGCCTGGATAAAGATGGTATTGACCAGCCTTGGTCCCATTGGTCGGCAATACTCTGCTGTGCAGGTGAGAGACAAGCTCAGTGGGCCCTAGCCTTGTGATGCTAGAGGGGCAGCACTGTAGCCCCCCAGAAGAGAGACAGCCATGAGGACTGCAGGAAGTTGTTAACAAAGGAGGGAAAGGTTCAGGCCATTCATTCACTCTGGAGATGGAAACCAGGTGACAGACTTTAGGGGTCATTGGTGAAGATGAAGGGGTGGGCTGGCTCCCTCTGCTGAGTTTTCAGTTTCCTCCATCTAACTTTTTTTGTCTTGAGTAGACTGAATGAGGAGCCAGACCTGGATATAAGAAGTACTGAGGTCCTTAAGCCTCAGAAAACAATCTCAAAGGCTGTGAATGAGGAGCCCAGAAGATGGCGGGTGGAAAAGCCACTTTTCCATTCTCAGTGGTTTGGGCAATAATTCTCATTTGCAGGCTTGTTGGCATTATGCCTTTGCACTCTTAGTGTGACCTATCTATGTATCTGATAGTTTTTATGAAGAATTGTTAAGAGTGAGAATCTCTTGAAAATGGACTTGATTAAAATAAATACTTTATGCCTTGCTTGAGTCATTTTTGAAATCAGGCTTCATCCTGGGATCGAAGAAACCATAAGCCATTACTTTCAAAGTATCCAACACTTTAGCCTTTGCCTACCTTCTCAGCCACAATGTGAGGGACGGACTCTTTTACAGGTGCTGTGTTTTCCTTTCTGATATTATGCAGAGATACAACAGGGGGTATGTACACCAAAAGGCTCAGAAAGGTCATATGCAGATATACATGGGGGATGTTGAACTCTTCTGCATCACCCTACCTCCATCTACTAACCTGTGGAGGGGAAACTTGGAGATGTTTCTCACATGTGAATCACTTCTGCCACCACCACTGTATACTTCTGAGTGTGATCATATAGTCTTCAGCTATCATTTTACAAATAAAGGAAACCAAGGCCCAAAGGTTGTGTTACACAGCTACTTAGTGACAAAGATGGGAATGGAATCTTCGTCTCTGGACACCCAGTCCAGTGTTCCTTCTATGACATCACATAGTGGTGCTGCTTACCAGCAGGTATCTCTGGTTATGGCTGTTTAATAATTACTATCTACATAAAACCGAGTTTCCCAAGTGCTTACATACACCTCATCTAAACACACAAGGAAAGTACCAAATATTTTGGTCTGAACCCATGACTATAAGGGCGTAGGGAATGAGTTCCCAGCGAAGTTACTCCCTCTACCAATGTAAATCATCAACTTAGGGAATTTTCTGGGGCTCTGA